CGGCTGCACGGCGTTTTCTGCAGTCCATGGCCTCGCCGCAAGGGTATCATCTCCGCCAACGGCGGTTCGCCCCTTTGAACCCGAACCATGGAGAGTCCTCGACTCTGCCGCCGCTGAGGGGAGTCGTGTTTGACGTGGACGGGACACTATGGTATGATCCTCCGTGTCGGTGGTGTACGCTCCAGCCCACGCATGCGCATGCGTAGAGTCCAGCCTATCTATTCTGTCATATATTGACTATCGTTAGTCTCCCGCAAAACTACATGTTTGGGGAAATGCGGTACGCAATGACAACCCTCCAACAACAGAATGGCATCTAACAACGATGACATATACAGCGCAGCACTGGGCATTGACAAAAAGGTCGACATTCTCCATCATATCCGCAGTCTTCCAACAGTAGAGGCGCAAACCGAAGCCGCCAACAAGATCAAGGCCATTGAGCGCGAAGCAATGCGTCACCAACAGCCCCAGCCAGGGTTGGTGGAACTGATGGACTACCTCCAGGATAAGGGCGTCAAGCGGGCGCTGTGCACGCGGAATTTCGAGTGAGTTACTGCACATTGATAGACATGACTCTACGTGTCGGACGCTGACTGTGACTGACAGAGCTCCCGTACGACATCTACTGGAGAACCATCTCCCCGCCCATGTCTTTGTGCCCATCATTACACGGGAAACCCCCGGTCTACTGCCGAAGCCGGACCCGGCTGGCATTCTGCACATAGCCCAAGAATGGGATCTGGCAAATGGAGGCGAGGATCTCATCATGGTGAGCGGCATTTGCATTATCTGGGTATTTGAAACGTGGCTCATGGTTTTTTAGGTCGGCGACAGCATCGACGATATGACTGCTGGCCACACCGCCGGCGCAGCAACTGTGCTGCTTGTAAATGACCATAACGGTCACCTGAAGGACCACGCACATACAGATCTCTGCATTGAGCGTCTTGATGATCTGGTCGGAATCCTCGACAAAGGTTTCGTTGGACATCGCGGTGGCGATAAAGCCCCTACCGATGCATAAGGAGTAGGCCCGCGGTAGATGTGTTGGCCTGGGCTGTGTAATGATTATTCCATCACCAATGACACGTCTTAATACAAAGAAGTAGAGATGCACCGGGCTCTCTGGTTTCTTCCGTTCTTTACAAACGAGGCTGTTTGTTGCCTTCAGCTCGTGTAGTCCAAACATCTTTTTTTCCAACCGCCTCGCCCAACAAAGGGGAGCGCGCCCTGCAGGGCAAACGACGCAGACCTCACAATTGGCGGTGTGCCACTGATCTAATTGCTGGTTTAGTCCTTAAAGTCTGTACTTATCCCAGGCCTTCTTAGCAGCACTCGGCATCGGTCGGTAGGCGTCTCCTCCGCCACCGCGTTTCCCGCCTCCTCGTCCGCCGCTGCGGCCTCCCCGCTGCGAACCCCTCGGATTGGAGGAAGGCTTGGGTCGACTCGGAGGGGAACGGGCACGCGATTGCCAGCCACCCCTACCCCGTCCGCGGCCGGGGCGAGGGTTGGGCGACAGCGAGCGTTGGCGAGCCTGGCCGGACGGAAAGTCCTGGCGATCGCGGTAGGTTTGACGATTACCCATGTCCTGCGCTCGAGGTCCTGCTGGAGCAAGGTTCTTGTTCTTCCCAATGCCACTACCAATGCGAATATTGGGCCGGTTTCCATTTGCATTGCGTCCTACAGGTGGCCGTCGGTCCGGCCGAGCCATCAAGTCATCACTGTCGGAGGAACCAGAGTGACGGTCGGCACGTCCCTTGATGTTCATCCCCCCACGCTGGCCGTTGGCGGCCCCGGCCCCGGCTCGACCGCTGACCACTGCGTTGATGTTGGTGACCATATGCGGATCAATGCCTCTCAGGGTCCAGGACGATGAGAGCAACGGTTTCGGGAGCGATGGACAGTCCCCTAGAAGGTGGCGGGTGCTGGTGCAATGGGCGCATGATAACGACACGAGTACCGGTCCTGACGACAGGTCCTGTCGCGGAAGCTTCCACATGAAATCGCAGTCGAATTCAAGATGCTCCGACGAGCCACACAGGTCACAAGGAATCTCAGCTGCGGAGCTTTTCAGTGGCGAAGCGCATTGCTGTTCATCGTGTCCACGAGCCCGACACCGCTGGCATCTTCGCCACTGTGGACAAAAGCTGCTTTGGTGTTTATTCCACGCCCCGCAATGAACACACTACAATGAATCAGTGATCATTCACCATGGACTACGGAGGAAAGTCGACATACCTCTCTAAACGGGCAGACCTCGGCCAGGTGGCCTTCCCGCAGACACTCCGTACAAGAGACTGGCAGCTGAAGATTGATGTCATGAATGTTGCGATCGTAAAATACGCTCCTAGCTAGGATATCCATATCACTTTGAGTGAGGTCTGCGAGCGTCGAAGGGTGAGTAGGATATTTGTGGGAGAAACGACGGAAAGCGTCTTCTTTCGACTCGGTCGCAGACCCCTGTGCCGTGCCATTTGAAGGCCGTTGACCGCACCAGATACGGGGAGTGACTCAGGATCATAATCGTCATCTCCACCATCCATCCTACCGCTCTTGATCTGATTGCGAGAGCCAATGTTCAGCATTATGGAGTCGTCCGCTTCAGAGTCCAGTGACGAGTCGTCCGAGTCTCCAGAAAGTTGCATCTGACTCGAGTCACTTGAGTTGCCCTCCTCGCTTACTTCGCCCTCTTCCATCGAATCTTCCTTGTCTCGGGCGTGGCCCGTCTTCTCGCCACCAGCCGATGAGACAGACTCACTGCGACTGCGCCAGTATTTCCCGTTCACCGCGTCGAATTGAGCGGAGCTTTTGCTCTCTTCGGTCTTGTCCTTCCGACTGCTCAGCGACGTTCTAATGGCACTCTTTGCGCCCTGATTCCAGTTCACAGTAGGAGCAGTATCCTGTTCAGCGTCCGACGACTGATTGCCCTCCTCGCTCGAGATGTCGGAGTCGGTGTCAGACGAGTCGGATCCGGATGACGAGGTACTATCGGGGTCAACCTCTAGCGGGTTTGCGCTGAAGGATGCACCCTGGGGCACGAAGTCACGGGAATCGGTCGAGGACCTTCCATTTCTGCGTTGTCGTTTGCGGGGGATTCCGCCGGGGTCTATGGAGCCGTGTCGCGAAGAGCTGTTGGAGGAGTTACCGCGGGAGTTACGCTGCAGGCCGACCGACGCGGTTCTGGAATCATGATCATCGCCGGGAGAATCCGCCATATTAGGACATTGGAAGGAGGGAGGGAATATTGTTTGGAGGACGGTTTGGGGTTGTTGTGGTGGGCAACAGTGAACTGCGGCGAGGAAAGCCGTGAAAATTTACTGCGGGCGATACAGACCAAAGATGACATGAGTCGTACGCGACAGTCTCTCCCCAACCATATTTGACATGATTATATCTGATCATACTCGATAAGTTGTACCTGGTGTGGTCTAGATTTTCGTCGTATAAAAATATACTCCTGATAATTGGGGTAGGATCGTGTTTCAGAGTGATCTGTCTATACAAATAACCACTGATCGCAACGCTCCTCAGAATACAGAGACGGTAACAAAGTAATGTCCTTTTATACGGGGTAACGGGATATACCTGATATATAAGCAAATCTATCTGGATTAATGCGTCCTAGAGGTAACTGGATAGGGAAGAAGTAATCGGGTGGTCTCATCACCGAAATATACAAGGACAGCATCTGGAAGCAAGTGTCTATCAGACAATGCAATTGATGTAGGAGATCGGAAAAGATCATGGCGCCAATATACCATCCATTACAGTCTTCCCAATGCAAGCCACCCGGTCAGTCAGCCTGTAACTACAGACAGAAATCAAGGTCAAGAATCAATCGGGTGGACCAGTGTGATGTGGTGGATCGATTACGCCGACGTGCAGGAGACCAGATTCCCGAATAGGAGATCTGATGTTCTCTGTCGTGGTTTCATGGGAACTAAAAATAATCGCCTGGACCAAAAAGACCGGCTTCTAGACCGTTCCGCAGGTTCTGAACAGTCTCTAGGCAGAGAGTAGTTCGTACCTAGGTAGTTAGTTCGAGATGCGATGGGGTGCCTAGGGGACTCCGTCGAAAAGCAGGCTGCTCCCGTGACTCCGCCCGGTGTAGTGCAGTATTTCCGCTGTTCTTCCTCCGATCTGACTGTCGGTCGGAACGGCCACCTCTTCTTCCTCCTCACCACCTATCTGCCTCCGGCTGGACACCACCACGTCCTGATTCTCTCTCTCCATCTCATCTATTCCTCCTGTCCTTCTACGTCCTTCTCTCTTCCTTCGAATTCCCTGAACTTCTCCCTTCCCACCTCTCCGGACCGACGTCCGACTCCTCCTTTTCCCACTTTACGCCGAGCTTCCACTCCTCACTCCCCCTCTCCCCTCGTTCCGTTCCTCCAACACCGCCAAAGTGTCTTCCCTAGTCATTCCCCGTACTATCTCCTTCCCCCCGGAGGTTGACACTGGCCCACGCCGGTTATCCCCGGACTCCAACATGCCTCAATCCAAAGGTGGCCGGAGGAGACGCTCCAGCAGCATCATCTACCAGGAGCCCCCGGAATCGATCGAACACACCAGCGATCAGGCCGCTCTGCCAAATCTGAATGCGAATTGGGTCAATGCCAAGGGTGAGTCCGGTCGTTGTTGGGAAATTCGGGAAATGGACACGAAATGGACACGCAACTGACCACGGGCTTCTTCTGTATAGGAGCCTGGACAATCCACTTCGTCCTCATTATCGCCCTGAAAATCTTCTACGACATCATCCCCGGCGTCTCGCAGGAGACATCATGGACCCTCACCAACATCAGCTATATGTTCGGCTCGTTCCTCATGTTCCACTGGGTGCGGGGCATTCCCTTTGAGTTCAATGCTGGTGCCTACGATAACCTCAACATGTGGGAGCAAATCGACAATGGGGACCAGTATACCCCGACGAAGAAGTTCCTCCTCTGCGTTCCCATCTGCCTCTTCCTCCTCAGCACGCATTATACCCACTACGACCTGACGTATTTCACCATCAATTTCCTGGCCACCTTGGGCGTGGTCATTCCGAAACTGCCATTTGTACGTTGCCTTTGATCGTTCGTTGATGGTTCGCTTGAACGGCGGGTGCTAATTTGATCCTCTCCAGTCGCATCGTCTGCGAATAGGTCTGTTTGCGAATGATCTAGACGAATAGTCTATCCGCGTTCTCCTTGTTGACTTTCTTGCTGTTTCTTGATAATATTCTCCGCTTGGCGTTCATTATCTATTTATCCCGCCTGTTCCTTTATAATCTGTGTTAGTGCATTCTATTTGGGGGATGGATGTTCCCATTCGTGAACCTGGGTTGCGATTCTGCTCTGTCGGGGGTTTCTTTGCGGGAGCATGGGTAGATTGTGAGGATTACACTGGGGTGGCCGGTAGCAACCGCCAGATGGGCTGTTGGGTGGTTATTTGGAGGGGGAGGGGGAAATCTGCGAAAGAAATAGAGAACGGGGGTGGGAGAAATAGAGATGGATGAGAACTGGCTTCTTTCGGGTACCTTTACCCATGTGTCTGAATACCAAGATGCGGTTTTGTATCGATTGCATGAGACAAGATGTTTAGATTTCTTTGTTCTTGGGGTTCTTCTCTAGCATGTATTCAGCCATCACAGTCGTATATCAGGTTCTCATATCCTATCTGATGCGGCATTGATGGGCATGGGAGTACTATTACGTATTTCAACCACATGGAAGCATACCTATTCTATGGAATATATATTACTGGCTTGTCCATCACATGTTGGTCTATATTGACGTCCAGCACCATGCCTACAATCCAACTAGTATTTGCTATACTAGACATCCATATTTAAGAAAAGATATAAATCACAGCCCCACACAGCAGGAAAAAAAAAAAAAAAAAAAAGAAAAGAAAAAAAGGCAAGAAAAAAGACAGAACAAGTCAACGCACTTGGCGCTGCTGGGAATCGAACCCAGATCGAGACGGAGCTGGGGATGAACCACAACGTCGCATGATGACCATTACACTACAGCACCTTGATCTGTGACAGGCCGATCACTTATTGGCTACTTATTAGAAAGACTTTTACAGACACCGAATTGTATACTTCCCCTCTCTCTGTTCCTCCTGAATATATCCCTTCAACTCCCATTCATCCATGGTGGCTAGACAACCCCTAGCTTAGGATAGATCATCTACAGAGAGGCGTCGGCCTCGGAATGACGTCGGAACACGTGGTTCGCGTATATCGATAAGCGCCGCGTCTCACGCGCGTTGATTCAGCAATACCCCGGAGTACAACTTCACCACCACAGGCCACGCCAGCCCCCAGATGGGGCCATAGTGATTGATTGACAATGACAAACCTCACCGAGTCGGCATCATTGCCCCCCAACTATCGCCCCGCGAAATCCCTCCCGTTCGAGCTCGTCCAGCACACTGGCATCTTTTTCGAAGAGAAGCTTTGTCCGCTACCCTCCCCGCAAATATTCATGACCCAGGCTAACTCCATGCGCCCTCGCAGACACGCAAGCATTAAACCTCCTGCTCAACGTCTTAGCCTCCAGCGCCGTCGCCGACACCCCTACCTTCATCCCATCCCCGCAACATCTCGCCGTAGCGGCCACCCTCCTCGTTCACCCCTCCACCACCACCCGGGCCAAGACCGCAGAGGAAGAGGAGGCGCCCAGTGTCGCGCTGCAACTCCTGCGGCTCACAAACTCCCTGGTCGGACCGGTAGCTGCAGAGTTTGGCTCGGCATTTGTCTTTACCCACTTCGACTCGTCCCGTCGCGGAAGACAACGGCGCGCGGAAGATGAACACCCCACGGACGGCAATATCAAACCACTGAACCTCGACCTGGGCCAGTCCGCGTCCGTCTGGTCCCGCGCAGAAGACTTCTGGCATGCCGTCGGCTGGGCCTTCAACTGTTCCGTGCGCCACCGCGAGCGCTGGGCCGCATGGCAGCTCTGGCTCGAGTTCATGTGCGAGCTCCTTGAAGCAGACTGGTCGGAGCGCGTGAAGCTGCAGCGTCTCCGCGATGAGACGGCGAGCGAGGACGCCGCGACGACTTCTACCGGCAATACGAGGAAGAAGAAGAGTAGCGACAAGCAGATCCTCAAAGAGAGTATGATCTTCCGCTACATCTCCGAAGGCGCGGGCGGCTACGGACAACACCGGCGCATCCTGCGCGCCATCTTCGCCGACGGCGGAGCCGGTGCGGTCAGCGAGTTCCGCGAGGTGTTCCACAACGAGCTGAAGCAGCTCAAACGCGACCAACAGAACGTCAAGAAACGCGAGGTCGAGGTGAACATCGACGAAGAGCAATACGGCGACTACCTCACCAACGACGACGATGACGAGGACGACGACGACAACAACACCAACGACGACCCGTCCGAGACATCCACCTCCACACCTGCAGAGTCCGCCTCCAAGCGGCCAGTGCGACAGACCAAACGCCCCCGACGAGGCACCCGGCTCAGCAGAGACCCCAGCGCCAAAGACGACGCCGTCGCCGCCACGCCATCCCCCGCCGCCGCGTACGCGCTCGACGACGCCTCCCTCCTGGGCGGCCTCCCCGCGCTCGCCCTGCGCCAGCGCCTGCTGCACCTCCTCTCCGAGGTGTCGGAGAAGCTGCCGGACGCCTTCATCGGCCTCGAAAACCTCTACCACCTCTTCGTCGAGAACATCCGACACCTGCCGCTGCCGGTGTTCCAGGCCTTCGTCAGTCCCGCCGTGCTGCCTCACTTCTCGCCCGCTGCCCAGACCACCCTCTGCGAGGTGCTCCTCTTCCGCATGCGCGAGAGCGCCGCCCCGGACACCGACGAGCTCTACCTCACCCAGGCCAAACTCGAGCACTGTTTCCTCCCCTACGCCGCTAGCACCCCCAGCATCGCAGATAACACCAAAGTCTCCATCGCGCTCGAGTCACTCCTCATCCTCCTCGCCGATAACGACATGCTGAAGATCACCCCCCAGCTGCGGGAGGCCGTGGAAGCGGGCGTCTTGAACCGCGTGGACCGCGTGCAGGTCGAGACGAAGAAGAGTCTGGCGAATCGCCAGAAAGAGGATGTCGAGTGGAGCTGGCTGCTGGAGAGCGGGGACCGGCTCATGTATCTGGTGAATGACCTTCTCGGTTGATGTCGCTTTCTCTCCGGTGGTAGGAGTGGTGGTCTGGTGAATCTGTTGATGCATGTCTGGGAGTTATGTACGCAGCCTTTAGATACCCCAACCTTTCCCTGTTTTCTTCTACTCTGCTATATTGGTGCAAGTCTCGCGGTTCTATCTCCATAACGAATCTAAGTTGCGTAATTGAGTATTTACAAACAGCAATGAAAGCGCTTAACGATCGACGGGGTAGTACATGATAATGAGAATCACCAATAACATATGAAATCCTATACTAGTATCAGACAGCAATAGACATTGTCCTGCACACAGTCCCCTCACGGAGGCGGCCGCGGCCCAATGATCTGTCGTCGCGCTCCTCCCACGCCGAGCCCAGGCCCGCCGCGGTTCTGGTTATCGCCGCCCATGAAGCCGTACTGGTGTACGTCCCAGGCCTGGCCGGGCCCGGAGCCGAGCGACTTATCCCCCAGACCGCGTGCGGCGACTTCCTGGGTCTGTTTCTGGTTCTCTTCCCACTCGCGCTGGCGCTCGCGCTCGCGCTCCATTTCCCGCTCCAGCAGGGACTTGGACGCCCACCCGCCGGCACGGGTCTTCTGCTGGGCTGCCGCCCGTCGGTTGTTCTCGGCATCGATCTCCGCAGTGGACGAATAGTCCGCCGGGCGGTGGGTGGCCGGCTTGGGTGCTACCGGCGGACGGTTGGATGAGAGGAACCGGTCGACGCGGCTCTCCGGCTTCTGGAACTTCTGCGCTTGGAGCGTAGGGTCCGGAAGGGGACGTTCGGGCAGCGGGCGAGGAGATGTGGGAGGGAGGTTATCGGATGTCGTCGCGGGTGCTTGCGCGGAGGCAGTCGGGTCGGGGAGAGGCCGAGATGGCAGGGGTGGGGGAGGACTCGAGGCCGACTCGACGGATGGTCCGTCGTCCTGATGCTTCTGCCATTCCCCACGGAGTAGCCGACGCTCCGTTTCGAGAGAAGACAAGGAGTAGCTCGGCTTGGGCGGAACGGGGGTGGGACGAGGGCTGCGAGATTCTGTAGAGCCACTCTTTTGCTCTCGGAGCGACTGGCGTTCTCGTTGATACTCGGCTTCTCGAACTTTGGCGAGTTCCAACTCACGCTCGAGCTCCCGAATGCGCTGGCTTTCCTGGGACTCGGCGCTTTCCTGCGTGGCTTGGTATTGGCTGAGGAATTGGCCGTTCAGACGGCTGTCGTTTATCTCGCGCCGACGCAGTCGTTCCTTTTCCAGCCTCTCCTCGGCCTCTTTCTCTTCGCGGAGACGCTGCTGCTCCTCCTCTTCCCACCGCCGTTGTTCGGCGTCCCACCGCTTCCGCTCCTCTTCGACCTCGCGCCGCTCCTTCTCCCTCAGCCTAGCGGTCTCCTCCTCCCAGATGCGCTCCTCCTCGGCGCGCGCACGTGCTTCCTCCTCCTCGCGTTGCCGTTGACGGTGCAGCTCGGCCTCTTGCTGCTCCCGTCGCTGTCTTTCTTCTTCCTCACGTCGGCGCTTTTCCTTCTCCGCCAGGCTGGGCACGTGCGGTGCTGCGGTCGTGATCTGGCGACGGGCCCCAAAGGCCACGCCCTGATTGGCTTGGCTTGCGCCACCCATGTAGCCGTACTGGTGGATATTCCAAGCCGGAGCGGTGGTGTACTCGTCCGTCTTCTTGCTCCAGGTGCTCACCGCCGTAGGGGACTTGGCCGGACTGGACCGTCCGGATGTGTCGCTGACATTGCTGAGTCCCCGCGGCTTCGTCGTCGGGGTGCGGGCGCCGTAGCCGCTGGAGCCGGTCATGTTAGGGCTTAGCGTACCTGTTTTGCTTTGGACGCCAATTGCACGGCGGAATTTGGAGGGCTGGAGGGCATTCGCTCTCCGGCTGAAGGCCATTAGACACTGGAGAACCTGGGCCGGGTCCTTCGCTTCGTAGAGGTCGACGGTCAGGAAGACGTCGTGGGGCGGGAGACTGAGAGGGGCGGTTTGGCATGCGCGCAGGAAGTGCGAAATGTTTTCCATCTGGACGAACGGCATGGACGACACCTTGTACTTCACACCCGGGGAGACAGCGAGATTGACGAGCCTGGGACGCCGCGTTAGCGGGGTTGGTTCTACCGGCGCAACGAAGGTCGCACCGCAGCGGGTGTATAGGGATGAAAGGGCCTGACTCACCTGCATAAAGCGACTCCATCCTTGAGAGCCTCGAGAAGATCACCCGATGGCAATTTTTCCTGCAGCACGTCTTCAATCCAGTCGCGGACCTCCGCGGCCGCCTGCGGGGTATAGCGGGACAGGCGCAGACTGCGCAAGTCCTTGTCCAAGGACGTAACGGACGCCATGTTGTGTGAGATGGAGGGACAATCAGTCGGGTAGTGGCATAAGGGAGGTTGTTTGGGCAGTTGTTTGTACGTTGGCGCCTTGGGGGAGGCGAACCGTGGTACGTAACAGGGGGGTCGGGTAGAAGTATATATCGCTAGACGGATTCTAGGGCAGATAGGACCGGGGGAAGAAGGATGGATGTAGGAGATATATGGAGAGGACAGATAACAAGAGGGAACTGCCTAGATGTAAATCCCGAGAGACTGTTGAGAGTGAAAGGAGGGAGAGAGAGTGAGAGAGAGGGAGTTGGAATGAACGAGTAGCAGATGGAATGTTAGGTAATAAACGGCGATCCTATCACCGCCGCCCTGTTCCGTGCCGGTCAGCAATGACGTTTCTCCCATTTTCTCCCATTTCTCTCTACAAATTCTCTGCGCAACTGCAAACAAACCTCGCACATCATCAATGAGTCCGGTCAACAGTCTCTGGTTCAAGTGGAAAAGCCTACGCTTACCGTGGCGAAAATCTTTCCTCGTCGGTACTGTGGTTACTCCGTGGTGTCTTTGCGCAAACCTGACTGACTGATCTTCGTCGCAGGCACCGATCTCTCTGGAAACACATACTGGGAATTTAAAGACTCGCTGAATGCTGGGCGCTTCCGTCGGATCGTCAAGTTCCATCCTAAAACTCACTATGCGGATGTTCAAGTGACTCGTAAGTCCCCGGCGCGATCGCGGAGGCAACGTGGAGGAAACGACAGAAAAACTCCAATGAGCTCGACTAACATAATATTGCCACCCAGCGCAATGGCATCAATGGCTTCGATACCTCCGGCCGAATCCCCCGTCGATTGAAGAACAGAAGAATGATCTCATCCGTCAAGCCCAGATTAAGCACCTTGCTCGACTCGCTGACGAGCGCTGGGCAAGCAAACCGTCCTATCTCGACAAACCGCAGAGACAGTCACCTGCGCCTGCCACAGGAACGACCGATGCGACGTTGAATCCTCCGACGAGACAAGATGGCGGTGTCGCCGCATCAGCTATCGGCGATTCGGCACCGGATTCGACGACAAAAGATGAGGCCGCTCCGGCCCAAGACAAGGACCCGTGGGCAAAAGCACGGGGCGGGCCTAGCGAAAACTGGCAACCGGAGGCTTGGACGCCGAAGACCGCTCAGAGGTGAGAAGAATGAGCTGCGGTTGTTTATTGATTCCAATGGGGCGGTGGCCCGATTGATCATGAACATTGAAGAGTCCTCGAATGTACCCCCCCCCCCCGGAAGAATGGGGCAGAACAGACTTCGCGAATAGAACGGCGTGGTTTGGTCGATGGCGATTTAACACGCCGCTTGAGCTCTGCACTGAAACGACCCGACCGAAAGCACTGCGCCTATCTGTTGGATGCTGTCGTTACCTGTCCCTCATTAGATGCTTGGCATCAAAGTTGCCGTGATGAACGTACGAGCATGTGGCAGTCCCATGTACTATATATCTGTTTTATTCTCTGCCACCTGGCCATGTACACTACATTACACATTTCTGGCTATTATCGGCGCCTCAACATTATATGTACACTAACCCTGGACATCATCCCCATAGTTCCATACCATAGCTCTACCATTTATGGGATTCTCTTTCGACCCGTCTTAGAACAGACCTCAGGTCGTTCAGGGCTAATGAAGGCTGCACTCGGACATCGATAAATTATATAACATAAAACGAAGAGAATCGCTCAAGATTAGCCAGATTATGGATATTAGCACACGTATATATCTGCATGTCTAACTGATACAGCTCTAAATTTTGAACCGCCCAACTCCGGTCAACCGTTTTGACAAAGAATTCAAGAAACAAGCAAATCCCAAACACCAAAACGACCCTTGCCACGATTAGAGGTATATAGCAAAACTGAGAACGACCAAATGCAAGACATAGATAATACAAAACAGACATAGTACAGATGGTATGTAGAGGCGTATGTGCTTCTAACACAGGACAGCCTCAAGAGCCTCGACATCCCCACCGGCCTTGCGTACTGCATTCAATGCAGCCTCGCTCAGCTTACGCCGTCTATCACGGGCTTCCTGCTCGCGACGCGCTTTCGTCTTCGAGCTGCCGCTGGGAGCGACTCCGGTGAGGATCTTCTGGCTGTCGTTGGGAGTGAAGTTGACAAATGACACAGTAACGGATTTGTTGCTGCCCTTGGGGCTCACAGAGGGCCCCCTCACAGGCTTGGGCGCACTCATGGAGTGAGCAGAGAGCTTTCGCCCGTTGGTGCGTCGCTGGGGGGTCTTCATTATGGCCCCGTTCTTCGGAGAGCCACCAGCTCGGGGAGAAAGAGAGGGCGACCGCGAGGTCGTGGGGGCGTGTGCGGCAAATGCAGCGGAGTCGACGTAGTTTTGCGTGGTGGCTGCGGTGTGGCTATAAGCCTGGGTCTCCTGGGGGTTGGGAGCCGAAGACATAGAAGAGTGGAAAGACGAGTTGGACATGCCGAATTGCGAGGGATCCAACTGGATCATGAGACCTCCTTGCAGCATGTCATGCTGGCTGTTGGTATTCTGCATGGGCTTCTGTGGAGCCATCTGTTGGTAGGAAGGTTGGCGCTGGGCCACGCGAGAAGTCATAGGAGACCACCATGCCTGAGCATCCTGGCTATGAAGATCAGGGGTGAAAGGGATGGCAGGGGTGCCAAAAGAATCGGAATGCCACGAGGACATGGACTGAGGATCGGAGGAATGCGGCGAGGAGAAAATGTCGTCGGCCGATGGGGGACTCGAGGTCAAGGCGGAGTTGCTCGAGTGGCTCAAGTACTTCGGCTGCTGCTGGGCCAATGCATGGGCAGACGGCGAGGGCATGGAGATGGCAGGAGAGGGAGTGAAGATGCTGGAGTCGAACTGATGAGGCATTTCCGCCGAATCTCCCGTGGGATTCATGTGCGTCGCGGAGCCGTCAGCACCAAAGTTCTCGTGCTGAACAAGGATGTCAGAAGGCGGAGGGGAGAGCGGCAGGCGGTCATCCGAATGGCGGTAGTTGAAATGCTGAAAGCGTTGAGCCCAAGCCTCGGGGTACGCCATTCTATGTTTTTGAAGCTGCGAGGAGCGAGTCAGGTTGGGGGAGAAACTTTGCTTCCGCAGCAGAGCGCGGCGATCATTAGGTTCACGATGACGACGGATAGACTTTGGGGTGACCAAAGCACTCTTAGCTTTGCGGCTCGGGGTAGCCGGCGGAGTCGATGGAGAACGGTTCTCGGTAGGGCAGTTCGGGGCAGCAGAAGAAGCTTCAAGGTTGGCACTCAGATCTGAAACAGCCGGGGGGTGCACGCTGTCTTGAAATGCAAGGGGCGTGTCCTGATCTGCAGAGGAGACAGCAGCCTCTTGCGGCATACACCAGAGGTCTTTACCCCAGGACTGAGGAGGTGACTGATGGGGCACCTTGGAAGTGGAGATGGTGGGTGAATGGTCGCCACAATCGCTTGACAATGAGTCAAGCGAGAAGATTTGGTCAAGGTCGTTTGGAAATGAAACGTCTTTGTTGGAGCCGTCAGGATTGGCGGACTCCATGTTGACGTACTGATTGAATAAATCATTGAACGAATGGTCGAACGGTTGGGCGAACATGGTTGCCAGATGCTTTCCGTTTGCGGAGACAAAGAGAGCGAAGAGTAACCAAGTATAGCAGACAGAGAGCACTCTGATTGGCGGACAGACCACAAGTCTGGGTCAAAGGAAAGCTCGGAAAGCAAGCCGGCGATCCGTCAAGGATGGAAGAACGGATGACAAGGGATGGCCCGTGTTGGAACCGTTTGATGGATTGTCAATCGAAGAAAACACTGCACAAGATGCAAAGAAGACAAAGCAAACAAACAACAGAGGGAAGGCTGTATTTGAACTGTCGCGACAGCCGTCCAGCCTCTGGGATTCTGCATACATTCCGTCTGCTCTAAAGATGGCTAAGGAATGCGCCCTATGGGACTGGAGGGGCCTATCATGCCTTGATTGACGGCTTGGAGGGTGCTTCAAAGCTTCCTCAGAGGCTGTTTCTGCCAATCAGACTAGACATTGAGATGGGTGGCTGATCGGATTCTCCATTCTTCTTCCACCCACTCCATTCATAGAGGGCTCGGGTTCCAGACGGCCACCCGCCGGAATGCAACCCTGCCTATGCCAAAAACAGAGGGCCTGCCCATCAGCAGGCCGAGCGTAGGCGGGTCCTGGGAAGAGACTGTTGCGTACCAGCCCAATGACAATGGCCATCGTCCCTCGACATCTTGGCCCTTTGACCAGAGGTGGGAAGCGTTGGCCGGAACGAGACAGCATAATGGCTTATTCAGCCCTAATGACCTGTTATGAATGGTCTGATCAAAAGTACCATCGGGTGACAATAAGTGATCGTTCCCCAGTGTAAGCGTCATGGTAGACGGCCGGCTCATCTCGAGCCGAGATCTACTGTAGGATTGTCGGCATCATGATCCACTCCAGTCGAGGCTTCTCCATCCCGCCTCACACCACTTCGCAATCACCGTTCATTTTCCCCTTAACACCTCTCGCACCATTACTCGGCGGGTGGAGTAAGCGCCGGTGAGAGGGTCCGAACATCAAGGCTGATAAGACAGTTGGAATGGATATCGGAATGCCAGGGCTGGGAGGAATGCGTGCCTCCGACAACAATGCAGCCAACAAGGGGATGGCATTTGAAGAAGAAAATCATTGCAGTTCTGCTCTGTACCCCAAATTAGCAATGAGCTTGCAAAGAAAAAAGATTCGTTGACAAAGGATCTGCAGGGACGTTGCTTTGCTCTGTTTAAGCTTCTATAATTATCCCAATTTACGCGCAATATCTACCACCCGTTGGAAGAGACCCTGAGGTGAATATGCAGGGATGTTTCTGGAATAGTACGGCTCAACATGACATTGCATGATTTTGAAGTTGACCATGCTGTGAATCGGCCTGGGTCTAGCCATGCTAGCCATGGCGTCGCACCCAGTTCTTTGACCTTGGACCAACCGAGACCCGCGCTCTGGATTGTTAATTGCATTAGTCGTCTGATGATAAGCGAACGCCCCGGTGAATCACAAAGGCATATTCTTCTTTGTTGGAAAAGCATCGCCATGCAGGTACCCGGCTGAAACACCGGTGAGGATTCAGGAACCCGGCTATCGTGACCCACGAGTTTTCTCCGAACAACCATCATTATAATGGTTATTAAAAGAAAACAAACAAATAAGAAAGATAGAGAGGACAAAATTCCTGCCAGGAACCAACGGGCCTGCAGAGTCGTCCGGAAGCGGAAATCTGTTCCAGAGGAGTAACATATTTTGGTGGACAAAGAGAATGGCGTCGAGTCCCTGCGAGGCAAAAAAGCCACAGAGAAAAATCCCGGGACTTTCATTATCAGGCACATTGTCGGGCACCTGCATCGGGATGAGTTCGTGCCTGAGAGGAATCGGCATTATTGGGCGAAGGGAGGAGTGGCATTCTTCGTATGGGCCTCATAGACATCTTGTGCCCACAACCCGGCAAGAGGCAGTCCGTCTGAAGTTGCATTTTAGTGATGAGGCATCTTTGGTTGAATCTAGAGTTCCCTGTGGAGACCAATTAATATCAGGAGATGAGAATCGACGACTAGACAGATAGTAGTAGTGGACAGTCTGGTCAGCATGCCAGATGAATCCCTGGGTGGGTTAACTTTGATAGAGCAGCTTGCGTAAGGTCGGAATGGAGTTGCTGTACTGGTGCTCGGCGCGGAAGATCAGAGGTTCCGGATATGACGTTGATTCGCCAGGCAAGCGAGAAAAGGCAGACTGACACTAAACCTGAAGAGGAAGTCCGGAGATCGGCCCCGGCCCGGCGCTAGAGGAAGGAGGCAATGCACAGCATGGCCGCAACTGGTCAGGTGGCACTGGATGACGGAAATCTGACTGAGAGTCATTCTCTCTTGTTCCGCCTGGCCTTCCTCTTCCTCCATCTTCCCTCCTAACTCATCAAGCACCATCCATCCGTTGTTGCTTGTATTTTCACTCGTCTCCATTCGATCCACTCTTTCGAATCACCTATGTCAGCTGGCCTCTGAACCTGTTTCGGGCCACACTGACGCATTAGCCGACTGTCGTCTCCTTACCCCTCGCGACCCCCGCTACCTCTTCCCTCGGATAATCCCACGCAAAGTGGGCGTGGTTTACGAAGACCAGGACGATTGACTCAAGTTCCTGGCTCAGTTACGCCCGAAACCTCCAAATCCGGTCGCATCCGATATCCCTCCGCGAGGCTCCACGCTGTTTGATTAAGGGATCCGTAACGCGTCGGTCGATCGTACCATCCTCGCCTTTGTCGTCGCTGAAGACGCATCCTTTTCGAAGAACCACCATCAATCTTCCCGACTCCTTCGCAGTCTTTATGTATAACGTCAGGGGCACCATCGACATCAGAACCACCTTCAACAAACGGAGTTTCTTCCAGCAGAAGTATTCGCTACGGAACTCCCCGAATTGTCCAAGCGACTCCGCATACAGCCACCCAATTTACCAGTCTTCGAAATAAACGTGAATATGTACTCCCAGATTTTTCTCGTCGAGGATGTCCTCGTCGGCCTTCACTAAGTGAAAGCCCGTTCTCACTTCTGTGCTTCAACATGGACTCCTACCAGGTTCTTGGGGGCCTTCGAAGCCATTTTTCGCAATCAAAAACGCAAAAACTGGTTCGTTTTTCGAAAGAAAATTTCTAAAATCCAACATCGCTTCATTCGCTCAGTCCTCACGGCTTGCGCGAGTGAATCACACCAAATTTCCGCCCCGAAACCTTACATATACAGCTTAGCGGCACAATGTGTCCGGACCAAGGGCCGCAGATTGCCACCGTTGGTGACAAAATTATTAGTAAAAAGTCATGGGAGTCTCTATCTTCGACTTTCTCCAATCTGGAGATTTCCTTTTCCCATGATAGTTGCTATGCTTCGGATGAGGTCTCGACCACGTCGACAAACCCCACGACGGTGGATGCATCGGTCGTCTCATCTACGCCCGCAACTGAGGTAGCCAGGCGCCAACCTCTGAAGCCAATCTTGAAGAGACCTTTCGCTGAAATCGAGGAAGATGAAGAGTCGGAATCTGGCTATGCATCCGATCCATCTGAACATGAGTATGAGTACGATGCTCTGTCAGATGAAGATGATGATATTTGTTACGTCACTGCCTGGGACGAAGAAGAATCCGAGGCCTTTTCTGAATACTACGGCGAAGATGATGCTTCAGAAGATGATGGATCGTTCATATCGTTCGAATCCATGGTTCGGTTCGACACGAACGTGCTCTATATTGATGCACCGTCATCTTATGAAGATTCGACTTCCGGCCCTCAAATGACCTGCCATGAGATGATGGAGCTCGCCAAAGCATCTGGCGACCTGCTTTCTCATGGCGGTTTGCCTTCTGGCGATTCGGAGGGCTATGGTAATTTCAATGACTCCATCGAAAGCTTGCCAGAGGAGCATACTGATGACATCCTCGATCTTGACAAACGCCTCTTTGTTGCTTACATGAACGGAATCGGCGGCCTGCCGAATGCCGATTACAAGGAACGGCTACGTGATCTGGCCCACGATATCAAGATTGGCCAAGCGAAGTCGCCGTATTTGGAAGCGGATAATGCCAGTGGGGTGTACTTTGACCATGCACTGAACCATGTCATTGGCACATTCCGCAACATCGTCACCAAAGAGGAGTTTGACGAGCTCGTCAAGCTCAGCAAACAGAATGAAGCTTCCAATCAAGAGTTGGACGTTATCGAGCGTCCCAGCCAGGAATTCTTGAATAAAGTCGAGAGTCTGCTCTCAGAGAGGCTGGTCAGCAATGTCGTCAACATTGGCTCTGAGGAGCTCACCTTCTTCGCCGGGGGTGTTGCCTTTGCCATCAAGAACTGGCAATCCTATCTGTCACGTTGAGACGACCTTATGACGAAATCACTCAACTGAGTACAAAAATAGCCTAGCTTTACGAGTCACGCCCTAGGTTATCACGTGTCTTTCAGCGATCCAAAAGTGCGTTATAGCGGGGTTAATGCTTATATACACCATGGTTTTGTATCTACTTGCCAAATGAAATGGATCAATTTGAAAAGAAAGAATCGAACTTGCTTGCAGACTCCTTCAATCTCTTCGCATTGATTTGGTTGTAGAAGTCGGGCATCAACTCTCTATCTTACCGGTCCTAGTGCATCGACGAGTTGTTCATGATTCTTAAGATGAATGGTAAAGCCTTTTAAGTTATCGTAATTTCATAAGGTCCATCCTAATTAGTTTTAAAATACTCTTGAGTGTCGAGTGCAGTCCAAGGTGCTCTCTCATCTCAGGTATGAAGTCAAGCATGGCACGCTCAGCCTATGCATGCAACTCTGATGTTCCTTATATGGTCGTCAGAAACGAGCAGCGACTTGTCTGCGCTGTACAATCATGACGAGTTCTTAGACAGGAAATCCTATCCAAACGCGTAATTCGGCAGAGAATACCCAGGTACAGGTATGATCAACAAAACTTGCTATATACGTATGCCGGCCATAACGACGGCGATATGAAAGTCTAGTACCTCATCTAGTGAGCTAGCACACCGTTTTGTACTAAACTGCTCCTTATCATGATATAAATGCCCCTTCCAGAGTCTATTATTAAAGGAGCCTGTGCTCCATACAGGGGCCTCGAGCCCTATACCCCCAGATGAATGACACGGACCTTGCAACAGTTATCCAGCCAATGAATCGATCAACTCGCTTACGGACCCCATTCCGCTGGATTTGATACGTACGTCGTTAGACTTATACGAGAGGGAGGTTGGTCGGGTAAGAAAGCGGAGGATCCAATCCTGAAACGCTGACGGAAAAGTGCCGACAATGCTTCCGGGATTTGCAATATCAACGTCTGCAGACTGGCCAAGGCTTCCTCTACTACGGTTATTATCCGAGCTCCTAGCTACAGGTCAAACTTTGCTGCGTTCACAGGAAAAGAAGGAGGGATGGTCTGATCGATCAGGTTCTTCGCATACGGCAACAACCCCAGCGACATGAAACGTCCACGGTGGTCCAGATTCCCAACGCCCTTCTCCACAGCCGGGACAGGGTTTGAAACCAGGCGTCAAGGTACATGTTCCGTTCTTCTGATAGGTGTTATAGGTGTTATAGGGGACGTTTTGCAGAACAGTCGACAGGGATGCGTGCGAGGACGGGCCTTGGTTAGTTTTCTGTGCGGAGAATTTGCCCTCTTTGTCCCGACTTCCGTATCCACAGGATCAACGGCCACGGCCAAGGGTAACTAGTTAACTAGTTAGTAGTAACGGGGAGACAGGAATTCGCGGTGGATGGTGATGGAGACGGTGGCCGCGGAAGGCTGGTAGGAAGCCGTCCCGCGCGCCGATCCTGATATCTCGACCGTTAAGAGCCGGATGACAGGTCGGTTGGAGGTCTTTGATATCAGTCACATGTGGCGTTAACTGGGGAAAGCCAGCTGGGGCTAAAAAACCGTTATGGTTTTAGGTGCATCGTGGCGTGAAGAACGTTCGCTATCCATTTGAGTACACTAGGGCTGTCCGACGCCCCATGCAAGTCGCGGGACAAGCAAACAAAGGCGTTAGTCGGAATTGCAAGATCCACGCAACATGGGTATTGTTGTGCATGCAACCGAGTCTTTTCGGAAAATTCTAGTGCTTGGGCCAGAAGCAAAGAGAGTGGAGATGTATTTTTGTCCTCTGGAGGACAATCACTTTCCTTGTTCAGCTGTGGTGTTGTTTAGTGGGGCCTGCAGACAATCAGGGATATATAATTTACTTGATTTTAGTCCACCTACTACGTACTCCGTATATCATTCAAAGTGATAGGGGAAAAATAACAGGCTGAGCTGAGCTGAGATGAGATGAATGTACAGTTGGTTGGCCTGAACCATGGGGGCACTTCCCCGCCGATTTATGAGTTTGATTGAACCACGGATAAATTGGGAGGCAATAGAGTCTGACTCGCAGACGGGGTCGATTGGATCAGAGCCACTTGCAGTCCGCAGATATGACGAGTGAAGTGTATGTGACACAGTCGTGGTCGAATAAAATGTGGTAGTTTCGACTTTTGATGCATCCAGAACCAAATTGCTGAAGTATAGACCAGGGTTTGAAGCTTATTTCGCCGCTCTTTTCGGTTGTGATGAGCTGAGATGAGATGAGATGGATGGCAGAATTTCTCATCATTCTCACCTCAGCTCATACAGAATCCGATGACATCGGTGAGAGAAGAGTAACTACCTATTTGTCAGTAGGATCATCATTTACTCCATAGTTATACGAATGGATCACCATGTGGACGTTAGGATGATCTTCTCTGGTGGTGACTCCACGGCGATGTCCGGATGAACGCAGACCCCAATACTGAGCTGGTGAACATGCAGAGTACTGTAACTAGTTATTATTTGTTAAGCATGCAAAGAGGGCTCTGGAGATCATCATTGTCCCATAATCTGAGCTTCTGCAGGTGATTGAGTGACTGAGCATGGCCCAAGAAACGAGGCCAGCGTTGTCGCTCTGGGGGTGGACCGGCATTCGGATGTAGATCCAAAAGACGGCTGGATCCAATAGATTGCAAAATAGTGGCGGATAGAGTTTGGGATGGGGGGCTGGAAGGAAAGGGGAGTTCATTCCATACATTGTTCCATACATTCCAGAAGGTGACCCTCCATCTTTGATAATTCTAGGTACAGAGTACTCCGTATGCAGTTGGTCTAAGAAGCCAGGAAGGACAGACAGACAGACAGACAGACAGCCTGCCAGACAGCCAGATAATAATCCCGGTCGGCAATAAGCCATTTGCCCCTGGCCCTTGGAGTTGGGACGCTTAGTGAGAGTGAGTGCCCGTTCGGGTTCGCCTCTGGTGCCAAGTGGATCGGCCTAAATCGCTAGTTTGGGTCCGGAGATCGTCGTGGTCTCTTTTTTTGCCGTCCTTTTCCCCTTTCTGATGTCTCGTCCCCATTATGGTGTCCACTGCCGACATCCACCCAGAACAGATAATCCTCCGGGACAATGGCGAGATTGTGGATAGCTCCGGAGGACTTAGGGGATGGAAGTTAATCCCTGAATATATACCAGGCCACTAACTACCTACAGTACCCTAAGTTACTTCGGTAAGATAGGTCGCAGGACCCTAACCCGATGGATAAGACCAATGTCGATCGGGCCAGGGCCCTCGTGCCGGGTGAGACTTTGGATCTGGCTCGTGGTTGATAGTGGTTGTCCGTCCCCTACAGGTAGTTAGTTACGTGGGAGGAGGAGTAAAACAATGGGTGCTCCAGTCCATCTCCACCACCGCCGCAGTCTCATTTGTCCGAACAGCAGTCGTACCTGTTAGTGAGTCCACCTCTCCAGAAAAAAGGGTGTGCACTACTCTCTGTGTACGGCTTGTCCCCACTTTTTTTTCTTCCTCTTCTCCTGATTCTGCAATTTGTTGGAGTGCCAGGGGAATTCGTGTCGCAGTAGGAATTATCGGGGGGAACCATATACCTGGACAGACAGCCTACTACCAAATTCGCGGTGTACAAGTCATCCGGGGTTAATCATCTTCTTTTCTCTCTCTCACTCTCTCTTTTCCTTCCCTCTTCTTCCTTCTTCTCTCTTTCATTCCCTCACTATTCTTCCCCTGATTCCATCCACGGTCCCTCTCGATCTACCCTCCTCAACTGCCATCATCTCCCGGATCTCCCGACTCTGGTACCCCCGCCGACTGCTATGCGCAATGTGTGAATGCCATTGATCGCATTGGACCTTTCTGTATTCCGTTACACGGGTGAGTCCTGTTGATTGGAAGGAATCGCACCACTCCAATCCTTCCCATGCGCTTTTTATGCACCCGATGGTCTGTGACTGGTGGTTTCTTGCATTCCTGATCGCTCGGGTGCTGGTCGGACAAACACCCTGTGCCCCGTCAGGCTGGGTCAAGGCCAAATCCGAAGAAAAAGGAAAAAAAGATAAAGAAAAAGAAAAGAACAAAAGATTATTCGAATCCCTCAAATCGTGCGCATGAAAATGACTTCTACGAGTTGAAAGACTGACGACGCGGTCTCAGGATGATCTAGCACTCTTTCAGATCTGTTTCCATAAAGAAAGCATCCATACCCCGCCGTACTCTGCGCCAACCCAGAACTCTTCCTCGCCGACGTGATCGGATAGATCGATCATGCAGCATAGCAGAGGTCCCGAATACTTCGAGCTGGGGCGCACCCTCTCGCGCTCGCGCAGCACCAGCATGTCCAGCGACTCCCAACTTCCACGCATTCACTTGCTCACTCCTCCACCGGTGAACCCACCACCGTCCTTTATCGCCCCATCCGCCGCCTCCCAGATCATCACTGCCGACCAGGAATTCAACACCGCCGACTTCGTCGCCGCCGATGACAACGATGGCGTCAGCGCCAGTGCCATCGTCACTCCACAAGCGCTGACCGCGCTGAATGGATTCCTCGACCATCTGCTCTTCAACATCCTCGCCACCGCCAAATCCACCCAGTTGACATCGATCCGACCAGCTCTTGCGGAAGTACTGAAACCGCGACTTGCGAAAGAAGTTGTCACCGCGGCCGATGAAGAGCTGAGCGAATATATGGGTGGCCCGGAGGACGAGGAGGTGGAGTTTGGTGGCTCTCTGTCCCAGAGCGGCGAATTCGACCTCATTCGTTCGTGGAAACTGACCCGTCTGCGGTGCATGGTGTACACGCGACTGGGAGACATGGAAGAAGATGACGAGGAGGAATATATCGCACAGGACGGCCTCGCCGACGATGAAGGTGTCTCACGCAGGTTTTCCACCCATGTGGGCACCATCACCCCTGCAGCGGCCATTTTCATCACCTCCATCATTGAACATATCGGCGAACAGGCTCTGGTGATTGCTGGAGAAACCGCTCGCTCTCGTCTCGCCAAAGCGGGCAACAATCCCGACGCTGACGCGGACACGGAACGCGCCACCATGGATCGCTTGGTGGTGGAAGATCTCGATATGGAGAAATTGGCTTTAAACCCCACCTTGGGCCGGCTTTGGCGGACGTGGAGAAAGCGCATTAGGAACCCGACCCTGACTCGAGCCGTCTCCAGGGAATCGGTTTACCGTCGTGGCACCATCGGTGCATTCTCCCTCAGCCAGAAGAGTAGCATCAATGCCATCGACGAGCTCCTTTCCAGCGCTGGTGGAACCCCGGCAACTGAAATCCCTCCCACGGAACTTGACCCGGCCTCCATTCCACTGCCCGTCAGTGACCATGACATCGAGGAGATTGAAAACCCAGCGTTTGCGCATGACATGGACGGCGGTGAAGTTGTCCAGACCATGGAGGCCGTGGTTGCTCACAAAGTGCGGCCTCACAGTCTCATGGTGCTCACTCTGCCCTCCCCAAGATCTCCAATGTCCGGCGGAAGCTCCCCATCCCCCATCACCCCGAACTCTGCCAGTAGCTCAAAACCCGTTCGTCATGCCCGTTCAAGATCTCTGCCCAACGCCTCCTATGATCAAGAGGCCCCACAAGACGAGAAGGCCCCTGAGTCTGAGCCATCGCCCACCGCCGAAGAACGAAAGAAACTGGAGACGATGTATGAACACGAAGAGGACAATGTCCACGTGGTCGAGGCTAAAACTGTCGCCATCAACGATGCCGTGAAATTAGATCATGCGGACTTCTCCCGGAACGAAGAATCCGCCAAAGGATTGCCGGAAGGGTCGCTAGAAATGACAGCGACGTCTTCGACGTCTGCAGCCTCCATGGAAGCTGTCACGAGTCAGACCAGCAGCACTCACGGATCAACATCGTCGTTAAGCGACCGAGTCCACACTGATACCGACGTAGAGATTCTGGAAGGACAAGGCATGGCTGAGAAGCCGAAACTGACCACAACAACTGTGCAGCGGCCGAAACGTAAATCAAGCAGGCTTGCACCCAACGTTGATTGCTCGCCGCAAGCTGTGCCGGAAGATGAGTCTCCGAGACCAGGGATTTCCGCGCCTGTGCGACCCGCCGTTCAATCCGAGGTCGTACAGGTGGCAGATGCGGATACTGCTACAGAGTTTCAGGCCCCTCACGCCTTGCCTTCCACCGTCAACACCCAGTTGGAAAACAATCACCGACCAGTATCAACCTCTGGTGAAGGCGGACATACAGAACAACTCCGGCCTCGCTCTAGGCCGAGTCCTTTGCCATTGACTACTAGCGCAAGTCCGAGTCAACACGGTGTTTCAAGCCCCGGATTATCGTCTGCGAGTTCAGCGACTGAGCGGGCAGGCGTTCAACGGTTATCTGGAAAGCTCCCGCCTTCTGCTACATCCTCCAGCTTTCCGAAATCTCGTCGGTCTGATAGCTTCAGTAGCAACCGGGAGAAGCGTCCAGTCACGGCTGGATCCACTACCTCTCAGGTTTCGAGCAAGCTGAAAGGCCTCATCAGTCGGCCGGCAGAGTCAGGATCACTTCGTCTTCGTAGCTCGTCGGAGACGAGTAGAGCATCCGCTTACACTGGGGATTCGGTGCGGGATGACAAGTCTGGTTTAGACGAGTTGATCCGTAGTGAGGAGACAATCCATTATACCCTGACTCCGAAGAGCATGAGGGAGATGGAGGTAAGTCTTGTGATGAGGTCAGCCGTTGGAAGTATACGATAACTGATACAACCTAGAACCCTGACTCGCCCCGTTGGCGTACCCAGCGCTCGAGTACTGCAGACTTGGCCGACTTTCTGAAGAACACGGCTCCCCCTGGGGAGGCCACACGTCCTAGAACTAAGGGCAATACCGGACCCAAATCCCCGGAGAAACCGAAATACACTCCCATCCAAATTACCGCCGTGAACACACAGCAGAACCCAAATGCGGGCCACACTCGTGATACAAAGGCTAGTGTTGGATCAACGCGTGATTTCGCCAAATTCGTCAAGTCGGGCGGCGGCGCAGCTGCTCCTCCCACCAGTGGTCAAAATGGAAGTGCAAAGACGTCGCGTTTCCGTCGGTTTTCTGATGCAGCTGAATTGTCCAAGAAATTCACAAGACCTGCAAGTGGCGTTTCGAACCCACCCCGCAGCAATGGTCCCCGGCCGCAGGCACGTCCGGCTGCCATCCCCAGAGAGGATTCGGCCGATTTAATTGACTTCATTCGCGAGGGCCCTCCAACCCCCGGGGCCCGTCGCATCCCTCGGACCGTCGCACCTTTCCGGGACACAATGGATTCTGATGACCTGGATTCTCTTGAGCCTGCCAGCACGGTTGCTAGCACGCATGAGGGTTCGATGGCAACCAAGTCTACTGGCTCCCGCACTGGTCTTCTGGAGTCAACCAACCGAACAACTGTCCAAGCAAGTGGGCCGGTGCCCACCAGCAACCCGCCTCCTGTCGGCGCGTCGAATGGCCCATTCCCTGTGCGGAAACAAAGCCGTGTGCCTGATCCGTATGCTATTGATATGGACGATGACCTCGATGATGACGAACTTGAAGAGCTTCTGGAGACTCCAAAGCCGAAGCGTGAGGAGGAGAGTTTGATGGACTTCCTGCGTAACGTGCCTCCGCCAGCGTCGGAGGCTCCTCCCCAACCCTTCTCGGTGAATATGCCTGCCGCTAAAGGCTCTTCTGGCGGCTTCGGGGGCGCTTCCTCGATCAAGGCTCGACTCCTTCGTAACACTTCTGCCGAGAAAGCCCCTTCGGCGAAGCCTTCTAGATCCTCGCTTCGCCAACAACAACAACAACAACAACAACAACAACAACAACCGGAGGGGTATGGAACGACCACCTCTAATTATACTTGGAAAACCAGCTCGGAGAGGCCTGCAGGAACCTTGCGCACCTCTCCCAGCATGCCATCCGTATCGGAGAGACAGACCGAAACCAGCGCATTGGCAGATTTTCTCCGGAACACCGGACCTCCTGAGCCACCGATGCCTGTTCGGCAAACTTCTGCTGCCGGAGGCAAGATGCTGGATTCAAACAACATCTCTCGCCTCTTCACAAGGCGTAAGAAGGTCGAGGTGTAGAAGTCAGTTTGACTTCTGCTTTTTATTGGATTCTGATTGATTTTATTGCGAATGATATTGCCGTATGTGGGCAAATGACCTGTTTTGAGCGTTCCGAGCCACATCATGATGATCCATGCTTGTTTTATCTTCCAATCTGTACTTCACAGCTTCTGTTATTTACCCCGTTCGCTATATTTTCCTTACCGTGTGACGTGTGACTAGGGCATTCCCTATTTTTGACGATTCCCACCGTGGCATTCAGTTGAATTCGCAATATTCCCCCTTCTGTTCTCACTTCACTTCTATTGCCTGGGAAAATGGGATAAACGGCTTAGATTTCGGATTGAGAGGCCTGGCCGTGTGCTATTTTGGAGGTATTCTAAGTATACACCCTTCGGTCTTTCTTGTTCCTTATCCAATATGGGATGAATATTTGATTCTGCATGATATTTCACAAATCTTATATTGCTACCACCAATAGTACAATCCTGGACTTCAACAGGATCCAAGAATTCGTATTTCTAGTTGTAGCTGTGCAGTTGATACATCCTAATTGGGAAGCCTCCGAGGTGTTTCGGAACATCATTCTGCCGCAACACTCGGCTCCCCTTGCGCGGCGTGGCATCAACTTTATACGGCCAACAGCTCCCAAGCTTTGTTGCTACTTTCCCAGACCTCCCTGTCGACCACCGTGGCAATTACATCGACAATGGGGTCCTCGAAATTCACGCTGAGGTCAATCCTCTCGATTCTCCTGTTGTGCCTGGTTCAGATCTCCTCCGCCCTGAGATTCGACCTCTCCGCTATCAGCGGGAAGAATGAGCGATGTATACGCAATTTCGTCTACAAGGACCAGCTCGTCATGGTCACGGCTATTGTGAGCGGTCAGCGGGGTGATGGACAGGTGGTGAACATGCATGTATGTGAGGATCGTTTGTTTTGATCCGGCCTCGATGGCCATCCATGGTCGTGCGGACCTACTCCGGCGGCAGACACCACCTAATTCATATGTGTCCTTGCTAATCACGTCTTTCAATCTCAGATCAAGGATGCCCTGGGCAACGACCATGGCCGCCCGAGGGATATCGCTGGTGAAACTCGCCAGACATTCACTGCCCCGGCCGATACTGCTTTCGATGTTTGCTTCGAGAACCAGCTCGTTTCGCGCCGTGAGTCGCCCCTTTCTACTTCTGCTCCATGTTGAATTGAAGGCGTTGTGGAAAGCGTCAGAATCAGCTCTTCCTAACGTGGTGAACAGAAGCTATTGCCAACCCGTACCGGTCGATCGAGCTCGACGTCGACATTGGCGCCGACGCGCGTGATTGGTCCAGCATCCAGAGCCAGGAGAAGCTCAAGCCCATCGAGACCGACCTCCGCCGTATCGAGGAGATGGTGCAGGAGATTGTCAGCGAGATGGAATACCTCCGGGCGCGCGAGCAGAAGCTGCGGGATACCAACGAGAGCACCAATGAGCGCGTGAAGTGGTTCGCCTTTGGCACCATGGGCATGTTGATTGGGCTCGGCGCCTGGCAGGTTGTCTATCTCCGGGCTTACTTCAGGTATGTCTTGATGTCGTTCTCCTGCGGTGGTTGTTGGTGCTGTTTGCATGAATCCTGGCTAACTCGCTGTGTGTGTACAGATCCAAGCATCTTATCTAGACGACTCATTCGGTTTGATTGGAGATGTTGGGATGAAGGGCAGCTCCAGGCTGATGCTTCCCCTTTTTCTGTCATGAGATGTGGAGTTACATTGTCTTTGCTGAGTGTCTTCCGGCCTTACGTAGTCTCGGATATTTTCACGGTACACTGTTTGAATATTATGATCCTATGATAACACATATTTGGCATGGCGGAGCGATATGACTTGATCGGAGTAATGTTGGAGTGCAGATGCCTCTGTCAAGCAGGGGTTGGCTGCTCGGGTGCAGTGGTAATGCATGGCTCTCCAGGCTCGATAATACCTTATGATCCTTTGAACTGTTTCTGTCATAATACCAGTAGTATTCGACGGTTAAAATCTCACATGCACCGGTTGTAAATACACTGCCTTCGGTTCGTCTATTTAGACGATGCAAACGCCGCAAACACCCAACGAATACTCCGGATGATGTCAATCCCGTCATTCTGAATTATTCATCGCATGCTTGCATCAACATCGCCCCTATGCTCTAGGTGGACAATTCCTCTCCCCAGAGTTTCTACAATCTATTTTTCATCCATAGAACCACAATGTCGGTTTCACGCATGATCCCCCGCCTCGTGCGGGCTTCCGCATCTCCCATGGCCGTCCCAACCGCGTTCCGCCGCTCGTTCGGCAGCTCGGTTGTTTGCGCAAAGGACAATGACGGCCCTCGAGGCCCTTCAACGCCCTCGACGGCGCCCGAGTATCGCCAAAACCAGACGTCCAAGCCGCCCAACCAGTTCATGCCCAATTCGACCTCGACCATGACCAATGACTATCCCAAGGTCGGGGAGAAGGCGTCGCCGCCGGAGCTCCTGAACTCGGTCGATCCGAACTACCGCCCGGCGGACCCCTACTCCGGAAAGGTCCAGCATTTCACCGGCGGCAGACAGGAGCCCGGCGCGCAGAAGCCGGAGCTGGGACTGGGTGAGATGGAGGGTATTACGTTCAAGGTTGAGCCGCTGCAGCGGTCGGGCGAGGATACGACTACCATGCGGGCGCGGTTGCTCTGTGAGTCGACGATTCTCTCCATACCGTTGGTGTTTTGACTGGAGTACAAAGTCCAACGGTATGGGATGTTTCCATACATGTACTAATGAGAAGCAGACCAAAGCCGCAAGCGCGGTATTCTCGAGTCTGATCTGCTGCTCTCTACGTTCGCCGATGTCTACCTCGCCAAGATGAACCACGAGCAGCTGCAGGAGTACGACCGCTTCCTGGACGAGAACGACTGGGACATTTACTACTGGGCGACGCAGGATGCTCCCGAAGAAGGGACACCCGCCGAAGATACGCCCACGGAGACCTGGCAGCGCACGGGGGCCAAGAGCGGCGAATGGCGGCAGACGATCGGTGCCTTCAAGGCGGCATACCGGCCGGTGCCTACGCGATGGGCCGACTCGGAGGTTCTGAGACTTCTTCGCGAGCATGTGCGGGATAACAGTGCTACTGGGTTCCATGCAGCGAAGAACAAGAAGACCGGGGGGAGTGGGTTGGGGCGGATGCCCAACATCCAGGTGTTTGATTCGTGAGATTGTATAGTTTTTGTATAGTTGTATAGTTGGATGGATTGTATGATATTGGGTATGGGATAGATTGAATGGATATAAGTGCTTGGGATGTATAGTTACTAAATGGGAGTATGTATTGGATACCACGTGACTCGCTTATGTTAGGGCTTCCGTCCGCACAACAACAAGCGGCACCGGGCACGCTAGTTAGGGCTTAGACGGCGTCTCTGCTCCTCCATCCTCGAACGCTGCGATTTTATCCCCCAGCCCAGAGTCAACGACAATCGCTCCGCCCGCTCATCCTCTCTCCTCTCGCGGTCGTCCCCTTCCATCGTCTCCCAGACTCCGATCATGGCTGAGCAGCTGGTCCTTCGCGGCACCCTCGAGGGTCACAATGGCTGGGTTACTTGCCTGGCTACCTCTATGGAGAAGTAAGGGAATTCCGGATCCGATATATGCCCAAAAAAAGTTATATTGAAGCCATGCACGAACGGGAAAAATTTTTTTAATTTCCTCTTGGACGGCAAGACGTGGCTCTGGTTGAATTCATGGACAATTGGTTTCTGACATGATGTTCTTTCTTCGCTTCTAGCCCCAACATGCTGCTCTCTGGCAGTCGCGACAAGACCCTGATCATCTGGAACCTCACTCGCGATGAGCAGGCCTACGGTTACCCCAAGCGCAGCCTTGAGGGCCACTCTCACATCGTCTCCGACTGTGTATGAACCCGATCCTCGTCACCCCCACCGGTGGAATGTTCGGAGTCGCATCCGACCTCCGCGAAACCATGCGAGAAGAAGATTGGCTGACTGGGCTCTGTATAGGTGATCTCTTCCGACGGTGCCTACGCTCTGTCTTCCTCCTGGGACAAGTCCCTCCGCCTGTGGGAGCTGTCCAGCGGCCAGACCACCCGCACTTTCGTCGGCCACCAGAACGACGTCCTGTCCGTCTCCTTCTCCGCCGACAACCGCCAGATTGTCTCCGGTTCTCGTGACCGCACCATCAAGCTGTGGAACACCCTTGGTGACTGCAAGTTCACCATCACCGACAAGGGCCACACCGAGTGGGTGTCCTGCGTCCGCTTCAGCCCCAACCCCCAGAACCCCGTCATCGTCTCTGCTGGCTGGGACAAGCTCGTCAAGGTACGTCGACAACAACCCCTTCTCCGTACACGATTTTCCGTCGTCCAAAGGATGTTTGCATATCTACGTATTTGCTACTTCAGAGCCTTTTGGCCATGAGACAAAAAATCACCAATGCCTGATGGACACGGAAAATCTTTTCCTTCTTGTCGGTCTTTTCACTGGAAACATGAGATTGTCAACACCATTGTGTTCCACAATACTGACATTCATGTCTAGGTTTGGGAGCTCGCTTCCTGCCGTCTCCAGACCGACCACATCGGTCACTCCGGCTACATCAACACCGTCACCATCTCTCCCGACGGATCCCTCTGCGCCTCCGGTGGCAAGGACGGTATCACCATGCTCTGGGATCTCAACGAGTCCAAGCACCTCTACTCCCTCCACGCCGGCGACGAGATCCACGCTCTCGTCTTCTCCCCCAACCGCTACTGGCTCTGCGCCGCCACCTCCAGCAGCATCACCATCTTCGACCTCGAGAAGAAGAGCAAGGTTGATGAGCTCAAGCCCGAGTTCATCGAGAAGGGCAAGAAGAGCCGTGAGCCCGAGTGCATCAGCTTGGCCTGGTCCGCTGACGGCCAGACTCTGTTCGCTGGTTACACTGACAACAAGATCCGTGCTTGGGGTGTCATGTCGCGGGCATAGATGAGCGAACGATGAAAATGAAACCGTGAGCGCACCGTTGGTGAAAAGAGGAGGAGGCAAACTCGATGAGAGGAAGATCTAACTCGACATGTTTTTTATTTTTCCTTTTGAACCAACAAAAAGGGCAGGCATTGGTTGGGATGTATGAGCCATGAGCAATGAAGCACCCCGGGCGTCTTCCTTCACCGGACCTCCCGGGGTTTTTCTGACATGTCTAGCTTACTCGATTCGCCATAGAATCCGAATGTCTGGAATCTTGTGAAGGATGGCATGCGATGTTCTAATACCACCTCAAAAAGACATAAAAAAATTCCTTTAAAACAGCCGATGTCTCGCTGTCCGGACCATGTCTCTGCGCCCTTGGCGACTGCCGCAGTTTTGCTGCCGTAGGAACTAGCACGGATGTCAAATTGCAATCCTGTCTTTTCATGACTGTGGTTGTGCCGAAGAAGTGCTGATATCGAATGAAGATTTCTCCCCAGCGACGTACTAGATGTGTGTCTTGCGACTTTGCTTGCAGAGTTGAAATGGCATATATCCATTGAGGACCTGGAACATACGTAACATACCTAGCCTTTAATATATCGAAATCATTCTTGATCCCATAACCTTCGCATCCTAGTTCTATATGTTTTACAGTCTACAACTGATACAGTACTAAATGGTCATCCTGGACTGCTGTATTGCTCTATCATAATATACATAACCCTAGCTGGGCTTATTTGTTCTCCTTCAACTTCTGCAATGATTCTTCGGCCGCCTCAATGCCTTCTTCGTAGCCAATCGCCCGCGCATCAGACAGGGCTTTGTTGAATAGCTTTTTGGCCTCCTCCCGCTGGTTCTTATCCGCGGCCAACGTGCCCAGGTTATATGTGGCCACTGTGCTGGCAATGTCACAATCCCAGTCCCTAACCGGCGGCGCGATCTTCGCGGCAACCTCGATGGCCTTCTGGGCCCATTGGCCCGCCGACTCGAGCATCTGAGCCCGCACCTTGTCCGGCTCCGGAGCCTGGATGGGCTGGTGGGTCCGGTTGGCCAGCACCCCCGAGATATCGCAGAGGAGGATAGCCTGCTTGCACGTGGGACAGTCGCCTTCGTCCGCCCGGGCGAGATCCAGAGAGCGCAGGTACAGCGGGAGCGCCAGGTCAAACTTCCCCTGGGCCCGGTACGTATCAGCGAGCTCCGCCAACGCCGCGCACATTTCACCAAGGTTCAGCCACGCATCGTTGTCCTTCGACCCGCCTCCGACAGGTAGACCCGCCGTCTGGCGCCGCTGCATCTCCTTCAGGCACAGTTCCACGGCCGCAACCTGGGCAGCCTCGGCCTTGCCCTCGTCCTGGATGTAGTCGCTGGCGTACAGCTCGGCGAGCTTCATTTCAATGCCGACAGCCTTCTTCAGCGCCTTGTCGCGCTGCCGGTCCTCCCACTCGGCGCGCTGCGCCATCTGCTCCTGCAGGTCCTGCATCTCGGGGTCCGTGACGGCCACCGTGTCCGGCTGGTCCTGGGCGGCGGCGCGGCGCTCCTTCTCGCGCACCGCCGCCTGCTTCCGGCTCTCGTCGATCCAGTTCAGCGCCTCCGTCTTGGTCCGCTCCAGCACGTCCACCGCCGGCTTCACCAGCCCGGCCTTCTCCAGCATCATCGCCACCTGCAGCTTGATGCCGAGCACCTCGTCCGAGAACGGGTGCATGCCCATCTCCACCGCGATCCGCAGCGCCTCCTTGTACGCCTTCAGCGCCCGCGGCGGCTGCAGATCCACCTCCGTGTAGTACACCGCCGTCCGCAGCGACTGCTCCACCGGCGGCGGGAACCGCGAGTACTGCGGCGCCACCGTCGTGTACTCGACATACGCGATATAGGTGAAGATGGCGGTCGCGCCGGCCAACGATAGAATCGCCACCGGCAGCAGGATCGGGTTCTTGCGCCAGATGCCCTTGGACGCTTCCTGGAACCCGCGTTTCATGCGGCTGAAGTAGCTCGCGTGGCGGGTCTGTGTGAATGCGGCCGCATTGAGTTGTGTCGGCCGGGATTGTGCGTGTGTTTGTACGGTGTTTGGTCGGGGGCGGCTTATCGAGCGTGTCGTTAGTAGTCGCGGCTGGTGTAGGAATGTGTTGCGGATTTTCGGGGCCACGGCGCTGGCCCGCCGGGACGCGGTAGTGAACATTGTTGGGGATTCAGACTGGGTGTTTAGCGAGTGACCGTCATGGGCGAGAAGTGTGGGAATGCGAGAGGTGGGTGAGTCAGGTTGATGGTTGGATGGGTGTGAAGAAGATGGAGGCGATCAATGGACGGAAGCGCAAAATGAGCGAGGGACCCAGCCCGTATTCCCCGTTGGTCCAAGCTTCTCCCGCATATGACGTTGAGCTCGCGTTCCAGCTCTGTCTTTGCGCTCTACACATTCTACAGTCTTTTTCACTGACGGCAAGTAGTCGATTTATTCTCTTTGTACTAATTGTACAGCATGTGTGGCCGCTACGCAATGAGCGTGGTATGCATCTCAGTCCCCCGAGGGCTAGCGGAGGCTGACATGTCATAGCGCATGGCGTACGTGCGGCGCCGTCTCCAAGACCACGGAATGCAGGTAGACGAAGCGCCGGAAGACGACGAAGTACGAGAGACGTATAACTTTGCTCCCGGATACAACGGCGCCGTGTACCGTGCGGCACTACCCTCGCACCGGTCCCATGCCGCGGAGCAGGATGAGCACGAGCATGAGCATGCAGGGGCGCCATCACAAGAACATGCGCCGAAAAGCCCCACCGAAACCCAAGGCGGCGGACAGGCGACACCAATCTACAAGATCCAGAGCATGAAATGGGGCCTGATCCCCTTCTGGACCAAGCGCCAGCCCGACTACGGCTCCCTGATGCGGACGATCAATTGCCGCGACGACTCCCTCATCGAGGACCGAGGGATGTGGACGTCGATGAAGCGCAGGAAGCGCTGTGTGGTGGTGTGTCAGGGGTTCTACGAATGGCTGAAGAAGGGGCCTGGGGGGAAGGAGAAGATACCGCACTACATCAAGCGCAAGGATGGTGACTTGATGTTTCTTGCGGGATTATGGGACTCCGTCTCGTATGAAGGTATGCCTGTTATGTTGCGAGGCTATGATGAGTCTAGGGCTGTAAGAGCTGACTGAATAGGCTCCGAGGACATGTTGTACACGTACACCATCATCACCACGTCCTCGAACCAGTATCTGCAGTTCCTCCACGACCGGATGCCCGTGATCCTGGAGCCGAACAGTGAACAGATGAAGACATGGCTGGACCCAACCCGAACAACGTGGTCGAAGGAGTTGCAGTCACTGCTTAAACCGTACGAAGGCGAGCTGGAGTGCTATCCTGTGCCGAAAGAAGTCGGCAAAGTGGGAAACAACTCCCCGGACTTTATCATCCCACTCAAGGAGAATAAGGGAAATATTGCGAATTTCTTCGCAAATGCGAAGAAGAAAGCAGAGCCGCAAGCTAAGACTGGGGAAGTGCAGGATGAAAGCCAGGATATTGTATCCACTGGAGTCAAGCGAGAGCATCCAAGGGACACCGGCGACATCGTGGATAGTGATCGGAAGAAGGTTAAGACTGAAACGACGCCTTCGCCGAAAAAGGCTGGGTCAGAGACAACTCCGAAGAAGCAGACACGGAGTGCAACGCATAACCCAAGGCTGACGAAGAAAACTGAAGCGAAAAAGCCGACTCAAGGATCCCAACGCATCACGAAGTTCTTCGGAAAGTAATGCCATCCAATTGCTTGCGCGATGTCATATTTCGCCAGGGCTGGACCCTGGATAGCAGTTACAACTTGACGACTTATGGCAGTTATTTCGGTATCAGATCACTGCCCAGCAGCTTTGGTCTCAATCATATAATACAATTGGTATAATACAATCAAAATATTCTACACAGTGCTCAAGCACTACTTGTTTTCCTGTTCACGCAGTCTCTGGACCAGCTTCTCTCTGAGGAAAGGGCTCAACCCGAGACTAGTTCCAATTAGCATTTGGAAGACAGTCAAAAGCGCAAATACTTACATTCCGTCTCTCGTGATGATTCGGTAGGTACCTGTATATGGTCAGCTTCGACGAAAGAAGTATTTGGCCTTGAAACTTACCGCTTGGCTGGTAATTCCCATTCTCTCCCACAAAACTCCCGTCACTGTCGACTTCCAGACTCCCAAAGATATCCTCAGGCCTGTTCGCTATGTCAGCGCAACGAACATCCCACATCTAAATGGACTTCATACCATGCAATACGCCCATACTCAGGCGGCCGTCTATTATCAGAGAGATGGATCCAACCTCCTCTCCCCCCAGACCCAGCACCACCTTGGCCGCTAGCGCCTCCGCTCGAGTCCGCCGAGCGTTGCCGTCTGCGTGCGCGCGCACCCGTCAACAGGACACCGCCGGAGCTTAGATTAGCTCCAGCAGTAGAGACCATGACCTGGGCCTGGGAGATCGCATCTGGATCTTGATACCCGTACTGTGAGATCACCTCCTGCAATGTTTCCAAGAATTTCGGGTTCTCTTGGAATGAGTCGGTGGTAGGGGGAAGCTTGGAGGTCACACCGATCGACAGCTCGGGGTTCGTAGGCTCTGACGGGAGCAATGATAGAATATGCTTTCCATTGGAAGGAAATACATACTAGTATAGAGTGTTAGCGCGGAGAACTATACAAGGCTGTCATACGGATGTGTCGTACGATGTGAGAGTGGCCTTCTAAGGTCGACACCGAACGGAACGGTGCGAGTACGCGAAATGCCGGAGCTCGAAGGGTGAAAGTCCTGGCAGCAAACATGTTGGCGAGCGACGTTGCGACGAGACTGCAGCTTGGAGAGCGTCGAAGGAGCTCTTGAGATTGTTGCGATTTGACTATGACGAGATGGGACAAACAGCGCAAACTCATGTGACCGGTGTTTTCCGCCGCGGGATTCCTTTCAGCAACCAACACCTTTCTTTCTTGCGCCTCAGCTTCGCATACCTTCCGCAGTGGCCAATTGCTGCCTCTCTTCCGTATTACTGTTGGATAGTACTCTGGGGATGCTGATGTTGGCTCTTTGAGTGTTTCGCTTGCGCACCCTGCACTTAGCGCCTATTGCTTCCGCTTGCAGGAGATGAGACGCCGCAACACGTCGCGATAGAAGAAGCTTGAATTTTGGCTATTGTTCTGCATCAGATACCCGCTCCAGCGTCAGCGTCTTCTCGCAATCTATACTCCATTAGACTTCTCTTTCTTTCAGCGCAAACATGGCTACCCCATCTTCCAAACCGAATCCCGGCGCGACACCGACGCATTTGACATCGTCTCCCCGTCCGTCCGGACCGATACCCAAACCCATCGCCCACAAATCTCCATCAACTAAGACTCCATCGGCCTCGGGACCTGGGCATCTTTCTCAGCCGCCGTCGGCGCACCAATCCGCGACGCCGCTGGCCGCTACCACGGGCGCCGATGACCCCGTCTCCTTCAGTTCGCCATCGGCCCTCTTAGCTCTCGGTGCGTACGGGGGAATTAGCCCATCGCCGGCCGTTCACGATAGTCTCGTTGCATCCGGTATGAACGAGAGTGATATCCAGGCATTGGGTATGCATGGCTTGAAGCTTGGCGGTGCGCGGGACAGCGACGAAGAGCGAAGGAGACACATCGATGAAGTCGTTCAGATCCTCCGGGCTCGTGTCGCCGGCCGCGGAGTGTGCCGAGAGGGCATCGAGAGATTGGGCCAATTGGAGGGGTTCGAGTCGATTTGGCAGGAAGACAGTCTCAACATAGCGGGGAACTTCGTCGACCTCGAGATTGACTTTTACCGCGGCCAGAACATCGTCAAGGGTGTCAGTCTGAAATATGATACGCCCGAGGCCGCCAATGGCGAGCCTCGCGAGGAGGCGACGGCTGTCCTGAAGCATGATTTGGTCCAAACCCCTGAGGACGGAGAGCGCGGCTCGTGGAAGTCCCTCGCTGGGTTCCATGAGAATTTACAATGGCTTGCCCGGCATGATCGACTCAGCCAGGAGGTCAACTGTTTCGAGGCCATCGAGGGCCTGTATGAAAGCCTCAAGCGCGTGTGGGAGGAGGAGAAGAAACATTGCAAGGTCTCGGGTGTCTATGAACAACTCTGCAGCGGCTGGGTTGGTCGACCTGGTCTGCATCAAGGAGGCCGGATTGGGCTCAGCTTGGACTACTGGGTGCATCAGGCACGAGTTTTGGATGCGAAGCAAAAGAAAACATCGCCCGACGAGATGGTCGTTGACCAACCCGCCGGCCAGCCAGACGACCAACTCGCTCGCGGGAATGGCGGGTGGAGCGTCGTTGTTGAATGTGAGGAGGGCTACCCATCGCTTCGTGTCTCCAAGGAGTGGGTCAATACCGAGGTGATGACGGTGGTGAATAATGGAAATGAGTCTTCAGCAGATCATGCAGGGTCCAGTGTTGCTGTGGTCAACTGGGCTGACCCACCGGCCACCCTGGCGCCAGGAAGCCAAGGTCATTCCGATGCAATGACGCTGGATTCGGGCATGCTGGGCTCTGCGCCGAACCGTCGCTTCGTTGCTCGGCTGGAGCCACCTCTTGATGTTCCCATCATCGCTGCTTCAGACATTTACCGACATCTGGGCATCCAGATGCCCCCAGAGTATAAGATGGTTACATATGACGGCCTGTTGGCCCCAGGATGGTCGCCACTGTCGACAGCCGGTGCTATGGGCCTGGGCCCGGACGACATGTCCCAATTTGGACGAAAGCGCCGGCGGTTAGAGGTCGAGGCAGTTGATAAAGATGGAAAACCATGCACGAAGAAGCACAGCTATACATTCCAGCCATTTGAGTCTGTCGCCGGCCGAACGATCCGTGATATCCCGTTTGCACACCCTCGCCAGCTTGCTGACATTCTCCCTGTATGTGCACCTGTGTCTCTGATAGTTTGACATACTGACAGCCTTTTTCAGACCCTACGCCAGTATGCCTTCTTGGCCAACCTGATTCGTAATGTCTTTGCATGCAAAGATGTCGATGGCAAGAAAGACCGGGGTAATTTGCCGGCCGCGCTAAACCTAACGGGAGTTCCAACACAAACATGGGAGTCAGCAAAGAGCGACACAATAATCCTGAGTAATGACGACCCAGATGAGAAAAGGCTCAACTGGTTGCTTGAAGAGACCAGTAATGCGCGCGAGCCGGTCTCCGGAGATGGCAGTGAATTTACACCCGATGACGATGTCAAAGTCGACGTGACACTGCGGACCCAACTTGGACAAGCACCCGTGATAATGCTTCTATTCACGGCGAACGATTCCACGTCTGATCCAAAGTCGAGCAATGATGCTGGCGTGTTCAGGAAAGTCTCCATCAGCCTCGAGATCGGCCTGAATGGCCGGGTATCGGTTGTGGATATGACAGGGTTACTGGATGACGACGCAGATAAGCAGGACGCGAAAGAAGCTGATGGTCAAAAGAACGAGGCATCCGAACTCCAAAGCAAGATGGCCCGCGTTTTGGAGATTTCTCAAGACATTGGAATACTGGTCGAATGGGTCTTGCGATGGGCGCAGCAGCGAAACAGCCGGTGACCAGCACGGTCCGTGCAGGTTTCATCAAAAATACCGGGGAATGCATGAGCTGCGTCAAATTAAAGGAGCCCGTACCTGAATGCTTACCCAGTCCGGACTGGCGCATCGTAGATCCATGTCGTGGACAATGGGCTTGGTTTGATAACCAGCGTTCCGGGGACTCCGTACAGACTCCACTCGCTTTAAGCTTCTTGTTCCAGCCTGCAGGGGCTGGCTCCATACAGTTCGTGTAGCCGGGTGTCGCTTATCTGGGTTTGTCCGAGTTTTGACGCAATCGCGCGTCTCAGTCCTTGGCTCAGTTGGATATATTCAGCTCGGATGGACGATGCTGCGCCTGGACTTGGAACATACGTTCGATTGAAGGAAGGATGGCATATTGCTGCATGATGGTTTGCAGTAGAGGTGCAGCAGGTCTCGCATCTGACTGTATGGCAGAGTATCAGGGAGCAGCTTTACAGCGCAATTGCGGCATCTCATGGTAAATTCACGACTCTACTGCATGCAGACCAGCGGAGTGAAGGCTATACCCGGCACACTCTAGTAACCTGCATAATTGCATGGTCAACTGAGGCATGGACGTTTATATCTATTGAGTTACAGGCGCTTGGTGATATCCCCAGGCAGATTTTATTGCACAAGCATTGTCATTGTACATCGTCACGGTGACACAGCAGTATAGTAGACAGTCTCCAGGATTAGACTAGGTATATCCAACTCTACAGGCAGTATACGCTCACTATGGACCATGGTAGAGATATATATCCAGTGCAGTCCATCCATATCCCCTATTTCAGGTGGCCTGCCAAGTCTATAGTGTATTACAGGTAAAACAGGGAGCCAGGATAAAACAAACGCAAATTACACTGTTTCTACTTTATCCGAATCCAGTCAGCACCTTTTGTCATGCTGAGACGGGTTGGACCAATTAAAGCGCAGCGATAAGCAATTCGGTCGAATGCGGAGGGGGGGAAAAGCATGCAGACTGATCATTGGCCTCCTTGAAGCAGGCGTTTTCGCCAGTCGGTGAGCAGCAACTCGCAAGAATGACATTTGTATGAGGGATAAACGGAGGGTCGGATCGATGCGTGTGACGACGGCCGGTGGGGGATCTGCTGGCAAAGAACTTGAACGAAGAATACCGACGCCTCCTATGATGGTTGTACCGTGTAGTCATGACGCCATTAGGGAGAATCCGGAGGGGCGAGCTTAGTCAGAGACAGGTCACGCTAGCCGGATTCGGGTGCATGTGACAGGCAGCGCCACATGTGGCAGCACTTCTACAACATCATCTGCTATTATCTAGACACTGGCGGATGCAAGGAGCGTCGTGGTGAGACTCATACAATAGAGTCTTGAAACAGCTGGGGCACATCGACTCTATTAATAACATCTGGTCCCAGGGAACTACGGCAGTCGTTGAGACATGCAACCGACAGCATCCACAGGGCTGATCGCAGGCCAGGCCTCAGCCACTCAGTCGCTTCCTGATTCTCCCGACTTAGCTTCGTGTCCGGCACCATTTGCTGGCCTCGAGGGTTTCCGCAAAGGGCAGATCGGACGCTAAAGCAGTCGACTGGGTCTGGAGATGCCTGTCTGATATCGCCCATCTTCCGTGGAATTTCGCTCGCTTCCCACCCCTTCTGTTCTTCCTCGGTCTCTGTCAAACTCCTCGGGTTGAAGGGAAAAAAAGAAATCCCATGCGGCCGTCCGACAACGGGGTCAACGAGTGACTCTTGGTTAATGTTAGTCAACCACTGGGGCCGGTGTCGGGGGAGCCTCTCTCGTCCGTCGAAATGGGTTGCCACGCCCCACTGCCGGAGGATTGTCCGGGCCAAGGCAAAGTCTGGCTGGTGGATGGCCAGTCTATTACTCCATTACTTTTCTGGTAATGAAATACGGTGTAATTCTGTAATTCGTGTATGGATCTAGAAGGGGTAGGGGTAGGGAATAAAGGTATATCTGTCTATATCATGCTGATTTCCGTTGGATGGAGGAATCCAAAGGAATCATATCAAAAAGAACAAAGGAGTCGGCAGGCGCGCTACGATCCACCCACGCGAATGGCGGGGAGTTTTGCTTTTGTGGCTTCTTCGTGGAGGGGCACCGCTGATAAGGGAAATGTGGATGCTGATAAGTCCAGTTGGTACGGAGTACCTGTAGTACCTACCTAGGTAGTTCGTCTCGTCCATCTAGAACATAGGGATTACATATCACGTATCCTCCAGATGGTAGTTAGCGATTACAGATAGGTCATGAATAAAAGTGTCCACCGGCAAAAGAGGAAGAATCTATTCATAGGTTGATTGTGGATGCTACTAAGCCTACTACTAGTATCCGACCGCGCATAGATAAGGCCGGGAGAAAGGTACCCGACGGAGCTGACCAGGCGATACTCCGGCCACCATCTACTGTATGTATACACCGACAGTATCGAGGGTCTCCCTCTCTGTACACAGGACAGCCAGGGTCCGGTTAAGCCATTAGAATTGCAAAAGACAGATGCAGATGACTGCCAATAGGGAGCACGTCCAGGGCCGAGATTAGGCGCAGACAACGTTCAACGCTATTCGGGTCCTGCAGCTGATATGCATCGCTCCCGTCCACTGACGGGAGATATTGAATAATACCTGTTAGCAAACCTCTTCGTGTCGCTATCTCGACTGACAGCCGTCCCCGGAGATTCTCCCACAATCACATTCATTTCTTTTCTTCTTCCACCCTCTTGATCGCTAGTCACCCGACAGGTACGGTTTCTCCTGTTGATAATTTCGCGTCTACCATTTGTCCCTCTCGGCCGCCTCCCTCCCCCATCTTCCGGAATTTACCCAGTGGCGTGGGGTGGGATTATCTGGGGAAACCACATTCCAGATGGTGTGTCCATGTTGCCCTGGGATTGTCACCATCATCTGAATGGATACATGCCGTTCTCCCTGCATGGGCTGTCTCGATGCTGTCCATGCAGGAGCTGCATATTTGGCCATCCAAGGGGGCGCCATTTTCTGCTGAACGCTCCCGGCCTGCTGGATCCATATTACCCAAACGGGTAATATTATTACCTGAGTCTCTGCTTGGGCAGAAGTAAGGCAGACCTTATGATCTCGAAATCACTAGTCGTAGACTTGATTCTACCGGGTAGACCTCCTATCAATACCTTCAACCATACGTAAGAAGATAACGCACGAATAAGGGTGATATCCGTCTGTCAACTCTCGGATGGTCTATCCGGTTGGTCAGGAAGAGTCTGGAGGCGTCCATGCGATGCGTCCCATTTACACTCCCTGTACATACCACCAGGCGCAGAGGGCAGCGGTTGGGGTCGAATAATGGGTGAATGGAGATCCGCAAAATGCGCCTTTTTTTGACTCGCTGCCGGCTGAATTTTTTTTTTCTTTTTTCTGGGTCTGAAACACCCCGGCAACTGAGCCACACGCCGCGGCCAAAAAAAGAAATCTCGTAGGCAACCCAGCTCCCAAAAAAGCCGCATGGAAAGGGGAAGATTGTTAGAAATCGCTCATTTCGAGGAGTCAGTACTGAGAAGAATCGATCTAGATGCAGAGACTGGATGCGATGGTTCTAGTAGCATCAGGATAAGAGCGAGAATAGAATATCAAAAAGATCCAATCTATTAAAAGAATAGATTACGGCCGTACGGGCAATACCGATGGGCACAGCAGCAGCCGAAGATTACGGTATCTTTCAGCGCACTTTCCCCGATCGGGAGGCAAATTTGCCGCCCTCCCAGAAAAGCAACGCGACGCCTGCTGAAATTTAAAGCATCGGTTCCCCCCCACCCACAGAACCGCCGCTTCTCCCCTCCTCAACTCACCCTCCTCCAGATTTCAATCTCTTGAAACAACACTTCGTTGTTGTCTTCGCTTTGCTCTATTTAATCGCGATCTCTCCCTCGCTACTTTCGCTACTTCCATCCTCCTTCCTCCTCATCAATCGTTCGATCGTGGTTCCGCGTTCGTCCGTCTCTGTTCACTGAAAATCCAGCTTGTTGGAGTCATCTTGCCTCTCTACCAGCTGAACACTCCCTGAAAAGGAATCCAAAGATCCTATCTCTATCAGTTCACCCTTCACATCAATTTCACAATGGTATGTCCATGTCTTTGCCTCGTCACCCGTCCGTCATCCGGCACAGGACACCCAGCTAACCATGACTCATCGCCACAGTCGAAATCAACCGTCGTCTCCAACACGGAGAATGTGCGTTCTTCTTCTCATTGATACCTGTCACTGCTTTTTCTTCAACCGCGCTTTCCCTGCGGTTCGAGGAAACAGTATACTGACTGATGCGCTGGAAACAGCTCATGAAGTACATGTCCCTCGACCAGAAGGGTCGTGTCCAGGCCGAGTACATCTGGATTGACGCTGTCGGTGGCTGCCGCAGCAAGACTAAGGTATGCACTACCCTTCTCATCAACATTTATCTTCCTAGCGCACCACAAGGTTGCCATGTGGCGCATGGTTTGTGTTCCAAGCCATGGAGTGTGACCCCTCAGTGCGGTTATCGCGCTGGTTTCGCCCTGGCCGATAAGCCCTACGCACGGGGATTTTGCTGCATGCCACATCTGCGCCTGCACCCACCCGCTCCCACGTGACTCATCTCCGATCTGACCGGGACTAACCCTCCTTTTCCCCTGCCAATAGACTCTCTCCAAGCCCGTCAAGTCCGTTGATGAGCTCCCTGAGTGGAACTTCGATGGTTCCTCGACCGGCCAGGCTCCCGGTGACAACTCCGATGTGTACCTCCGTCCCGTTGCCATCTACCCTGACCCCTTCCGCCTTGGTGACAACATTCTCGTTCTCTGTGAGACCTGGGATTCCGATGGTACCCCCAACAAGTTCAACTACCGCCACGAGGCTGCCCGTCTGATGGAGACCCACGCCAAGGAGGAGTTCTGGTTCGGTCTGGAGCAGGAGTACACCCTCCTCGGTGAGGACGGCTGGCCCTACGGCTGGCCCAAGGGTGGTTTCCCCGGTGCTCAGGGCCCCTACTACTGCGGTGTCGGTACCGGCAAGGTCTACTGCCGTGACATTGTCGAGGCCCACTACCGTGCCTGCCTGTATGCCGGTATCAACATCTCCGGTATCAACGCCGAGGTCATGCCCTCCCAGTGGGAGTACCAGGTCGGCCCTTGCGAGGGTATCGAGAGTGAGTTTTCCTTATCTCTTTAGATTTGTCATTCGTTGTTAACAATTACTCTAGTGGGTGATCAGCTTTGGATGTCCCGCTTCCTCCTCCACCGTGTGGCTGAGGAGTTCGGCGTCAAGATTTCCTTTGATCCCAAGCCCATCAAGGGTGACTGGAACGGAGCTGGTCTCCACACCAACGTCTCCTCTGCTGCCATGCGCGCCGAGGGTGGCATGAAGGTCATCGAGTCCGCCATGAAGAAGCTCGAGGCCCGCCACGTCGAGCACATTGCCGTCTACGGTGAGGGCAACGAGGAGCGTCTCACCGGCCGTCACGAGACCGGCAGCATCGACAAGTTCAGCTACGGTGTCGCCGACCGTGGTGGCAGCATCCGTATCCCCCGCCAAGTGGCCAAGGATGGCAAGGGTTACTTCGAGGACCGCCGTCCCGCTAGCAACGCTTGCCCGTACCAGATCACTGGTATCATCGTCGAGACTGTGAGTTCTCCTTTAATACCCTTTCGCAAGACCTTACACTAATTCGGAACCAGCTCTGCGGTGGCGTCTAAATGGAAAACCCCATAACTAATACCGAATCAAAATGCGAAAAACCTCTTTCTCTTAGCGCTCGTATACCCTCCGGCGTCAACCCGGGAGTAAAGAACCTAAGAGAGCAGCCTGGCCGTTGTGGAGAGCAAATATAGATTTCGTCATGTTTCTTTCGCTTTTCCTCCCCTTCACCCAATCCGTTTTGTCTCATGGTATTTCAGGGGTCCTTTCTCTTCCTGCTCTCGGATGCCAGAGTTTGCTGCCCTTTTTGCGTTCCTTCTGCTCCCCTGATTGCTGTGTTGCATTTCTATTTTCACTTCTTTTCGTCGTCGTTTATGTGGGTTATGTGTTACGTCAACATAGAAGACTTCTGAGATTCAAGAGATTGAATTGGACGGTCTCTTTCTTTCAAAGCATTATTCGAATCGAATGGTGGAACCCCATCTGGAGGCCCGGAGGACAAGGAATCAATCCTGGCAGCCCCAGGTCACTGTCAATAAATAGTAACATAGTGTATTCAATACAACCTATCACTCTTTATCTTCTTGATTACTAGAATTTAGGTGTCTGCTTCCTTAGCTTTACACGAACTTTGCTGGTGCTACTCAGATAAGAGTCCATTGTCAGCCACCAGGCACGACCATTATATATGCAGTCTACAACGACTGACTGCGATAAAAATATGTACACCATCTTTTCCATCATCATGTCACATACCACATACACCATAACAATACATACCCTCGATGTAACCAAGGGAAAGGCTCATTATAAGACAGACAACAAGAAAGTATACAACAGACAACCAAATCACTTCTTCCTCAGCACGCGGAATATACTCGAACCCAGCCCGTCGAGACCACGTTGCTCCGCCTCTCGTCTGGCCGCGCCGTCAATGATCTTGTTTGCATCGTCGCCTTCGGAGTTGTGTTGGCGCCGACCATCGACAAATCGTAGGAGAAGCTGCATGACCACGGAAGACAGGATGCTTGCGCACAGAATCCCCACCATGACGAGGTTACTCTTGCGGTACTTCTCACGACCCGGGGCGGTGTAGTCGCTTGCCCAACCGGTGTAGAGCGCATACGTGGTGAGGATACTGCCCAGATTGCCCAGACCGGAGACGACAGCGGAAGCGGCCGCGACACCGACCTCACCGTGGCGTGGCTGGAAGATCTCTGTCGTCCAGGTCATTGTAATGGGGACGGTAGGTCCGAGTCCGAAGCCGACGATGAGGAGGCCACCATAGCGCGGCCAGGAGTTGGTCTCTGTCCCAGCGTAGGTGGTGAGAAGAAGCCCCAGGATCTGTAGACAGACGGGGATCGAGAAGAAGATGGCGCGGTGGCGGTGAAAGCGGTCCGACATAGGCGTGACCAGGAGGATGGCAATCAAGTCCATCTGTATACCGGTTAGTACTGAGGGCTATTGGAAGGCTACAGATGGCTGCAGGGGAGACACACGATCCAGATTGGAGCAGAGAGAAGACTCAAGTCGATGCCGCTCAAGCTGGGGTTGATAGCTTTGATGATCACGGTACTGTAGTTCTGGACGCCAATGCCAACGCCGACGACCCCAAAATACATGATCAGGAGGGGCCACAGGCGCCAGTCCATGAAGACGTGAAGGAGGTCGCGAAGGGTCCATTGCGGGCGATGATAGACTCGCTTCAGATCATGGTAGTGGATTTCAGCGTCGCGACCTGTCAGTGCCGGACGGCTCCGTGGAAGCCAACGCAGGTACTTCTTAGTGGGTGCCTCCTCGCCCGGTGCAGTTGGTCGATCGGGAAGCCACCAGAGGAGGACGATACCAACAGCGATGGTGATGATGCCATAAACCAGGAACATCCACTGGAAGCCGACCAGACCCTGATCACCGTCCATCTCTTGAAAACCTGCGGAGACCAGACCGACGACAGCGGCAGAAACTTGCGCAGCGGTGTAGTACTGACCGATGCGCTTTCCGGTTCTCGACGGAGGATAGAAGAGAGTGAGGTAGTAGGCCATTCCCGGCCACATGCCGGCAATGACAATACCCAGTAAGAGGCGAAGAAGGCTAGATTTGAGGCGTTAGCCACTGCTGTCATCATGGCCCAAACGGGCAATACAAGGCACACTGAGTCACGACGTACTATAAACTCCAGGCAGCCTTCATCGCAGCCATACAGCTCCCAATGATACCGACACTGATGACGATGCGACTCATCCAGACATGAGGGCTCAACCGAGTCATGATCAGGTTGGATGGCAAGTCGAAGACAACATAGCAGACATAGAAAAGGGCGAGACCGGTCGAGATCTGGTGCGGCGTCAAATGCAAAACAGACCCTAGATCATGACCCACGTCCGCGTTCATGGTCTGGGCCAGTCCGACATTGGAACGAATGGCTGAACAGAGGAAATAGAGCACCCAGAAGGCGGGAATGATGCGATAATCAAGTTTTCTGGGCCGGTCAGTGATGCGACAGGAGATCTGGATGTAATGGAAATTGCAAGTTACCTATAGATGCGCTCAATACTGGCTACGTCAGGCTCAAAGCCCGACTCGACATCATCGTCAGCACTAGAGAATCGTTCCTGGGGACTTTCGGCGCCGGCTTGTTTTCCTAAGTCGCTATCGACTGGAGACTGGGCTTGCTGCATGAAAGACATGATGCCGTCGGTGATTGGATCCGTTTGCAAAGTAGCTCCGGGGGCTATGAGCGCCACCAACGACTAAAACGATCTAACCGAGGCTGACGAAAAGCCGGCCGGTATGAAGGAAAAGAATCAAAGATAGAGACAGCGCGATCTAGGAAAGAACGCCTAAAAGAACTTTTGGAGGTTGCGCTCGAGCAGCCCCGCACGGCGAATGACTGGGATTTTAAGCAGAAACGATGCAGCTAAATGCTTGAGATGCCCAAAACTCTGCAGGGTTTCTTGCGTCTTTTGACCCTCCAACCAGACCTGTCCAACGTCGAGCCTTGATTAGCATGTGGATACGTAGCAGGGTGTGTGCGCGAGGGGAGCAAATTGAACAAAAAGCGCATTTGAGTAACATACCTAAGCGAGCGCCATAGTAGTGCGCATAGAATGAGTACAGATGGAGAGACCTGATTGATAGCGATAACCGAGGCTGTTAGTTTGGAGCTGGACGGGCGCTGGAGACGGGGTCCAGAAGGAATGTGGCTCGGCCCGGAGTGTCTATGATACAGCGTGAGAGATACAATGGAGAAGACGAGGGGATCTTGAAGGAAAAGAAGAAGTCGAAGTAGGAGAGGTAGAAAAAAGAAGGTGACGGCTGGTCCCTGCTACCTTCTTCTTTGGGCGTCCCGACCGTCGGAGAGGGCGGCGGTCCCGCCAATGGGATGTGCGTTGGGGATTATATAAGGTTTGATTGATAACTTTTTTTTTCCCCTCTCGTTTGCTTCATTTCTTGGATGATTTCCATCCGATTCCCAAGAACAATACTATGACTCATCCCCAACCAGTCCGTCTTCGGCTTGGGTCGAGCGTCCTCGGTGACCGAAACTAACCGCGGGTGAGAGAACACCAGCTCTGGAACACTTCACCGAGGTCGCTTTTAGTGACTGGGCCACTGGTAAGGCGGATTGGTTGGTGATCAATGCCATTATTCTTGTCCGGACTATTCATCCCTGGTGTGAGGTAGCTTTCACCATAGTACGCTGATCTTATGGCTCTATACTATGTATAGTTTCATCATTATGCGCTTTTGTCGGAGGATACGTGGTTCAGAGCCGGAGCCTGAGTAACTCATACTGTAGTTAGCACGTAATTCTGAGCTCGTTCTTACCAGACTTTGCCCTACGGGATAGAGGCTATAATGCCTGCATGTCCTCTCTATTACTTCCCATTCACTCCTGCCACTTCCTTTTCACTGATATTAGTGATATTACCAAGTTCCTTAATTCAAGTGACCTCCCATCTTCCCCCGACTACAAGATGACCTCTTCTTCTATCCCACCTGACTCCCCTGCCCATCTCATCTTCGAAAGCATCTTGAGAGAACTTGATGCTGTCTCTGGGTTCAAAGAACTGATCTACGAGGATATTGCAGGTCAGAATTGGCTCTTGCTCTCTGAATCTCTTGCAAGTCACCCCGAAGTTGAAAGACGCCGTCCAAGGTAGTCTGGGAACATCTATATGGGTCATCAAGGCACACTATGTGATGACGATCATTTAGAATAAACTACAACGCCGAAACTCGCGTCCTGCGTATTAAGATAATGCCGACAGAATTACACGACGTGCATCAGCGATGGGTCAACAATGTCATCTGTGACTGGAGGGCCGCCGGCTTGATAACCCTGCAAGAGAACAGACTGATTTGCATGGGTGTTGGGACAAGTGCATTCTCTCTGCGACTCATTTTTGACAAAAAATCGGATCTGGATGGTCCGAATCGTTCCCTTACCTTCGTCATGACAAAGACCTATGGATGCAAGGCTGTCAGACAGTGAATGTTGTCATACTGCTGAAGTGGTCAGAGTCATCTGGAAAGCGGGTAAAAGGGACTGCTGAAATTTGGACACGCGATGCTGCCGGAAACATTCAAAGCAGAGAAATGGTAAGAACGTTCCATAGAACCTTCATACAATTCAGAGCTAACATCACATCCACAGCAAATCTTTCCATCCTCAAACACGCCCGGAGATGAAGATATCGAGCTTACGAAGGGACAGTTATTCGGACAGTCGATCTTGCCGTTTCAAAACGCCGCCGACATTCTACCTCTGGACGTGGGCCCGCTGCGCGATTTCGCCACTGAAGTCTCCATCAAACGTATGGATCTGCAGCCAATATAGGCTATGACTGAGACGTGTGCGGCGAGGAAAGGTGGATGGTGGACATCATAGTATGTCTTACTGTCAGCCAAAATGACCATTACGCCACCAAGCCAAGGCGCATAGTAGTGCGTAAGGTGTAATATATGATCGCGTCGTACTATTGCTTGAAGAAGAGGATATTTCGGTTCTAGTCGAAAGGCGCCCGCAGTTCTACGTTGCCTGGGGATTAAATTCAATCAATCAATCAATCATATTCCTATTGACCCGTTGTAGCCTATCTAAGCGAGCCGTATGAACAAGAAGGAATAGTCATAGGTCTGAGCCTGTGGGTAGTGGATATCCAGGGAGACGAAGATATCCAGTGGGAAATTATCGCCTCTCAGGTTTACAGTCAATTATCTGGACAGGAAGGGCACGAATAAGAGGTAAAAGCGACAACATATCATGAACACGCCTGGTCGTTTCTATGCATATCCCGTTCGTGTAATGTTTCTTTCAAGGCAGCTTGTCCAGCCCAGTTCCCCCCTTCATCACTCGGTCCTAGGCGAGAAATATCAGCAGTCGGTTTACGCCGAAGAGGAATCCGGAATGGAAGAACACAGTTTCACTCACTAAAATACCTGTTGGCATGTATCTAGACATGAACTTCACCATGGAAGCCATACTTCCATGCCACACCGGTCCTGCGGCTCCGCCCAAGACATCCTTAGCAACCTCGCGAGCAAACTCTGCCGGCGCGCTCTTATTTGACACATCATCCCCGACACCGCGTTTTTGAATCTCTGGGAGCGCCTTTTGGTAAAGGGACTTTTCCGGTAGGTTTATATTCGAATGCGACATGACATTTGTAGCGACAGCGCCAGTGACTAGAGAGATAACCCGGATATTAAAGGGTTGCACTTCTAATCGGAGAGTCTCACTCCAAGACATTAGAGCGGCCTTCGAGGCATTGTAGACACCTATGCAAACGGATTAGAGGCAATTCCTTATATATTCTGTTGCAACGGCCTGGATAGAGAGCCCCACTCATCCAAGGGGCGTGCAAGAAGCCTGAGATAGAGCAGACATTCACGAGTGTACTGCCATTCTTAGCAGCCAGCAGCAACGGCATGAAAGCCTGGGTGACAGCTAAGACCCCCCAGAAATTGACATCGAAAAGACGCTTGGCCTCGTCGATCGAGATATCCAGCGCTGGATAAACGAGGGACTGGCCCGCGTTATTAATGAGGATGTCGAGAGAGTCACCATGCAAAGACAAATCCTGTTGAACAATATTGACGGCAGCGGCAATACTGGCCGGGTCCACAACGTCGAGAGGAACAAGGATAACATTGGGAAGTTTAAGATGGTTCATCTTAGCTGGGGAGCGGGCGGTCGCATAGACTCTAAGCCCCTGGGCGTGGAGTTCCTCCACAAGGGCCGAGCCGATACCGCCGGCACTACAACCAGTGACAAGGGCGCAACGGGCCATTGTGCTCGAAATCACCGATGCGAAGAGGGAGAAAGAGAGAATCGAAGACACAGCTGAAAATGGGATAGTGGAAGGAAAAGAGGAAAGAAAAGGTTGGATTTCGCCCTCTTTTCTTTTCCCTCCTTCCCAAGCGCTAGAAAAGGAAAGTTCCGGTGTCAGCTAGGAAAGGTAGCTAGCTAGCCCAGTGGCTTGTAGCGGACCCTCACGTTGCTTTGCTGCCGGGTAGTGGGACTTAGGTGGTGCGATGGAAAGGCACAAGGGAAGAGTTACCGGGACAAACACCACTGTGAAGATGTCCAGCAAGCAGGTAGGTCCGTAACCCCAGCTCATCGACATTTTGTGTAGAGTGATCTGGAGCGAAGCCAACAATAAGATTGCTTCTTCAACGTCTTTGATATATACCTGCTTCCTCTCAAGTCCATTGGCATATCGAGCTTAGCTGACATTGCCCGATAGCGTGGGGTTTTTGCCCAAATAAGTAACTCCCGAGAGTACATCCCCCTCTCGATAGACACTGCAAAAAACAACGGCATAAATGAAAGTTGGAAAAAGTGTTTACGCTACGAGATAATGGACCTGGAGATATTCATCTGATATGTGCACATTTATTTCACTCTCCTTTATAAATCCATAGTGTCCTTCGTCTAATCCTTAAATGGCTTTCCAAGCAGCATCCGTGACCACTGGCCGATTTGTATCGGTCCTCCATTGGGTGACCAGAGGGCAGACGGAAGTAAGCTTCTGAAACAAGTTCTTAACATGCTGATCAACGCGCGCCATTCTGGCCTGCTGATGAGCGCGGCAGGTGGAGGAGCTGATCATCTTTATGCGAGCTAGCAAGCTCTCCAATTCCGACAGCCGCCGTGTCATTAGCATCCCCATCATAACCTCGTAGTCTTCCCCGTCGATCTCGTACTCGCCCAAAACCATCGGCTGCTTCTCCATCATGGCGACGGGGACGGGCGCGCCCCCCGGCCTGTTGAATTCCCTCTGGGCAATAAAAGCATCAATCACCTCGCCGCACAGAATGGCCAATCGCTCCAGCACCATCATAAGCATCATCATACTTCCTGATTTCCGTCGGCAGGCGTCGCAGTTGATCATACGTTTGCACAGAAAGAGCACCTCCTGATAAATCGAAAGAATAGAGTCAAGGCCCTGCGCGCCGGGGCCCCCATCATAGTGGGGCGTCTCCAATTCGTCCAGGAGGAAGACGGCCGAGTTCAAGCATGAGCATGAAGGTCGCTCTTCCATAGCAAAATCGGAGGCGTTCTCACTTGATCGGTTTGTGCTCCCGGAGGCGGCAAGGACATAGGTCGACGGAGGAGTAGGAAGCAGCTCCAGTGACGTGAACCCATTGACTGCGGGGAGGCGTAGATCCCCTGTCACGGCATAGTCGGATTCCGGCATGCTGGTGCCGTCCTTTCCTGGAGACCAATCGAGGCAACTCGACCAGGTCGCGATTTCCTTCAACATTGGGTCCAGCATTGAGTCGGGGTTCCCTTGGACCTGCTGCGTTGCCTTGTCCAGCCCGACGTAATTCTCGTCTAGCCTATGCGGTAGTGGTTCCATAGTCAATAGGGAGGGCTGCACTGTAGCTGTGGCTGCAGCCTCCCTCGTGGGAGATCGGCCGAGGGCAGCGCTCGTTTCCGGACAGCTCTCGTTCTCCTTACTGTGGTCCTTTTCTTGCGACCTGGGCGCTGGCTTCCTTTTGCCTTTCCGCACGGGGCCGTGGGTATAGCTGCAGGGGAGGGAAAGTGTCTTGCACCGCGAACATCCCGCTCTTTGGCCACTGCAGCGGATCTATTTGGGCGCCATTTGCAAATGGTCCCCTGTTAACTGGGCTGGAGCTTGGAGCGGTTGATTGCAACAAAGCAACTTTTTAGAATTAGAGATCACCAACCTTTTTTACCCTGCAATTATCGCAGGCAGAGTGTTGAGGTTTGTTGGTTGTCGTATTTCCCACCACCCCTGATTCACGCTCGAGGAACTCCCCAGTCTTGTCCTTGGGCAGGTAGCGCAGGGTTCCGAACATTGCGAAATTCGACTCTGTGCGTGAAAGAGAGATCGTCTAGCTGGGGAAGTGGGATAAGCGGCCTTAAATGGTGGCAGCTTCAGCCATGGGGGTTCATGCCTCATCCTTGGTGGTCCAGATCTAGCCGAGGGGGTCGCGTGGGGCGGGGATCTAGACTGGATTTCCGTGAGCCCCAAAGTACTAGCTTGGTCTAGTACTCAACTACAATCTCACTCACATTAGGTTGGAAGGATTTCGATGTCTAACCGCCCTCATTTTGTTCTCGGCTCGGCTCCGCTCAAAGAGACCCTATTTGAGTTACACCTCTTGGATAGAAGACAGGAACAATTAGCATTGGAATACATAAGTGAATGCCACCTGTTCCTAGATAGTTAGGCATTAGTCGGCAGATTTTCAGCGCCGGCGTCAGCTAAGAACCTAGGTACTCGTCGTCTACATGATTCTTTCTTCAAGCTGCAGGAGGGAACTCCGAGCGACGAAGAAGATAATCTCTAGGAAGAAACAGAAAGAGTCGAAAAGGCTTGCACGCTCCAGGTCCTGCTCCGCTGAGTCTCCAATATCAGTGTGGCCGACCTGGTTGAGCAGGCCTGTTTGTTACATAAGTTCGGCGACGTAGCGAATGGCCTGCGGATCAGACACAAGCGCGTCGTAGTCTTGAGGGCTTTCCCCTGAGATCCTCTATGGTCTGCAGCTTCGCCAGCATTATCCCACGCGCCTCTCGGTACAAGGAACACTGCAGGACGTGGTGTTTTGGAGTCTGCGACCCTCCTCTGCCGCTGCACCGGTCCGTGGTTGCTTAGGGGAAAGTAACAATACAGAGTAGACTCGATAGGCTGCGCCGGCCAGTCGTGGCGCGCAGCGATCAACATTGCTAGATCTGAAGATCCGATCCGATCTAATTACATCTGAAGCGATCTGGGTATCTAAGGTCATCGCCGAACAACGATCGTCGCCATCCTGAAACCTGACCCGGGGGTAACAAACAAATGGTAATATAAAAAGACAGAAGAAAGGGTAAACATGCAGAATAAATATATGTCATGGCAGGAAAGGGGCATAATGACTCGTAATCGGATCATCGTCTCCTGCCTTTCTTTTTTTCTTTTTCAACACGATTTCTGGCAGCTTAGATCTTCTCCGTGCTGGTGTTCTCATCACTTGCATCCTTGTGAGGGTGGTTCATCACGCTAGCACGGCGCACCGCCTCATCCTCGACGTCGTCCAGGGTGCGCAGGAGCTCACCGTGCTTGCCGTACATGTGCGGCTCCTGGTCGGCGATCTTGACCACCTGGAAGACGTTCTTGGTCTTGCGGAAGATGCGGTCCATCTCCTCCAGAGAACGGTGGGTCGTCTCCGGGTAGAAGAACCAGACCACCGGGAAGATCGCGGCGTTGCTAGAACATTATCAGCCTGACGAACTACAACAATGGGGACACAACCAAAACTTACATGACAGCGAAAATGATGTAGGTCTGATAGTGAATGTTCGCAAAGGCCACCGGAGTGATCATGACGACCATGAAGTTGAAGATCCAGTTGGAAGAGGTGGACAAGGCGTTGGCCGGAGCACGGATCTTAAGGGGCACAATCTCGGCGGGGTACAGCCAGGTCATTCCCAGCCAGCCGATGGCGAAGAACGTGTTGAAGACGAAGAGGAACACCACACAAGCGTAGTTGGCACCGGGGGTTCCGATACTGGCGGTCACGGCGAGGATGATCATGGAAATGGACATACCAGCGGCACCGAACAGCATCAGCGTCCGACGACCGAAGATTTCAATGGTGAACACGGCGATCCAGGAAGCGATGAAGTACTCGGTACCGTTGCAAGCGGAGATCAGACGGGAGACAATCAGATCCATGCCGAGCTGCTCCTCCAGCACGACGGGAATGTAGTAGGTGATTAAGTTGATACCGGAGATCTGCTGGAACATCTGGTTGACGTAGGCGAGCACGGTCCGGTGGAAGTGGCGGTCCTCGCCCATGGTGAACATGTCGCGGAAAGAGCCCTTGGCCATCTCCAGGACGGTGGCCTTGATGGCAATGAATTCGTTCTGCAGGAAAATGGGGTCGGTGCCGTCACCCATTAGCGCGCCCAGAACTTCCTTGGCTTCGTCCTCCCGACCCTTGAGCACGAGCCAGCGGGGAGACTCGGGAAGGAACATGACGAAAACCAGAATGATGGCGGCGAAGAAGATCTGGAAGGCGAGAGGGAACCGCCAGGCGGCCTCGTTGGGATCGGCGAAGAGAAGACCGAAATCGACCCAGTAACTGATGGTAATACCGCAGGTAATCATGGCACCCTCGATCATGACCAGCTGACCACGGCGGTTGGACTTGCAGCACTCGGATTGCCAAGTGGGCACCGTGGAGGTGTTCATACCGTTACCTGCGCGCGCATGAGCTTCTGACGAACCGGTCAAGTCGAGTCAAAACTACCTACCGAAACCAGTGACCAGACGTCCAACGATAAGCTGGGCAAGGTCGTAGGAGGTACATTGCAGCAGAGCGCCAATCACCATGATGGAAGAACCGAGGAAGATGGTCTTGCGACGACCCAGCCAATTACCGACCCAGATCGTCGGGATCGAACCGGCGAAACATCCCAGATTGTACGCGGCGACAACGATACCTGTGGACCGATCGTGAGCAAATCTAGGGTTCTTTCGGGATCGCAACCCGGAGTCATTGGCGGGACGGCTTACCTTGACGCGTGGACTGAGCGCTTTTCTCAGCCGCGGAGAGGCTGTTGTAATAATCACCAGTGGTGGCGATGGTCGGGAAGTACTTGACGAAGGACTGCAGACTCAGCAGACCACCGGTGACACCTTGATCGTAACCGAACAGCAGGAAATCCATGCCGGCGATGACACCGATGGCGATTTGCAGGACATGGCCCTGCATGCCCAAGTAGCTGCGAGCCATGGTGAAGACTGGCGCTGATGGCGCGAACTCTCTAGGGTGGGTAGTAGGAGTGACAATCGGATCCCAACCAGCGGAGGATGTAGTTAGGAAGTACCACGACCGCAGCAGACACACATGCGCAAACGGAAGGAGCGTGTGTATCCGGGGGAGGAGGAGGAGGAAGAGGAAGGGAGGAGATCAATTGGGAATTATACTAGAGGGAAGAGAAGGAAGAAAAGGAATGGGAGGAAGGAATCCTTTTCTAGAGAAAAAGAAGAAGATCAGCAGGCTGGTGACACAAGGGAAGTGGACGGGGGGTTTATAAAGGATGGACTTGGGAAAGGATGATACTAGAGGCTTAGGCGACATGGAGAAAAGAAAGTAAAATAATTCCTACAATTAAATTAAATAAAATAAAAAAGAAAAAGAATTATGAGACGCGAGTGAGCCCGATGTCATCATACTCCTACTCCTCCTTCTGGGGTTGGGGGTGCCATGGGGGAGACGGGGCCGATGTACCTCTCCAGCGTCGGGACTACGGACGAGGTACCTCGCTCACCTGGCCCGAACTCGCCTGGGGTATCGCAAACGATGAGGGAAGTTGGGCGTTTCCCACTGTGATTGGCCTTTTGGGGCCTAATGGATGGGATGATGGATGGAGAAGGGCTCCACCAAGTGCCAGGTTCCGGATCGAGCGAAGCGGTTGACCACTTTCATTTGCTCTGCAGGTCCCAGGACATCTCTGATGTTCCCTTCCCCAGAACATCCTCTCGGACATGACCTCATTGGCGGCTCTAGGCCGAACGAGGAATAGGAAGGGAAGAGGATCCCATTCCCCACATGGTGCACCGCGTAGGCACTGTTGGAACACACCACCCCGAGGCCACTGGCACGTCGTTGGAGGGGAGGCGTGACGACGGTGGTTAGTGAGCGACTTGCACGATCGGCGGCGGGGGCGGCGCTGCTGAACGTAAGACGAGACCGATAGAAGGTTTGTGTGGAAGTCGAGGGCATGCTTGATGTCGGCATACAGGAATCGACAACAAAGAAAGGATAATTACTAGACACATAGAATAATCTACACTAATCCTAATAATAATAATAATCGCAAAAGAAAAAGAATAAGCCAGCGGCATCGCCAGGGAGAGTGCAAGTAAGCTCCACCGACCACAGATTCATCCGCCAAGGTCTAGCCTGTTATGGACAACCCGACGGAGACGGTCGTTCCTTTTCTTTTTTTTTTTTATTCTTTTTTTATTTGCCATTATTATTATTGTTCTGGTGTTATTATTATTATTATTTTTGCCTTCCGGCAAGATCAAAGAACGACAGCAGATTATTCGCTTGATTTGTTCCGGGTAATCAGGATAGTCAAACGGTATACTTCTTCCGTCCGCCCAATTCTCCCATAATCATCCCTTTTTCGGTTGCAGTAGTCTATTGGGCTCTGGAATGTGATCTCGCGTGGCGGTGGGACATCCACTCCAACACACGAACTGACAATACAATATTTCCCAAATAAATTGATAGAGAAAATGACTAAAGGAAGGGGGAAAAAAAATCAACCGTCACAAGACATTCAATCCAGTCATGTCACGGTGCCCATCTGTCGTTTCACTCCCATGTCTCTGATCCATGGGCGAAGAGGGAGAGTGGGCAACCTGCTTATTCATGAATCCGGGGAGTTGGAGTCTCCGGATTTTGTGCGGTGGAATGTGGATTCTGTTGCGGGCAGCCATCCACCCCCCATCACCTGGCCTATCGCCTGTTCGGCCTTATCCGTTCAAGCCTCGTGGCTGTGGCGGCCGCGTTGTTCACCCTTGCGTCGAATCGACCAAGATCGATTGTGCGATAGGATTTCAATAGACTTTATGCTTCAAAGACTCGACATCGACGTTCTTTGTTGTGTCTCGTGTTGCGCCGAGGTTCCGGGAGATTCTCGTTAGGGGGAACCCGCGGCCCCGTCCAGTCACCAAACCGGAACAGGTCCCTATCAATGCCTCGTGTTTGATGAATGAGATCGCCTCCGTGGCCTCGTACGCTTTCCGGGGGGCGGTTCCGATCCAGTCTGAGCGGCCGTCGCGAAGCCCTTCGGCGGACGCAGTCTGATGAACGGATCCATCGAATCCAATCATAGCCAGTGGTCGAGGGAGATATCTCCACCGGGCCAACAACCAACTACGTAAACGGGTAACAGGGCGAGCGGGAAACAGTTGCCTGATGGTCAACTGGACCGGTGGAGCCTCGCACGGTCAGTCATAGCCATGGGGAGTATCTACAAGTAATATCTAACTACCAAAGAACATAACATCGGAAGCTCCAAAAGGGAACATGTCGAGCCGCACGAATCCGTGATATTTAGGTAGTCTTTGTCTACGGAGTACAGTGCATTTAGATTAATATCCTTGTGATCATGATTCATGCCGAATGCCAGGAAGGGATCCCGCCGACGAAAAGCGGTCGGAGAAATCCGCTCCGATGCCGAGTGAGACCGAAGCATCGGGCCCGTGTCCAAGACTTTCCAAGACCCCAAGACTGCCATGGCTCGACTAAGATGCATGCCACGGCACAACCAAGACGCTCAAGACGTGACCCAAGCCCCCCAGGATTCACAAGCACTCTTGACCCTAGGATCAAGACTCATAGTGTGAAGGCCCAAGAAAAGACAAGACAAATGCCAATCTACGCCTGTCTGGACGACCGCAGCTTGTCCCTTGAGCAACCGTGGGCGGGAAAACCGGGAACAAAGCAGCCCAAAAAAGGCCATGGCGTTTCCCGTGCTGGATGCTCCGCTTGACGCGCCCCCCTTTTCCACCGGGCGTCGGGGCCTCAATGCAACCCGCGCCTTTGACTGGGCAGAGTTGGGTGCCCAGTCGTCTTTGTTCTGCGAGACTTTCACGCCAATTGCAAGTCGTCCGCTAAGCCTATTTGAGGCCTAGTGTTGCCCATCGGCCATCAAACGTCCACTGGTGCAACACCACCCAGTGGAGGACCACTCATCGGCTGTGGCCGAACGGTCCCAGCCTTTGATTCCCTTTCATTCCCCAGGTCTTCTTTTCCCCTTTACCCTTTGCCCCCCCGGGGTTTCTCGGATTGCCTCTTTGGGACATTCCGCCATTCCCCCCGTCCTCCTCCCCAATCCGTCCAACATCCCGCTCGTTCAACTCCGGTTCAGGTGCGGCAACATCATCCAGCTTCATCATCGGTCATGCGCCGTCCCGTGCTAAGGCCCCTTCCCCATCCAACCCCAGGGTTCAGCTGCATCGCGTCGTCGTGATGCCTACGATGCGGATAGCCTGACCAGAAGTAGCCCTGACCGGAAGTACCGTAGATTGAATCACATCGTACAACCCAAACACAGGAACGGCTGACGGCATGAGCTCGCGTACGCCGTAAATGATTGATCGATTCGAAACAGCCGGCGGACGCGACGATCTCGGCGGATATACGACATGCGGCGGCAGACAGTGTCCCCATCCAACCAAAATATACAAAGTGTCCAACATTATTACTGCATAATCTCCGACACAGACACTTACTTGCATGGATAAATTATCCACCACATCGCTACGGTAGCCGAAGCAGGGTTGGAGCAGAACCCTATGGCAATAGGAGACCCTGAACGCAAGAGTACTTCATGGGGAGAAACGCACGGCTTCCTTGCGCTGGTCCATCGGCCCTGAATCATGCGCAGGCCAATCATGCGCCCGACCGGAAAATATTTACCCATGGTGGAGTCCGACTAAGCCTTGGATCTGATTTCCCTTGACTCTTGCCAGGTCGCAAATGACAGTCGTACTATGGGCTATTTAGTTATGGGTACATACGATCTCGGCCCCAACCGGCTCATGGTCCGAATCATTAAACGTTGCAGTCAGCCGATGGAGCTCGTCATTATGAGATAGAACACCAGCATGCTGTCAAAGCCTTAAAGCAGTGCACGCTCTCGGCCGTATAAGCCCTTCGGATAAGGTTAGTCTCGGAGGGAAGCAAGCGGTAGAACCTTAGATAGCCAATTTTCCATTGCGCATAGGGATTGTGCTCTGGTTTCATTCCGCATCCATCTGGAACCGGCAAAGACGCCAGCGGCGCCTCCTGGACGCTTGGACCTGAAGGATGATGAAGATCCCGCGACGATTCCTCGCCGGGACGCCCTAGTACGGTTTGTTAATGATGATGGTCATCCAGGTCTAGCCGTCTTGGGCAGTTCCCGTCGCAGGCCTTGGCCCCCAGACGGGGGTAGATGTCGACATCGCCAATAGGAGGCGTCCGGGGTAGAGCTGGAGTAGCCTGGGGTTAGACTGCATGTGAAACAGACTACCTACGGACTCAGGAGCGAGTGGAGAGAACATATCCTGGTAGACAGATGGTATGGAGAAGAGAAGCTCTGATAAACTAGCATCGTCCGATGGAGGTGTCTCCAGTGATCAGCAAGGCTAATCGTTCGTTTTTATACTCTGTACTCTGTAGAGATGCGATTCAAGTCTTTCCATCTACGCAAACGTGTTGTCCTTATTTCAGATGGCCTTTTCACATGGACTTGTATTGCAATGATTCGACAGCGGTAGAATAACATGCAAACCGATGATCTTCAGCATTATCGTGTTATTCTAACGGTATCAGCTCATGGAAGTTGATTAGTATACATGCAATCGACTAATTGACAATCTCACCACGCACAACAAGCCAGCAGCTCAAACGACAGCCACGTCTACTACGCTCGCAAACCAGCAACCAGTACCGACAGACTTCCGAACGTCCATGTCTGCCATTTACCACACAACGCTTTAAAACCATACGAAAGTACCATACCGACGCCCAAATCAACCCTCCATCCTATTCATCTCCTCCTTGCATAATGCAGACCTCACCGCTCCCACACAGCCTGCCAGACCAAACCGCTGCACGCGTCTTCTGTCATAATATTGCATACTGCATTAATGCACCTTCAGGCGTGCAGGACCTACGCGACGGCCAGACCACCGCCTGAGCCTACCGACATGTTGGTACTACATTCCACGTTCGAGGCACTTATGCATTCTGCAAGGAGGAAGATGCTCTTCTCCTTCGTTTGAGTCAGATCCAATTAGACTAGTTGCCTTCTCACGTTGGTGCGACAGTCTTGCTGGACTGGCTGACCTGCTTCCTGCTGCCTCTTAGATTACCATCAGTCTAAGCCTTTGAACATTAAGACAGCTGTGATTATGCTCATCTATCACAAGAGTGGAGCTAGCTGTTATCAAACATTATCAACCTCTGATTCAGGCGACGTCTTTCCGAACATCAACCCCAAGAACAAGTGTTGCGTGACAATCTCCCGGACCCGCCGGTAGAGTTCCATCAACTTGAAAAACGGAGGATGCAGAGCTCGACCAGGAACACGACCAAGAACTCCGAGCAAAATGGCCACGTTCCAATTCCGGCGAAGACATCAGGTGTCGTCACAGACGAGCTGTCCGATGTGCTCACACCACTCTGGATCGGCATTTGCCCGCAAGAGTTCATCTGATCGTCCCACTTACCAGCCAGCGTCCTCGTTCCCAGCGTTCCAAGAGCCACCAGCGTTATCGACCACCTCCTCAGCAGCGGCGAATGTGCCATCGTTGTCCATTCCATTGTCCATGCCGTTGTTCATGTCGTCAGTGCTGGCCTGGGGGCAACGTTTCACGGTGTGACCCACTAGAACGAAGTGCATAGATTAGTATCTATCCGCACCAGACGATCGACGGATCAACTTACTTCCACCGCAGTTGTTGCACTGAACCTTGGACCAGTCCTTCTTCTTGGTGCAGTCACGGCTGAAATGACCAACTTGATAACCGTTAGCTTTGTGCAGCTGAAGGTGTAGAGTTATCCGGAAGAGTGTCCTTACCCTCATCACAGTTGCGACAGGTCACGGTGGAAACATCACGCGGCTTATCGCAATCCCTGGCGATATGGTCCTCAGAGCTGCCCCATTAGTGTCTGCGTGGGTATCCCGAGAACCTTCAATACTTACCCACAGTTTCGACAGGTTCTAGGAGCGCTAGCCTGGGGACAATCCTTAGCGAAGTGTCCGACTGTCGATAGATTAGCATCGTGTCTCAAATTCGCAGCCACACAGTAGGTGTATTACCTTCACCGCAACGCTTGCATTCGACCCCTTCAGCAGAACGAGGGTTGGGGCAATCAGATGCCTTGTGGTCAGGAGCACTACGTCGGTCAGGCACACTGCATCATCAAGGGAAGAGAAAGCACGAACCCGCAGTTACGACACGCATAAGGATCACGACGAGGCTCAGGGCAGTCGCGAGCACGGTGTCCAGTGGCGCTGCAGTTGACACACTTCACTTCAACACGTTCCAAGGCCGGGCGTTCTTCCTTGCAACCACGTGCAGTATGACCCATCTCTTATTATCCAGTTAGCGGCGTTTGCATGGGCGATCCTTCACTTATTCACTTACCATTACAGATAGGACACTTAGGAACTTGCCTGTCGTAGGGCAGACCGGCATCCGCAAGGCGCTCAAGGTTCTCTTCGGGAGATTCAGGCCAACGTTCCCTGAGATGGGCACGTTGGGGCTTGGGGTTGAAGTAGTAGCCGACAACATACTTGCAGTTCAGCTTGCCCTGAAGGTTAATGAGGCTGATGGTGTCGTCGACTTGCTTATCCTATATAGAGAGCCACTTAGCATACAACTGGAGTAGGTGTGCGACTGTCTAGAACCAACCATCGCGATCATGTAGAAACAGAAGTTATCCTCACGCATCCTCTTTTCGATGTCGACAAAAGTGGCATGAGGGACGGCCTTGGAGTAAATTCTGACAGCCTAGGAACTTAAGCCGTCATACACATGCTGGAGGAGTAGAAACAACATACCTCGCGGAAGTCCTCCAGGTCTCTACTGTCACTGGCCTTCTTCAGGATCGCCCAGGCCTCCTCGGGGAGCTTGTCGGGAACATTGTTCAGATCAAACTTGCGGTTCTCAGTGCAGTCCATGGTTTTGTGGCCTTGGGATCGTACGTGCAGTTAGCAACAGCAGATGACGGGGGTGGAACATAACATATATTACCTTCCATCTTGCAATTTTTGCAAACATCAGGGGGTCTCTCCGGGCACTCAGCAGCGGGATGACCTTCCTGGTTGCAGATTCGGCAAGTACCCTTGAACACGCGAGGCTTAGGGCAGTCCACCTTAGCATGGCTATCGGATCTTCAGTACAAGCTCGCGTGTGAAATTCCTTCAATGACGACTTACCCTTCCTCACCACAGTTGAAGCAAGCCATGGCCTTGCGAGGTTCAGGACACTCGCGAGCAAAGTGACCTTCGTCGCCACAGCTGAAGGAATGTTAGACCTGGAAAGACAATCAAATCACCGGGGTACTTGCTTGCGGCAGGCATCATTACCATCCTGTCCAGCGGCGGCAGAAGGCCCAAAGTCGTCACCACCGAACTTGTTACCAAAGCCGTCGCCACCAAAGGTGTTGTCGGCAAAGCCGTTCTCGCCAAACCCCTGGGAGAAGCTGTTGGGGTTTGCGTTCTCATCGTTGAGCTCTGAAGGAGACGAGGACATGGTTAACATCAATCTCTAGTGATGGAAGTGAGGGTCCCATGATCTTCAAGGAGAGACACATACCAGAGCTGCCACCAGCGGTCCAGCCAGTGCTTTCTTCTGCGTTCCAACCCATGATGACGAGTAGGTCAATCTTTCGCGTATGAAGGTCTGCTGTCGCGAAGAAGGGTCAGTGTCTTCAGCAGAAGGGTTCGTGATGGCGGTATGACAGGGCAGAGATGGGGCTGGGGGCTCAAAGAGGTTTGCGGAATGACCTTGGAAAGATCCCTTCAGAGATGTCTATCTGGATCAGAGATGGGGAAAGGAGAGACACTCGTTGTCAACGCGTAGACTCAGGTAGTGTTTGCAAAGGTAGAGCACGGAAAGAGGGAAAACAAACAGAGATAGGGGGTGACAGGAAGAGGTGGAGGGGAAAAGAGAGAAGGGGAAGAAGATGAGAGAAGGTAAAGGAGAAACAGAAAAAGGCGAAGCGAAGTGAGTGGGAAGAAGTTGGTGGGAGACAAAAACCTGGATCCAAACAAACAGAAGAGCTCGCTCCCTTCACTTCTGTTTGACCATCCACCGTAACAGAATGCCACTCCCAGCCGTTTCACCACTGGGAAAGCTTTTCGATGGCAACTACTTGTTAGTTATAAACGTTAATCAGCTACCTAGGTATTAAGCTCCATACTGAACAAAAGCGCATGAGACATTATTATATAGATAAAAGGATAGGAAGACAACAACAACGATAAGTATAGATACATGGACAAAAAAGAATGCAAATCCACGCTTTTAATATCCTTCCCCCCAACACCCTACACCTCCTTATATCGTACATATCCTTTTCATATCATGATTATTCACTGTCAGGGACAACTGCTTCAGGTATGGGAGTCACCGTCGACCGCTTTCGCCCGAAGAGTTTGAAGATCATATCGATTTTCTGCTCTTTCTCCGCAATCTGCTGCTCTTTCTCGGTACAGCCTGGACATGGCCGGGCAGAACCAGGGTCGTTCAAGGGTATTTGACCCATCCTTGCTTGTTGGTCCTGAAGCTCGGCGGTGAGCCTCACAATTTGGGCCTTCCTTTCAGCCGCAATTTTCTCAGTCCGCTCAACGAATTCCTTGAGTTGATTCACTTCAACCCCCCTTTGCTCAAGGAGATCTTTAAGGTGAGAGACCTCCCCTTTTTCAGATCTCAGCGCCTTTTTGAGCTGCTCAACGAGCGCTTCGGCTTTGTGGCGTGCTCGCATATGCTCTTCTCTGGACTGAATGAATCCTTGGACCACTTTCCCAAGGCGATCACACGAAGCCTCCCTGGAACCGGGACTCGTACTGAGAGATCTCTTATCTCTCTGGGGCTCTTTGTCCGTGTTCAAAGGCCGAAGAGGACTCTTCGTCATCTCCGGTTGCTCCTCTGCTTGGGGAGAAGCAGCTCTCGAAGCTTGCGGAAAGGCTACAGGGTTAGAGGCGCTGGTGCTCGGGATTTCTGGCTGCTCATCTGCAACAGCTGCAGTGGTGGAAGAGTGAGGTCTTTCCGTACGTGTAAGTGGCAATCTGACGAGGCGGCTTGGGCGATTGAGCTGCTTCCGAGGGGTTCTCCGGGGCTGAAAGGGTCAGCAAAAAGATCTTGCCACACGCAGATGCACAATAACCTACAGCTCGAGACCCATCCATTTGCACATCCCCATCATCATCATCACTGGAACTGGAATCTTCAGACTCAGGTGGAGAATATTCCGTACCGGGCTCTGATATCCTCGTCTGTTTGGAAAGTGGCTCTGCGGTAGCCGGGTCATTGTCGGCGGTTGTGCGTTTACCTAACCTGGCGGATGTTCTCGAAGGGAGATTGTTCCCATTGGAGAGCTCGCCGAGATCCTAAATATCGGAAACCAGTCAATCTTTGTTGAACATTTTTAAGTCGAGGGCAGAGATAACCACCATAGCGTTGAGACGTTTCAAACTCAGTTTAATATCCTGCTCTATATCAGTATTGAGTCGTTCCAACAACAGATAAACTCACCGAATACTGCTTCTGAAGGGCGTTGATACTGCGGCTCGGAAAATAGTTCTGTTTGAGGGTTAAAACAAGCCAAGTGTCGCAGAAGGATGGTTGACGAACCACTCTGAAAACTTCCCAAGGTAGCTTGCGATGGCTGTTTCTCAAGTTCCACAGACGAGAGCGTTCCTGATCGGTCCATCGGCCGCCAAAGGAGTGTCGCGTTCTCTTCCGTATGGAGGGCATATCATAGTAGAGAACTGAGCAGGCTTGTATTGAGCAGAGGAAGTCCTGACTCTTATCACGGACGAAGCTGGGCGATGCAGGCCATAGGAGGTCACTTTTTCTTTTCTTGTCTTGTGGCTGTTTTTTTCTCTCCTAAACGCTCAGGCACTTTACCCAGGGTCTTGATTGGAAAACCGAGCAGGCACGCATGAGATCCACTGTCGACCAGGGGAGAAAGCCCTACAGCATAGTCTTTCGGTCGGCGGGGAAGACTCTCGCGCCTAGATGCGTTGTACACCTAGGCTACTCCGTATATAGACCCACCTTAGGATAAAGCCATCGAGTCAGGCGGACTTGTCCCTGTTCCAGGCTCGCGAAGGGCCTGGCAAATCAGAGCAAGAATCCATGGCAACCAAAATGGCCAGAACGCTATTCCAAAGTACCCGGGCAACTCTTCCATCCATGGCGGTATCACCTTATAACCAATCAGACAGGCGAACAAACCAACCAAATGAACGGTGTGATAGAGAAAGCCATCGTTTACGAGATAGATATCGGGGGTTACTGGCAGGAGCTGAGTGTGGCGGCACTATTGAGTAGTGTCAGCACTAATGCAGAGCGGCGCAGTCAGTCCTTTCTCGTTCGGTTGCGTCAGTTGCCGGTATGTTAACAGTAAGAAATCGTTGGTATACATCATCCAATATCACGGCCACTATGGCGTTTGCCAGTTGACGGTAGGAGTTGGCCATCCATGCTTATCTGGCTCGTCTACAAGTGTGATGGTGGCTATACTCCGTACATCTCATTGAGTTGTGACTCGTAAGCGACCTGCCAGGGGATTGAGGCCAGCCGACAGGTTCCCCAAAGCCCTACCCAGCAGGGACCTTTGCTTTCAACCTTGGAAGTATCCCGGAATGGATGCATACCTACCGATTAGGTGGTACTCGGGGGAGCCGGGGAAGAACATGGATGGGTTTCCGATGGATGAGCGGTAAGTCGGTCCCGGGACCTGCGTCCGCAGGTCCCCCATGTCAACCCGGATGTTATGGGTGTGACAGATGCGGTGATGTTCGGCCCTATCGGAAGTTGTTCCATCAGACTCGTGGTGGAATAGTTTGGTATTACCGGTATGCGGCTCGTGGGAGAGAAAAGCAAAACTAGAACGGTAAGGAATGGAGCGGCCCGGCCAGCATGATTGAAGGTTCCATTCGGATCACGCGAGCTACTGTTTTAATTATCCTAACTTTAGATCACGTAGCAGACTGTGCCTGGCATGGCTTGTACTTTGTACTCCCCGGTCGGCCCTTCAGGGGATCCTCCAATCCCGTCGTTCCGCGAAAGATAAGATTATTATTAAAATGTCAGAAAGGGGCATGTATCCACCCTGATTCGATCTGCCGCGAACGCCTCGTGGAGCCGTGGACCCATCGCGGATCTGAAATGGCTAGGTAGGTACAGTACTCCGTACCGCAAGCGAGCCCCACCATGGACGTCGATGGAAGCTCGACGTGGAAAAAGAGGTGACTCGACTGAGGTACTCTTGTCCCAACCAATCAAGTGTTTATTTCCCTTCGAGGGATGGATGAGGCGGGATCATCAGGGCTTGTTTTCATTTCGGAAGCACCCATGACATGTCCGTTGCTCGAAGCAACGCAGCTGGACCATATCCGTCAACGATGACTCTAGAAAATTATGATCCTCTGGCAGTCTGCCCTCACAGGCCCTTAAAAGGCAGGCGTCTCCCTGCACATGGGCTGAGTTTTTCTCGCCTCTCCCAGCCATGCCCATCTCGGTCAGGATGAATCGAGCCCTCAATATCTTCGCCTTCTTTGGCGTACTCTGGAAATATCCGATACATGGTATATTGGGTAAGTCTTGTTTAAGTCAGACCACCTGACCCTTGGAATCAAGACTGACGATCTCATCCACTCAATGTAGGTCGAACGAGCCCGTCCGTGACAAGGAATTTCCGGTCAAAGACACAATTGCACATTGCCTGGCATTCCAGCAAAATGGAATTTCTGCATCAACAGGAGAGGACTACGTCAGGTGAGTGGGCACATTGTCCTGATGTGAAGGCATACCAGCTGATGTTGTCACTCAGAGAGCATTTAACTGGACCCTCTCGACCCTCATACATAATGGTAGTCACATCGGTCTTCTGGAGTTGAGCTTTCTTGGTGGATCTTGATGTTGCTCTTAAGATCTACGCGGCTGGGGATCGATGGAAAAAAAAAAGCCTCTCATCTCTTGGGTTATAGCCCAACGGACGGGGCGGTTAAAGGGGCTAGGCTAATAAATGTCGCCACTCATGGGGGTGTGTATGTGCAAATGACGCCCTCTGTTGAATGAGGGTAGAATCGTGTTGGGCGCCCTCCCGGTCGTCCAATCAGAGGTCAGAGGTCCACATGATTCATGATCGTCTACCAACGATCTCACGGCCAGGTCTCCTCTTCCTCTTTCTTCTCTCCTCTCCAATCCCATTCAAGTCGTTCATCAAATCATAAGCTCTGGTAGGCGGGCAGCACAGTCATCGGAATAGTACTTCTCTACTTCACTATAGCTGTATCTCGTCGTGGAAGCTACAAATATTAGTGGCACTTTAGAGAGCAGGCTGTACTCGATCTTACTGTCTGAATATACCTAAGAATGGCTGAGCTAGTAACATGGCTGTGTGAATGGCAATCTATTACGTGATATCGAGAATCGAGGCTTCAATATCCTGGGATATTGGAGGAGATCCGCCGATATATTACCTAGCTACATATGTGGGAAGCTCCCTACATACACGAGGAGTCCTCATATGCTTGTCAGAAGTCCCCTACACATGCATGAAGTTTCTAGAAGTCAAGATGAAATAGCACCTTCCTTAATGAACGCACCGCCCTAAAGTCCTACATTGGGGGTTCAAAAATGTTAACACCCCCTTCGCGTTAATGTGACCGCCTTCCTATTTAGTAATATTCTGCCGGTTAAATAGTAAAACGCATGGACATATTCAAACTTTCTTTATTACACAAGAGGCGATTATATATTCTGTTAAATGCTATACCTTATTGTAGGCAGTCTATGTTATCTGGGATAGTTAGTAGGCCAGAAATAAGGTAGGCAAGGTCTGGACACCGCGGACTAGTACGAAATAGGCAGGCGGTTATATTAGCGCCAAAATGGGGTGTTAACATTTTTGAACCCCCCACTGTAATGGAGCCATACAGCATAGATTGGATCCGTGGATTTCTACCACAACCACCATATATCTCAACTACTACCTTACCAGGCTCTACTCCGTACCTAGTCTACCAGTGGCAACGTGTCGCTTGTCGAGTATACATCCGTTTTAAGAACCTGCAATATAATCACGTGACCGTGGTATTGCAGGATTGCGCTGCTGTGAAGTGATTGCATTCCGCTTGTTCGAGATATATCAACGCTGGTTTGGTTTTAGTTACCCAGGATGGATCTATAATGTGCGCCATGTGGTCATGATTGTAGCGCCAGTCAGACCAAAGCCGCCAAGCCCCTCGAAGATACAGATACAAGTAACCTACACGAATGCAGACACTCCGAAGAGCCGGATCAAGAAGTATTGAAATGGAAATAGAGAACAGAGAGCCATACACATGAATGCCGTGACCTTACTTGAAGAGTCTGCCCAGCAGACCCCCAGCAATGTTACTCACGATGCCACCCGACAGAGCGCGGTTGGCAAAAGTCGACGCCTGGCTGAAGCGATCACACCGCGAGAAAGCCACCGTGTTGGTAATGGTCAGAACAAGGGCGATGACTATCGGCGCATGGGGTTAGTACATGTCATAAAGAGCACGGGTGGGCCGGTATATTTGCAGGCGAAAGGAGCCACTTACCGACAAGGCTCAACCAGATCACGCTCAGTTGGATAACGGCCAGAATGGCCAGTCCAATCCAAAAGGCGGGCGTAACGTAGAGACTCAACCAGAAGAACCGCTTATCAGTGGCCGTGATGGTGCGCGTGTTCGGATCGGAGGATTCGAAGACCCAGTGCGAGTCTCCCGTAGTCGTATTCACTTCGTTCCACCAGCGGAGTCCTACCAGTCGACGTCCCGCAATGTTCTTCAGGTAGTAGAAATCAGCCGCGAGGAGGAGCAAGGTGATGATGAAGACCAGAATGCTGACGAGTATGTTAGCCACGGGGCCGGATTGCAGCTCGATGCGTTCCCTCAGTCAAGAAGCGAGACGTTGTGGGCTTGAAAGGGAGAAGAACATACAAATGCTTGATGAAGAGAATACCAAAGAGGTACATCAACAGCGCGCTCAGGCGAATGCCCAAGAAACACAACAAGGTGACCGGATGGGCGCTGAGACGCCAGTTCAAGTCTCCTTGCCGCGGTTGGAGGGGTTCCTGTTCCATGATGCGAGGACGGAAAGTTAGACAACGCGAAAAGCAGAGAGAGGTCCAGGCGGATGGGAGCAATCACGCTCGCGCTTCTTGGGAGAATCAACACGGGGAAAGTAAGAGCTGGATGCGATGATGCGGCCGATGAAGCTGCGTGGCTCCATCCCGGGCGGTAACGTCTGGCAGAATGGCCCGCCTACTCAGTCACCTATTTACAGTTCTACTCTCTACTCCGGAGTATAGCCAAGTCACCATTCCACCGTATGGACAAAGATGGACCTCAATATGTGTTATCTGAGCTGCGACGGGTAAATGCTTGCAGTTATTGTCTAGTAGTGATGGGTGGGCCAGCCAATATACCCGACCCATCTGCATCATAGCACTGATGGCCGGAGAAGCCTTTATGCAGCAAACCGAGGGCATCCTTAAAACCCGCCAGCTTCCATAACTTGCCCTCTTGCATTCTCCCCGTCTTCACTTCCACCAGCACACTGGAAAGTCATTAGTCTGCGCAGAACAGAGCATCAATTTACTTCATTATATCGAAACGGACGGCCCCTCCTACAATGGCATCCAGAAACACCCTGCGCCGCGCCCTCCTATACAGTACGTCAACATACGTTCTTCCCCGCATCTGCCTCCTATCCGACCTACATGATAGAGTCGCGGCGCCTACACAATGACAACCCCTGACACAAACTCCTAGTTCCGGGATCGTCGCAGCGATTTATCGACAAGTCCCGCACCCTGACCGCCGATTGTGTCGCCTACGATCTGGAGGACAGCGTGACTCCGCACAAGAAAGCGGAAGCCCGCTCTTTGGTGCGGAGAGCGCTGGACCAGCCCGCGCCGACTGGCATTCTCGAGCGCGCAGTTCGTATCAACTCCGTCGACAGTGGCCTGGCGCTCGCTGATCTGACAGAAGTCGTACGTCTACTATCCTCTTCTGAGAAACCAGGTAGATAATATAAGAACATTGGACTGACAGAAACGCAGCTCCAATCCCCCAATCTGTCCACAATCGTGATTCCCAAAGTCAACTCCGCATCAGACCTCACCTTCGTCACGGACGTCATCACGCACACGCTCTCACAGCTGCCTCCATCGCAAACCACGTCGCGCCCGCCCATCTCGCTCTTGGCTCTTGTCGAATCGGCCAAATCCCTCACCAATCTGAGCCAGATTTGTGCTGCATCACCCCTTCTCCAGGGCCTGATTTTCGCTGCAGAGGATTTCGCCCTGGATCTTAGTCTCACGCGGACGCCGGCCCTGACGGAATTCCTTTTCGCTCGGTCTGCCATTGCCACCGCCGCTCGCGCTGCCAACCTCCCCTCAACCATCGACTTGGTCTGCACGACATACAAGTCCGACAAAGCTGACGGGTCTCCGCCGGCGGTGCTGCAGCAAGAATGCCGCGACGGCAAAAATCTGGGATTCAACGGCAAGCAGTGCATTCACCCGTCTCAGGTATCGACTGTGCAGCAGATCTTTGGTCCGGAGCTGGAGGAAGTGCAATGGGCGGTGCGGGTAACTATTGCGGATGACAAGGCCGCTAAAGCGGGTCGCGGTGCTTGGACTCTAGATGGGAAGATGATCGACATCCCAGTCGCTGAGAAAGCTCGTGCGATTGTGAAAAAGGCTGACGCCTGTGGCTTCAACGTCCAGGAGCTGCGTGAGAAATGGCAGCACCAAGAGCCCGAGTAGATCTTCAGGGACGGCGATGTGCCAAGGAACCAAAGTAAAGCTGTAAGTTCTAGAACATTGAATATATACATTCCACAGTTAGCCTGCATATCGTTGAGAGTATGCACAGTAAGAGAGAATACAATACAACAAGTACGAATATAGTGTGCTGAATGAGAAGACAAACAGATTCTAGAGGGGAAAACTTCAGGGATGCTACGCTCATTGAAGGAAAAGGGATCTCGTGAAAATCGTAAAGTGGATGGGGGTCCTGGTAGCAAGAAGTTGATGTCATTCGGGCTTTGACTCCAAGTCTTCACGCTTTAGCAGCTGGATCTTCCCCGCTGCTAACAGGGGTTGATTACCGGCTTCATTGTCTCCGCCGTCTTCTAGAGCTTTGGCCAGGCTCTTGTCATAGCTGGTGGGATCGATTCCCAATATGCCGCCAACGTAACCACCGCGTTCACCGGGCACACTAAACTCGCGGAATAAATATTTCCACTCGTTCAGCCATGCTTTCACTGCCTTGCCTATCTTGTCTTTGCCATTCTTAGAATGGTGGCCAGTACCGGTGATGGCATAGACGACACGTCGCCCCTCACGGGCGTGCTTCAGGAGGATCTTCTCCAAGTACTCAATGGCTTCTTCGGGGTGCAACCCATGCAGATCAACATAGAGTTCTTCTGATGAATCCTCTAATCCAGCATTGAGAAGATGTTTATTGCGCTCTTCGTAGAGTTGGCGCGCTGCCTCTCTATGACATTTGCGCATGGCTTCATTCTCTGCCTGGCCCCGGAGAGATAGTGCCTTTGCAGCTCTAGCATCATTCCGATTCCATGCTTGCGCAGCGCTTCAGGAAGACTGTCAGCTCTGTGTTAGTCAGTATAAGATGGCGCGCATACCTCTGAAGAAATTTGTTTCTCACGGTGCCATGACGGATGGCCTCCGTACGGTACTTGATGTATTGTTGGTTTGCACGCTGCCCGGTCTCGAGCCAGGGAATGTTCTGGGGAGGCGGGATAGCTTGAGCAGCTGCACTGTGTTCGCGACTTTTGGCGCTATCTTTATTGTTCTTCGGGTTGTTTCTCCCCTTCCCCGGAGCTGGAGAAGGAGACATGCGTACAACATCAGCTAGAGAAGCTGGGATGGCTTCTTTATGCTGCTGGTTCTCCCGTCGTTTTCCATGCTGCTTTTTATTCTTTGCGCTGACGGCAGCAAGAGTGGGGAATGCATCGGGGTCATCCACGGATATTGCTGCTGGATTCAGTTCGCGGTTCTGATGCCTGCTGTTTGGCCGCGAATGGGGACGTGACAGACTATTCATACTGCCGTTCCGTTTCCCAGGCACAAATTGCATACCCTGGGGAAAGGCTTTGTTCCCCGCAAAAGCCGATAGGTGCGTGGGATATTTGGACCCATATTGGTTTGTCCATTGATCTGGCGTCGACTGCAGTGGGGGAAAGGACTCGGAGTTGTCTACTTGGAATGACGAACCAGTGCCAGTGTGACCGGGGTCCCCCATGGAGAGATTAGCCACGAGGGCGGAGGGATCATGAGAGAAAGGACATCCATCCCCAGCAAGGCAATTGCCCATGACCCAATATCTGAAGAACACCCAGACAGTCAATAATTTGTTTCTCTCTGAGGCATTTAACATTCACTTACTTGCACAGATGATTCGTTAAATCATGACTGAATCGGCAATCCGCGCGAAGACATTGGCCGGTAGACAGCCAGTATTTACAGACGACGGGACTACGGTGTTGAGCCGAAGAAGCAACCGCTTTTGCTTGCTCCATGGTCATCGACTTTCCAACCACCACGCGCCCGTCATCGCCATGATGCGAGCCTGCATCCACATCGGTATCTTGGGAAAGAGATGCAATAGTAGCACCCAGATCGTAGCTATTAGCCTCCAGGGCCGCTTCAATCTCTTCGTTTGACCGTTTATCGCCCAGGACCGTGCGCAGAATATCATGAGGGCTCATATCCGGTACGAATTCCGGTGCCGTTGCACTTAAGCCACCCGCTGCGCTCAAGCCCCCGAGCGATGAGGTTGTGCTTTTCGCATCATCTGCGACCAACCAGTCCACATTGCTATCACTGCCAAAGTCGCCATAGAAGTCCGAAACCTGACTTTGATCGGAGAACTCATACGCGTTGAGACTGGGTGAATGAGGTATTGGTTGCGCCAAGGCGAGTCTTGGAGACGGACGCGGCGAGGTAAACGGAGATACGGTTGAGGATAGTGGGGGTCGCGAGAAGCCCCCACGGGAGCTGGGAAGCCAGGAGGTACTGCCGGGACTGGTGCCCAGATTTGAATGAGGCGACAAGGGCGTGGAGGCGCGCGCCATCTGCCAGGGCGCCGGAGACGAGCGACGGATCACGGTATGACGAGGAGGTGGAGGAGAGGGGTCGGGTAGGGAGCGATTTCGATGACGCCAAAGGATGTCGAGGACAGCATTTTCCAGGGACGGGCCCGACAAGGAGGTCTTTTCGCGCAGAAAGTCCTCTGCCTTCTCAGCCTGCTCCTCCTCATCCAGATCCTTACCCTGAAGGAGCTGAAGACAATCTTCGAGGAGGTCCTCTGCAATCATGGTGGCAAGGCGGGTTGTACCAGGGGATAGGCGGTGATAAGTCGAGTGGGGAAATCGACACACACGGTGTTAAGGAGCGAGACGGGTCAGGAGGGGTAACCAGCGAGAGGGTCGGAGGTTGGTCGAAAAAGGAAGAATCACAAAGGTGCGCGCCAAACCGAGTTCAAAGGTCGAACTTCATGATTGAGGCCGATGAATGGAAATGATTGAGGAAGCAAAAGAGGGGTGTAGTTGGGGACGCGAAAGGAGATGATGGTCACATCGCATCTGCGAGTAGAACGACCGATAAGGGGGGAGAGAATGGATGCGATCGGAGGAAGCCAGTCAGGGGTTCCACGATGGCCGGCAAGACGAGGGGAAGAAGACTTGACGAAGGATCGAGGGAGAGATGGAGGAAGAGAGAAAACGGGAGGAAAGGAGAGAGAGATAGAGAGGGAGACGGAGATGGAGGATTACGGGGGGCAGCTGAGAGAGCGTAGGCAAGAAGGTACCTTTTGAGAGGTACTCCGGAGTCCGGAGTACTTCCCAACCTCCACTTAGCTCAGACACCAGTACTTTCTTTCCTCGCCGACGGTTCTTCATTCTTTTCACATAACCAGAGCTTCTCCAGACTTCATTCTTCTGTCGTGGTATTCACAAGACCTCCGTGAGACCCCTGATCCCATTCCGCTGCTGTTGACCTGCTACCCCGGGTGGGGAGAGGGTATTCTAGACTTCGACAGCAACCGCATCCGTGGTCGTCGATCTGCCGACCCAGATTTCATCCACTAACCATCCTCCCGACAGATACAGTTTACTGCTTTCTTTTTAAAGAATCCTTCGGGGGGACGGGAGATCCAGTCGAAGATATAGCGATTTTCGCTCCACGGGTCTCGGGATCCGTCTAATCGCCGTCGCATAAATTCCGAAGGGATAGGAGGTTCCTAAAACTAGGTACCTACATAGTACCTACCTACCTACCTATCTGAGCATATTCTTTTGCGTTCTGACAGGCTCTCCGCAATGGATTGGTCATCGAACTCACAAATACCTATGACAGTACCCCACAAATCGTCAGTCTTTTGGGGCGATATGTTGAATTACAAATTATGGCAATTAATTACAAAGCCAGCACCAGCATCAACGCGAGCTTTTTCGTTCGGACATACAATAGACATCCCCGAGTGCTGACACGCATGGGTCCTATCTCGAGTCCGTTAACTCCGTATGGTGAACGGACCATGCGCTTGATGGAGGCATAAATAACCCCCCTCTCGCACTGGGCCAGAGCCAGTTCTCCCAGTGCCCCTTGGTCCCTACGCTCTTTGTACAATCCACTGCTATTTCTCGACTCATCCGACACCATTAGCGACCCAACAATGGCACTTCCGCAGACATTCAAGCAGGCAGCGTTCAAAGAGGCAGGGGGTCCTTTGATCATCGAAGAAGTCCCTTTGACCCCTCCTGGCCCTGGAGAAATACTGTTGAAGGTGGAGGCATGCGGTGTCTGCCATTCAGATATCTACGCGCAGAGTAACGCCATGGGCGGCGGATTGTATGTGCTCTCTTGAGAGACAGTGGTCCATTAGGAAATGACCCTTTGCTAATAACACATACTGCAGCCCATTGGTCCCCGGACACGAGATCATTGGACGAGTCGCTGCTGTCGGAGGCGCAGTGTCAGGCTGGCAAGTTGGTGACAGAGTTGGAGGTGCCTGGCATGCCGGACATGATGGTATGTCCTGCGATAAATCTACGGCCAATGGAGTATTGTGCGGCGTTAGTAACCCGCTCGATAGGGACCTGTAAAGCGTGCCTCAAAGGTTGGAACCAAATGTGTGAGAACCAGGTTATCAACGGCATAACTAAAGGCGGCGGCTGTAAGTGATCACCCGCACGACTCAAGCATGCCGGTAACTTCATCAGCTAACAAAGCTAGACGCTGAATACTGCCTTCTTCGTGCAGAAGCTGCCGTGCGCGTCCCCGACCATGTGGATGCCGCCAAATACGCACCGATCCTCTGCGCGGGGGTCACGGTCTTCAATTCCATGCGACACATGAAAATACCAGTGGGTGAAACAGTGGCTATTCAGGGAATCGGCGGTCTCGGTCATTTGGCCATCCAGTATGCGAATCAATTCGGGTACCGCGTAGTCGCGATCTCCCGAGGTTCAGCGAAGGAGGAGTTTGCTCGCCAGCTTGGTGCCCATCATTACATTGATACCAACAAAGAAGATGCCAGCGATGCGTTACAAAAACTGGGCGGCGCAGCCCTGATCGTAACCACGGCCCCGAACGCGAGCGACATAACACCGTTGATGAGGGGTCTAGCGGTGGTGGGGAAGTTGTTGTTCTTGTCTCGTGAGTGACATTGGCTGTACTATTCGATATCGTGGTACTAATGATTGTGTATGGGCAGTTCCTGGTGAATTGTCTGTCAATACGGGTCTCATGGTAAGTCCCCGCCAGTTGCTTTGACAGTGAGCAGACATGAGCTCAGACATGGAATACAGCTTCGATATGGTCTTTCCGTCCATTCGTGGCCTTCTGGCCATGCTAGGGATTCGGAAGAGGCAATCGCTTTCACCGAACTGCGGAATATCAATTGTATGGTGGAGACGTTCCCACTCGAGAAGGCGAACGAGGCGTTTGGTAAGATTCATTTCCCCATACCGAGCACTCGGTACTGACCTGGACAGATGCCATGTTGAAAGGAGATGCCCGTTTCCGAGCTGTTATTACCATGGGATAAGCACTGTCGAAATAGACTGACACGATGGTGACAGGGGAAATATATTGTCCTGATCCCGCCACAAACTTGATACGGGCCATCTAACAAAGAACAAACTTAAAAAACTCCTTGTTTATCACAAATTGGCACTATCGGTTGCCAGACGCGGGCAGAACCATTGTCCTCGCAATGGCTGTGGCGGTCTCGGGATAGAGCAGGTGACATTACTAGCGCATAGTGATGAGAGCACCGTGGATTGAAATTATAAGTTAGAAGTGTTAGACATATCTCCAAAGAACTGTAGGAAATACCTTGGAGGGGCGTAAATTGGTCTAGGCTAGCACGTCCTCTCTCATGTATACAACTGTAGTATGTGGTTAGGCTCGGAGAGGAGGAAAGAAGCTGTGATGTCTCGGTTACATAATCCCAAGGACTGAGTAAGTATGCCTCAGGCCGACCGGCCAGGCAAACAGAATAAACGTCACAGCCCCCGAGTCTCCATCCCCCGAATAAGATGACCACAATGCCTTTCATTTAGCTGGACTTTCCCTAACCCTCACCTGCTTTCATTCAACGGGTCTGGATGTTTCACTTGCCATCCAACTACGACTGAATAATCCTATCGCATCCGAAGAGCCCGGCGGTGTTGCATCATTCCTGTTTGAGATATCATATCCGCTCATGTTGCGTTCTTGGTGAGGGCATACACACGCCCTCTTGGCCCAGTCTTCTGCTCGAATTAACTGCTAGGATCCCTTGAAATTCATCGCGGGATCGCTGAAAGAATCCATTCTCAGCGACATTGGAATCGCCGGGGCTCATTTCCATGAACAGACTTCCCACTCCACCCTACCCGCCGATCTCTGCCTTCGGACCGTGTCACGATCCCTCAGCTTAATACAATAACATCATACCTCACGATGCCGGCTGATTATACATCAACCGCTCGAGCTCTGTCGCTCTCAACGTCACCTCCGCTCTCTTCGCCCACGTCCGAGGATGGCAGCTATCTCCCATGGAGGCATCTAGCACCAACAGGGCGGCGAGATTCCAGCAGCCGCTCCATCCGGGAGTCCAATTCACTCCGACATCAAGTCATGAACCGCATAAACAACGCATCGCAGCGCATTATCATGACGTGGCGGAGAATGAACTTTTGGCAGAGGATCGGCGCGGTGTTGGCCGCGATTCTGGCCAACCTTCTGGGCATTGGTTTCCTTGTCTTTACAGGCAAGGTATTCATCTGGCTGAAGCCCGTGGCCGAGCAATGGGAGCATAACCCATTGGTTTTTTTTGTTCTCTGGCTATGTGTGTTTTTTGTTTCCTTCCCTCCCTTGGTAGGTTGGTCCACTTTTGGGACCGTCGCTGGCTATATTTTTGGGGTATGGAAAGGGTACGCAATACCTCGTAACTCCAGCTACCGTCTTTTGACGGAATGCTAACGGCCTTCTAGATGGCTACTATATGCCTCCGCGACGGTGCTTGGGTCCACTGCCTCCTTCATCGTCTCGCGAACTATCCTATCCAAATTCGTCCATCGCCTTATGGAACGTGATAAGAGATTTGCCGCCCTCGCCTTGACACTAAAATATGATGGGCTTAAGCTGCTGTGTATGATTCGACTGTGTCCTTTGCCGTACTCGGTGTGCAATGGGGCAGTTTCGACTTTCCCGACAGTACATCCGTTGACGTACGGACTTGCGACGGCGATCATCACACCCAAGCTCTTGGTGCCAGCCTTCATTGGCAACCGACTCCGCGTTCTTTCTGAGAAAGGAGGAGAGATGAGTGCAGGATCGAAGGCCGTGAACATCTGCAGCATTATTATCACAATTGCCATTGGAATTTTCACTGGCTGGTACATTTATAGACGGTAAGGGCTAGGCTTTTGGTGGGATTGTATGTAAGTGAGCTAACGTATTGCGACAGGACATTGGCTCGGGCCAAAGAGTTAGAAGCTCAGGAACGGGAGGGAATACGTCAGTCCTTAGAAGCTGACCATGCCGCCCATCGTCCCCATCATGCCTTTTTCGAGGACCCGGAGGCCAATATCGCCGCCACCACATTGGCCTGCGATGAAGAGGAGCGCATTGGGTTCCATGACTTTGATGACGACAATGTGGATCTTGTACTTGATGACGAGAGCGGACGGGAGATCTCCCCCAAGCGAACTGATGGGCCGTATCGCGACGAGTTTACTGACAACGATTCTGATGTGTTCAAAGACGGAGATGGGACGGATGGCGAGACGTATACTTTACACACGCATGTACGCCAGAACCCCCGGTCGTAGATGGGGAGTATGGCTATATTTTGAGATATGATACATGATAGAATTGCGCTACTAGGGATGTGTCGGTAGGATTCTCCATTTCATACCTAGCAGATACCTATGAAGCGGCGTCAGATAAAAGTGATGAGGCGGACTGAGAAATACGCGGGACCCCCGCCGCCCTTTCCCGGCCGAACTTCATAGTAGGGATTTGATCCTTTGCAATACGTGCATATCCCCGGTGACGCTGAGTTCCTCACCAGCCATAGCATTCGCTTCATATCCTGTTCGGCACCATTGATTGCACCGGGCTGCGTGGCTTCTGCTAAGGCTTCCCTGGTCTGCGTACGTCGCAGAGACCCGGTGTTGCGTCCAGTCGCCCTGCGCAAGTCGTCACGTCACTCTAATACATTTGAACCATTTTACAGATCTTACACAATACACATCCTGGGTAAGTAATGGTCTAAATGACACGGCCTGCTAGCTATCCATGAATCTACTTGCGTCCTGTAGTATCCACTGACTCTCGTGCTGAAGGATTCTTACATATCGCAATCCAAGCGAGTCCTTGCCTTGCTGCACGAAGCGGCGACTTTTTGAGTGGACCCGCTGTCGATGGCCATGTTGAAATCTGATATTGAGTCGAAACTTGCGGAATGGACCTGGCGCAGAACTCTCTATAGATTAGATGCGCTCCCTTTGTCCGATCCCTGTCGATCTCTTGAATAATACCTGGTGCGCTGCAGCCCACGACCGCAGAACTGTCAGCTATGGAGGCCGCCGCTGCTATCGGAACACAAGGCCGTGATAAGACCTACGAAATGGCGCCACTTACTCCGTACCTACAAACGAAGACCGGCACCAATGGCAGTTTCGCCTTTCTCCCATCTGATCCGGTTGCGCCTAGTAATCCTCAACCGCAGCCGACTTCCCAGGGAGCTGGTACTAGCTTGTCCTTGAAGGGTACCAACGCCCCTTCAACCCAGAATCTCCAGCCGACCTTCCTGGAAACAAGACCAGCATTGAATGGACTGCACAGGGCATCGAACACTGCTGATTACACGATCCACAGTGTCAACGAAGACACTGTCCTTGCGACACCGAATGGCTCGGCGGTGTCAACTTCGCTTGGGTCTGCGTCTGGGCCAGAAAAAGTCCACGTCGCCATTACCCCTCTTACAATCAATCTCCTCCTCTTCTTCTACTACTGGCCCCAGAGCGATCAACGGTGAATTCGACTTCACCAAGTATCGCCCTAGGTCCTCCATCCCTGCGAGGCTCCCCACCGGTGTCTATGCCCAGCAGTGTGTTGCCGCTGCATATGCATGCAGGCTTAGCCCTTACACCCTTCACAAAAAGGAGCAGGAGGCTCTGCAAGACCACCTGTGCCATCTCCATGTCACGGTGTACTTGAACATACGAAATGGGATTTTGCGACTCTGGACGCGCAATCCAATGGTGAGCGTGACCAAGGAGGAAGCCATGGGTTGCGCAAAGGACTACCGATGGATGAATTTGGCCTCCTTCGCCTACGAATGGCTGGTCCGCAATGGATACATCAATTTCGGCTGTCTGGAGATTCCCGCCGCCTTGGTAGCGCCCAAGAAGGGCCGACGGAAGGAAGGTCCCGTCATAGTGGTTATTGGCGCCGGAATGGCCGGGTTGGGCTGTGCACGGCAGCTAGAAGGACTCTTTCACCAATATCGTGATTCCTCCACTTCCCCGCGCGTTATCGTTTTGGAAGGGAGACGCCGAATCGGAGGCCGGATCTACTCGCATCCCTTGCGGAGTCTCCAATCGTCCGAATTGGCCCCCGGTCTTGTGCCGAAAGCCGAGATGGGTGCTCAGATCATCGTTGGCTTCGATCATGGGAATCCATTGGATCAGATCGTTCGTGGACAGTTAGCCCTCAGATACCACCTTCTGCGAGACATTTCGACGATTTACGATATCGATGGTTCGCCGGTAGACGAGATGAGGGATGCCATGGATGAGCGGCTGTACAACGACGTGTTAGATCGCTCCGGTTTTTACCGGCACAAGTCTGTTATTTTACCTAGTGCGGAGGGAGATCGCGAACTGATCGATTCAGGTCGCGACATCTCAACAAGCGACGGACTCACTATCAGGCAGTATGAGGAAGCACGGGCTGCAGGAACAATTGGACTGCTGCTGCCTAGCAAACGTGGTCGTCGGGGTGTAGGACATAAGACGGCAGATATCAAACCCACTGGAGCGCCGGTAGCCGATCTGGATTCTTCAGAAGAACATCCCGCTGCCCTGACTTGTCAAATGATGGGATGGAGGCTGAATAGTGGATTCTCCGCCAATGACACCTTGCAGTTGGATCATATCGCAAAGGCATCGAATTTCCAGACTCTCGGCGCTGTAATGGATGAGGGCATCCGTCAATACCAGCGAATGCTTCCTCTCACCCCAAAGGATATGCGGCTGCTCAATTGGCACTTTGCGAATTTAGAATACGCTAACGCAACTAATATTGGCAATCTGAGTCTCTCGGGCTGGGACCAGGATATGGGGAATGAATTTGAGGGCGAGCATTCCCAGGTCATCGGTGGGTACCAGCAAGTTCCCTATGGCCTGTGGTCGTTACCGACGAAGCTCGACGTGCGAACAAACAAGATCGTATCCAAGATATCCTATGATCCCACGGGCCTAGGCAAACGAAGGACGGTCGTGCACTGCGAGGATGGCGACTCCTTCGTCGCCGACAAGGTGGTATTCACCGGCTCATTGGGAGTGCTCAAGCACGGGTCTATCGAGTTTTCGCCTTCTCTCCCGGACTGGAAACGCGGCGCCATCGACCGACTCGGCTTTGGCGTCATGAACAAGGTGATCCTGGTGTTCGAGAAGCCCTTCTGGGACACTGAGCGTGACATGTTTGGACTGCTCCGCGAGCCCATCCATCCAGACAGCATGGCGCAAGAAGACTATTCCGCCAACCGCGGCCGGTTCTACCTCTTCTGGAACTGCATGAAGACCACCGGTCTCCCGGTGTTGATCGCTCTTATGGCCGGCGACGCTGCTCATCAAGCGGAACGTATCCCAGATGCTGAGATCATCGCGGAAGTAACGAGCCAGCTGCGCAACGTCTTCAAACACACCAGTGTCCCTGACCCGCTAGAAACCATCATCACCCGCTGGCGCTCCGATCGCTTCACTCGCGGCAGCTACTCCTACGTCGCCGCCCAGAGCCTCCCCGGCGATTACGACCTCATGGCGCAGTCAATCGGCAACTTGCACTTTGCCGGTGAAGCTACCTGCGGCACGCATCCAGCTACCGTACACGGCGCCTACCTTTCCGGGCTGCGTGCCGCATCCGAGGTGATCGAATCTCTATTAGGACCGATCGAGCTTCCGAACCCTCTCGTCCCAGAAAAGGTCACCAAACCCGACCCGACCGGCACGCCCACATCCTCCACCGCAGGCCGCAAACGCAAGAATCCGCTCGAGTTGGCAGCGGAGGCCACAAAGTCCCCTGAAACAGCCCGCCACGAAGCGTACGAGCAGGCGATGTGGGCGGCCGTCCACGCGGAGATAGGCCCCCCTGTCCCGCGGCCCTCCAGAAGCGGCCTGAACCCCTTTCTGCTCTACCAAAAAGACTACTGGGGCAAATGCCGCGCGCAGTGCGACGACGCCCGCCGTGCCGCGACCGGTAACCCCAACGCCAGTGCGGCGCGCGACGAGATTCGTCATGCGCTCGGCCTGATGTGGCGGCAGGCCCCCGAGGGGGTGAAATGGCCGTATCTCAGTAAGGCGGAGGCGAACCGGATGTTACATGCGGACCAGATGACCCACTGGCGGCAATCGGTGAGGGAGTGGGAGAGGAAGTCGGTCGAGGTGCAGAAGCGGTGGTGCGCGGCTCATCCCTTTGAGACCTGGGTTGCCTCTGGGGTGGAGGGGTCCTCGAAACGCGTGGCCACGGATCATGCTGATGGGATCGCGGACGTGGTGCCACCTACAACAGTCGCTGCAGCGCCTGCGTCAGATCGTCCTGCGCCGGGATCTGCGCCGAAGTCTGTACCGCAAAGCGCTAAGCACGATCTCGCTGTCAGTAATGCAGAGATGGATGGCGCATACTCATTCGCGGACTCTTCAGCCAATCTCGAGCTTTAGCGAGACTCGTTAACTGATGCAACTTGCTTATGTTTGACTTATGTATTACCACCATGTATTAGATGTTTGCGACTCCACGAACTCCTAAAGATTACTCTATTTCTATTTCTATGCCAAATGAAACCTTAGCCAGAAACCCGTGTATATCGTCGGAGGGGAAAAAAGAGAAGGAAAAAAAGAAATATCACCACAAAAGGAAATCGCTGAAGTCTAATATGAACCGTGAAAGCAGAAAAAATCCGTACAACGTAAGACGTGATAGTCAATAGCCAACCGACGGTCCTGTCTAGTACATCTAGGGCGACACGGGGACTGAGACTCTATCATGCATCCCAGGGGAGGGAGAGGGGTTTGAGCAGGGGTCGAGATATGAGTGGATGAAGGCCTTTACAGGAGAGGGTTGGACTTGTACTCGGTGCCCGTGTTGGACTTCTCGGTTTCGATGACGGGAGCAGGCTCCTCGGGAGACTCGTGCTCGGCGATGAACTTTTCAGCATCCAACGCAGCCATGCAGCCGGAACCTGTGTATGTTCGTTAGCATATGGTTACCTCATTTGGAAACTGATGTGAAAGAGGATCACGTACCGGCACTGGTGATGGCCTGGCGATAACGCTTGTCTTGGACATCACCGCAGGCGAACACACCCTCCAGACTGGTGTAGCTGGTGCCGGGCTTGGTGAGAATGTAGCCGTCCTCGTCGAGGTCGACCTGGCCCTTGACGAGGCCAGTAGCGGGGTCGTGGCCGACGGCGTAGAAAAGACCGTTGGCATCGACGGTTTCCTCATCGCCGGTGACGGTGTTCTTGACCCGCAGATGGGTCATGAGCCCCATGGGTTTCTGCTCCCCGAGGACCTCGACGGCGACGGTGTTGAAGCGCACGTTGACCTTGGGGTGGGACAGGAGACGGCTGGCCATAGCCTTGCTGGCGCGCAGCTTGTCGCGACGGACCAGCACGGTGACGCTGCTGCCGTACTTGGCCAGGAACATAGCCTCCTCGGCCGCGGAATCACCACCGCCGATGACGTAGAGAGGCTTGTTGCGGAAGATGGGCACGGCGCCGTCACACACAGCGCAGGCACTGATGCCGTTCTGCCAGTACTTCTCCTCACCGGGGAGGTTGAGACGACGGGCGTTGGCACCGGTAGCGATGATGACGGCATCGGCGGTGCGGGCGGGCTCGTTGTCTGGGCCATCGTTCCATTCCGTCCACAGCTTGAAAGGTCTCTGGGAGAGGTCCACGCGGGAGATGGTCTCGGTGATGACCTCGGTACCGAAGCGAATGGACTGCTTGCGCATGTTGTCCATCAGCTCTCCACCGCCGATGCCGTCAGGGAAACCGGGGAAGTTCTCGATGTCGGTGGTGGTGGTGAGCTGACCGCCAGCGGCGGTACCGTTGGCCAGCATACCCTCATAGAGAACGGGCTGGAGTTCCGCGCGCGAGAGATAGATGGCGGCGGTGTGGGCGGCGGGGCCGGAGCCGATGACTGAGGATTAGGCTTAGCATTCTTCCAGGTCATGTTGAATCCCCAAATGGCCGCAATTGGCTTCTGGGAAGGTGATATGAGGGATCTCAAGGTGAGACTCACTGACTACTTTGTTGTGAACCATTCTGGAGGCGGAAACGGTGGAATTGACGCGCAGGGGCGTCGAGGAGAGGTTGGTGGAGAGTGTGGACGCCGAAGGAGGGGGGTTTTTATGAAGGGTCGAGGAAGCGGCGGCGGCGGCGGCAGTGGTCAATCCAAAAGAGGACCGGAAGGGAAACCGACGAAAGATGGAGGAAAACACTTTGGCGGTGTTGTAGTGAAGAGCGAAGAAGGGTGGTGGAGGGGGGAGGAGGGGATGATGAATTAATAAAGCGATGCGGACAGCGGCAGAGGCAGAAAAAGCGCCCACCCGGTTATGTAAGGCACCGTCCAGACCGGTCACGTGAGCTCCACCTGACAAATGCACCGGCGCAGGCCGAGAACGCCTGATGATTAATTTTGCCCCGTTTGGGGCTTATCTGATCCGAACAGCTCGAACTCAATCGAATGCAGATTAATCAGTGATCGACTATCTAGACACTTCTTCTTCCTCGCTCATCTCCTCGTCCTCCACTTCAGTATCCTCAACCTCTTCTCGGGCCGACCGCTGCTTCGGCCCACGGCGCATGCCTAACCACTTCTTCCACCCCTTGGCCACGGGATTCGCGGGCGGGTCATACTCCGTCCCCTCATACCGCAACATCGGCACCAGGAGCTTGTACGGCGTGGTGATGCCGGCAGGATCCTTTGGATTGAGCTCGAGGTTTAGCGTAATGGCTAGTCCGCCCTCCAAATCCACGAAATCGCCCACTCCGTTATCGCCCCGCTTGCGGGTCTTCTTGGACGCCTTTTGGCCGAGAATCGTCGGTCGGCGGTGGAATGGTCCAGGTCGGAACTCTGCCGATGTCGACGGCCGTGGGAAGTAGCTATCACCAGATTCAGTAGGTGGGAACGCTCCATCAGTGCTCATGCGCCGTTGAGGGGCCGTGGTGCCTCCAAGGTTGAACTCCTTGGTCGGCGGCGCCCCTCGCAGCGAAAATCGGCGGAGTAGGCCGCCACTGCTGGTCTGTGGACGGTCTCCACGTGTCAAGGATAATGTGCGTTGCAGCTTTCCTGGACGGGGCTCATCTACGGGAGCCGGCGGAGATTCGGTCTCAGGAGTCCCGGGTGGTGTAGATCCTATGTTGAGTCAGTATCAAACGAATCACGTAGTTAGATCAACCGAATTCGCGATTCAACTCACCAGGTCGGTACTCGCGGATGGAACACCAGTTCCGGCGCGGAAGCAGCCGCTTGTTATTCCGCGGCTTATTGTTCACATCATGTGTGAAAATCGGGATCATGTCTTCATCCGTATTGGTGTCCACATGGTGCACTCGGTTGCGTCGGTTGAGCGTGTCAGAGATCATTTCGGTCTCCGGCATATCCACAATGGCCGACGAGATAACATTCGGCATATAGCGATAATCCTTGTCCTTAGGCACGTTCAACTTGGGGTTTGAGTAGAACTCGCCAATCGCGGCGAGGTGAACATCACCACTACGGTGGTTAGAGTCGGTTCTCCTTGGAGGGATGTAACGCATTCTTACCTCAAGATGGTGACCCGCACCGATTTGTCTGCTGCAAGATCTTGAAGGTCTTCAATCAGATAGGTTCGCTCGGCCTTATGGTGTTTGGCAGTCCAGTGATCATCGTATATCTCGACCTTGCCGCCACTCTTGTTCACCAGACCACCGAACAATCCAGCCTTGCCCAGTGACTTCCGGCTGTTTAGAATATTCTTGACCATCGCCTGCCGAGGCTGTCAGCGGGATATGCAGGAGCACTGCAGCAAGCATCAAAACATACCACTCGAGGATAGGCAATTGGAATGCTCAACAACACGATCAGGTGCTTAGTTTCCCCTCGAACAATCTCACGGTGACAACGATCCCAGATGAGATCGCAAGTTTGTTCACTGAGGACCTCGTCACTCTGTTCTTCCGTTAGCATGGTGCACTGAACGGTCCTCCCAGGGAATAGTGGCTTACCATTCGTTCAGTCCGGCAGTCTAATCCGAGTAAGACTACCCCGTCGCCTAAAGACATGAACAGATTTCGGCTTCGCTGATTGATGTACGGTCCCGGCTGAGCACCAAGCAGCCAGGTTGGCTCGTCCGACTCAGTTTCCTCTGGCACACTGTGATGCTGGAAGAGCAGATAGTATTTGAAGGCAATGCCACCCAGGCCTGAGATCACAGGCGTGCCCATGAATTCGTCCGGATACGAGCCAAACCCTTCAAGGATCTCATGGTCATTCCACATATTCACCATGGGAATTTGTGAGTTGGCCAGGGAGAATAGCCCCTGCGAGAACCAAGCTGAATAGTGTTCCAGGAAACCCGTTTCTAATTCGGCCTTGAACTCCGCACTTAATGGAGCGTCGTACCTCTCATGGAGGTTCTTAATTCGAATCCAATCTTGGAAGTGTTTGGACTCGGCTGTGACCCTGTCGTTGAAGATCTGATCGCCTCCTCCCAACATGACATGGAATGGGCGAGTTTGATGCTCATTGAGTATGTCACGCCACAAAGGGTCTGGCCCACAAAATTTGTTCGTGTCAACCCCCTGACTGAATCCATTGCATGTGTGGAACATGATATTCATCGATTGTCCTCGGGCGGGTACCCAGAATCCCAATGCTGGGCCCTGATTGATGCGGTAAGCCACCCGCTGCTGGGTCGGCCCCAGTTCAACCTCGATATTGAATCGCCAAAAGGTGACATCTCTCCCGGGGTCAGCATAGAGACGAGCACCCGCGATTTCCTTATAGACACCCGTGGCCTCTCCATCCACGGAGTGCACTCTATTGGCGGGGATGGGCTGCTTGATACCTCCACTGCTGTAGTCCATGATGCTCGGTGACATCTCGTAGACGCCATCGTCATTTTCAATGAAAGACAGATCAAGCTCTTCCTCTGTGTGCTCGACAGGCTTGACATAGAGAGGTCTGCCGTCTCGGCCTAACTTCATGAGTCCGGCCGTTGGGTCGACATATTCCGGCGCAAGCTGAGCATCCTCGCCACTGAGTTCCGCCGGCGGAGGAGGAAGGAGATCCATAGGCTGGGAAAATAGTCTCAGACTAGGCGACGGCTCATAGGTCGAGCGTGAATCTTTCGTCACAATCAACACACTGCCTCTCCATGTCTCCTTATCGAATGGCCCGTTCGGTCCATCGATCCGCACGCGTTTCATCCCTGCGTATCGGAGAAGCGGACCGCACTTCATGAATATCTGCGGTTGAAATCGCTTGTTTGCTGATGACAGTTTCTTGTCAGTTGACTATTGGTGTAGCCTCATCTTGATATTGCTTACCTGTTGATTTCGGGGCGGGGGGCTTTTGATAGGTGGTGGGAAGGGCCCTGCTTCGCCGTCGATTGTTGCTTGATCCCCCTTCCCACCAAGCTGTGCTCTTATCAACATCAATAGATTGGAAATCAAAGTCCGAGACACCTAGTCTGGCCACTGGTGCCGTCTTCCACTCCGAAAGAGGAGGCGGCGTGGGTGGTGGAACATTGAACGAGACGGTTTGCCGTTTCGGCTTGGTGGATTGGATATCGCTCGGAGGCCCCATCGGAGCGCTCTGCTGGTGAATATCCCGATCTACGTTGAGACTGGCCATCACCCCGGGCTGATGTAGGCCAGCTGTTTTGGTGAGCTCTTTCCTTCCGTCGTCCTGTGGTATAGGCCTATTTTGGGCAAGAACGTTTCTGTTTTGTCCAGGCTGGGTCATTGCGGAAGGGTTTCTTGATGGCTCAGCTTGAGAGATAGTCATGGTTTTGGTAGCAGTTTTCTGCGATGGGATACTCTCGTTCGCCCAGGGCGCGTCGAGGCCATTGGCGGCGCGATGGTTCGTTGGCACGGACCGCCTTGGAACATGCCCCATCTTCATCGCCGGCATGTTTGCATGGTTATCACTCGAGGGCCCTAGAACCCCATACTTCATGGATGGCGCGTGACTCCGAGTCGTGGTGGCATTCTCCTGTGCACTGGGTCTGCGCGAGTCTATACTGCTCGGTGCGTCCACAATGACCGGAGGGTTTGTAGGTCGCTCTGAACGTGCCCGCTGCGGCGATTGGTTGGTAGTGCTGCCTTCACGTTTTTCACGGGCCATGCGCTCTTTCAGTTTCATTTCGGCTTCTAAGACCCGTGCACGTTTTTCTTCCTTGCTGATCCCATTTAGGGTGACTTCAAGTTTCTGGAGCGGCGATCGATCAGAAGCCCAGTCGTGTCGTTGATCGGAAGTAGAGCGCACGGTGTTAGACCGTGAAGGCAGACTATTTACAGGGGAAGACAGTTGCGGTGCCTGTTTTTGGTTGACGGTTTCAAAAGCGCCATATCCGTCCGGGGTGGCTGGCGGCTCCGGAGAGAAGGGCTTATCCATGCCGTATAGATCCGCATTAGAAGGGAGGTCCTTTGCCCGTGCCGCGAAGGAGCGCGAAGGATCTTGGTCGGGGGGTGCGGGCTGCGCATGTCGGTAGGAGACAGAGCGGGTGCGGGCAGGCTGCGTAGCCCTGGGTATGTACGCGCCGTCGTCCATAGCATACGACTGCCGCCGTTTGTGCGACGACGCCCCATTCATGGGAGGCTGTGAGGGAGTGGGGTTGCTGCCTGTATGGTTGCGAATGCGCGTAGTCGCCATGTGCTTGGATTGGTGTATTGCGACGTGTGACGGGGGGGTATCTTAAAGGCGAGTATGTACAGAATCGGGAAGTGTTTGGGTTCGTCTAAATGCTGGGGAGTCGATTAGTGTTGTTCGAGGGAAGTTATCTGCGCGCAGAATCTATGCGAAACAGAAACAGTCGAGCGAGAGAGCCGACTTACTCATATACTTCGTAACTTCGTCGCTGGTCGTTGGGTTTGGAGGTATCGACAGTATTCGGATCGTCTTGACAGTCGTGATAGCGAGACAACGTCCGTTATAAAAAGATAAATGTAATAGAATAATTAAAAGAAGGTGGGTGGGATGCGATCAATCATAGAACACTCATAACCAGGAATGTCGAGTGGGATCTTGGAGAGCCTGGAGAGTGGGGGAAGGATGCGGAGTATAGTTACTACAAGAAAGATGGGATGGCGACTACTTTGACCGGCAGTCGACACGATAAGAAGACGAGATGGAGAATTCCTCGCGGTGAAATGTGTGGGAAGGGGAGGAATGAATGATGTCAAGAAAGAGAAGAGGAAGAGAACGAGGCAGAACGATTATATCGGGGGCGATGGAATTCGTCGTCGTCGTCAGGCTAAGATTAAGCCGGTGGCTGGCAGCAGCCCAGCCCTCTCCCACTCGACCTGATTTTCTTTCCCCTGCAGCCGCTCAGCCGATTGGGTTGGCTTCTCCTCCTATTATTTTTTATTCTAGTGAGTTCTCGTCCGGTTCTCGGGCTCCGATCAATTTTAGGCGAAATCTCCTAGGAGAACAATGGTCGAGTCCTCGGCATTGACCGTGCCAAATCACCACCGCCTCGACGCGTACGTTGCACCTCTAGATCGATATTATTGTCCAGAACTGCTAGCCACCCAGGCTGAACTCAGTGTCGTCTATGAAATCCAGAAACGTCATCAGGAAATAAACTGAGTCGCCGCGTTTGTTTAACCCAAGTTCATAGTCCACTCCATCACATCACATCGCATCGCATCTAACGTTAGATAGAGCATGGACATGGTAGAGGGTGTTCAGCCGTCAGTTCTCCTTGCAGGAGTCGATCCTGTCAATCCATATCTCTTCTTCATGTCCATGACAACCATATGGATACCTAAGTAGTCCCAAGGGATGTACCTAGCTAGCTGGCAAGGTACTATGTCAGCGCTGTACGGGAGCCTCGTGTCCGAGGCCATGTGTTCTAAGAATAATTCTTCATTGGATCTGCTAAACCTATTAAATACGGCGTACCTAGGCAGACAGTAAGTAGTACACAACGTATTACCTACACAAAAGGCGGATCGATGTTAGATATCTAGACGTGATAATGATGAGTCTACGGAGTACGTACTATATAAGTGGCCTTTGACGGAAAGACAAGATTATTGGGGCAACGCATTCATTGTCCGATAATCCCTCATACAACAAGTGAAAGGAACTATCCCGAAAGAGGCCTGAATAACATACGAGAAGAAACACAACCCCTAAAGAAATATGTAAATAACAAAATAATAATGAGGAAAAAGTGGATGGAGAGAAGGGGGATCGACGGGGCAGATCAGGAGGTCCCGTGCTTTCTGATGCGGTGGCCTGAATTTCATCCAAACCAACTAAACCGTCTCGCTTTCTCGTTCTTCTTCTGCTTCTTCCTTACGTCCCCCAACTTCCTGCAGCTCTTCAACTCATTGTAAATATTTCTGCTCCTCTCTCAATTCTATTTCTCCCCCTCTCCTCCCCTCCCCCTCTTTCCTCCGCCCGATATCCTTCCTCAGTCCCGTACATGGCAACGGCCCTATCTGTCCCCAACTCGCCGCCCTGAGAAGGGGCTTCTTACCTCCACCATGCGTGTTGTCGGTGGCGCAGCTGTAGCCTTTGGCTTCCTCTGTGCTGCGACTGCATCTCTTCATCCCCGTCGATCTTACGAGACCCACGATTTCTTCGCCCTTCATCTCGACGAATCCGTTTCTCCCGCCGACGTCGCTCATCAGCTCGGCGCCCGCCACGAGGGCCCCATAGGCGAACTCCCACACCACCATACGTTTTCCATCCCCAGAACGAACAGCGCCGATCTAGATACCTTGTTAGAAAATGCGCGCGTGCGCCGAAAATTGGCTCGGCGTGGCGGTGTCGACTTCGCCGGGTCTTCAGACGGCGACGATGGCGGCTTGAGCGGTATCTTGTGGTCCCAAAAGCTAGCCCCCAGAAAACGACTGCAGAAACGCATCCCTCCGCCGAACAATCAAATACGCGATCCCATAGATACCCAGCTGGAGAATGCCGATGCGGCCAACACGCAGAGGGAGGTCGCATCGTCTCTGGGGATTACCGATCCCATATTCACCGGACAGTGGCATCTCTACAATACCGTCGAAGTCGGTCATGACCTGAATGTCACGGGGGTTTGGTTAGATGGGATCACCGGTAACGGGGTGACAACCGCGGTGGTAGACGATGGACTGGATATGTACAGCAATGATCTGAAGCCAAATTACTTCCCGGAGGGTTCCTACGACTTCAACGAGGGAGTTCCGGAGCCAAGACCTCGTCTCCGTGACGACAAGCATGGCACCCGGTGTGCGGGAGAGATTGCCGCAGCACGGAACGATGTCTGCGGACTGGGTGTGGCCTATGACAGTCGGATTGCCGGAATCCGCATCTTGTCCGAGCCCATCGACGACACCGACGAAGCGGCGGCGATCAACTTTGGCTACCAGCAAAATGACATTTATTCGTGCTCATGGGGCCCTATGGATGATGGCAAGACCATGGAGGCACCCGGCATTCTGATAAAGCGCGCCATGGTGAATGGTGTCCAGAAAGGTCGCGGTGGGCGAGGCTCCATCTTCGTCTTCGCTGCCGGAAACGGAGCGTCGTTCGATGACAATTGCAATTTTGACGGATATACCAACAGTATTTACAGTATTACGGTTGGTGCCATCGATCGCGAAGGCAACCACCCCAGCTACTCCGAGTCGTGCTCCGCCCAGCTTGTAGTTGCCTACAGCAGTGGCGCGAAAGATGCGATTCACACCACAGATGTCGGGACCGACAAGTGCTATTCGTATCACGGCGGTACCTCCGCAGCTGGTCCTCTTGCTGCGGGCACTGTCGCTCTCGCCCTCAGCGCGAGACCCGAACTCACTTGGCGTGATGCGCAGTATCTCATGGTCGAGACGGCTGTCCCTGTGCATGAGGACGATGGCAGCTGGCAGATCCTGAAGAGCGGGAGGAAGTTCAGCCATGACTGGGGTTTTGGCAAGGTCGACGCTTACTCTCTGGTCCAGAAAGCGAAGACGTGGGAGCTGGTGAAACCGCAGGCCTGGTTCCACTCCCCTTGGCTGCGAGTGCTGCACAAAATTCCGCAGGGTGAGCAAGGCCTGGCCAGCTCGTACGAGGTGACCGAGACGATGATGAAGGATGCCAATCTGGAACGGCTCGAACATGTCACTGTGACCATGAACGTCAATCATACGCGCCGCGGCGATCTCAGCGTCGAGTTGCGCAGCCCTGACGGCGTGGTGAGCCACCTTAGCACGGCCAGACGGCCTGATGAGGAGAATACGGGTTATGTCGATTGGACGTTCATGAGTGTTGCCCATTGGTTAGTCTCTCTTTGGTCCTTTCTCTCCTCCACAGCGCAGTGTTTACCGTCTGTATGCTAACTCAATATTCAGGGGCGAGTCCGGTGTCGGAAAGTGGACTGTGATTGTGAAGGACACCAACGTCAACGACCATGTGGGAGAGTTCATCGATTGGAGACTCAACCTGTGGGGTGAGGCTATCGACGGCGCGAAACAGCCACTCCACCCGTTACCCAATGAGCACGACGACGATCACAACATCGAGGACGCCATTGTGGCCACTACGAGCGTTGCGCCGGCGCCTGTGAAGACCGATCCTCCTGGATCCCCTACGGATGCCATCAATCGCCCGGTGAAGCCGAAGCCCAACCAATCTGCACAGCCTACTACGCCTCCGGAAGCGCCAGCCGGGGAGACGGAAGCTCCATCTCCTACCAAGCCTACCGGGTCGGGTGCTTCGGAAACCCCTTCGACCACCTCGTCGTCGGACAGCTTTTTGCCGTCGTTCTTCCCGACCTTTGGCGCTTCGAAACGAACCCAGGCCTGGATATATGCCGCGATTGGCTCCATCATTGTGTTCTGCATCGCCCTCGGGGTATACTTCCAGGTGGTGCGCCGGAGACGCAAGCGCAACGATCCTCGCGACGATTACGACTTTGAAATGATCGAGGATGAGGACGAGTTGCATGCGATGACCGGGGTCTCTGGCCGTACCCACCGCCGGGGAGGCGAATTGTATAATGCATTTGCTGGGGAGAGCGACGAGGAGCCTCTGTTCAGCGATGAGGAAGAGGAACCCTATAACGATCGGGATAGTGGGGATGGAAAAGGTCGGACGAGTTCGGATCAGCACCGATGACCGTTCTATCGATATGCCCGTTGAAGTTTTGTTTGACGGATATTTAGCGGCTCTGGTTTCGCGGATGAATTCGTATACGCCTTGGCACAGCCGCCTTTCGCATAAGGCATTGTATGGCTTATGTCTGTTGTGGCCGGCAAGAGGATGGAGTATATAGGCTTATTTCGAAAACAGACCAACAAAGCTATATTTAAAGGCTCTACACAATATTTGTCACTCTCCTGTAATTCTCTAAATGAGATGAATGTATCGGCCACATTCCACTGCACGCAGCCAGCTCGGTGGTCGCGGTGTCTCCGTCTTGGCGGGGAAGCGATGATGACGCTGCCTGGGCGCTTCTCCAACTGCCGCTGCTGCTCCTCATTGTTGCTTCCACCATCTCTCCTACTCTCCACTCTCTCTTTCACTCTCTCCACCCACCACCCCCATCACCCCCTACTCGACCCTGTAACCTCCATTCATATACCCAGTCTTCGCATCTTCAACATCGACTTGACTATCCGAACTAGAGAACCCTATCGCCCCACACCGTCTGTCGACACCGCCGGATCCCATCCAGATGGATCAGCACGACGACTTCGACAACGTCTCCTGGAGACATGATGCGGGGAGCGAAAGCTCTCGTCCAACGACATCGGGCACCGATGCCGAAGAGTCACCGGCAACCACCCATGATGTCAATGGCAAACGGAGATTGAGCTCCGCGCAGGACGCCCCTCAGGCCGGGCCATTGGCCGACGCCGTCGACCTCGCAGGTATCGGCGACGGCATGTTAGAATGCCAGGTGGATTCGCCCCTCAAGGAGAACGACGGTACAAAAGATGCATACATCTCATATTTGGTCACTACACATGTGAGTTGCGCCTCCTTTTGATCCAAGGCCGCCAGGCCAGGGCGACCCTTTCTGTCCAACTGCTGACCGCGCGACCATGCTGCAGACCGATTTCAAGTCCTTCCAGAAGCCGGACTTCACCGTGCGACGACGCTTTACAGATTTCTACTTCTTATACAAGACGCTCTACCGGGAGTATCCGGCCTGCGCGGTGCCGCCGCTACCGGACAAGCATAAGATGGAATACGTGCGGGGGGACCGGTTTGGCACTGAGTTCACCACCCGTCGCGCCTGGTCACTACATCGTTTCCTCAAACGGCTGACCCTGCATCCCGTGCTCCGCCGTGCCCCGCTGCTCGCCGTCTTCCTGGAGTCGCCCGACTGGAATGCGCACATGCGGCTGCACTCCTCGCGGAACACGAGCACCACCTCGGAAGGCGGCGGCGTGCCGGGCATCTTCGACAACTTCACCGACACTTTTGTCAACGCGTTCACGAAAGTGCACAAGCCGGATCGGCGGTTCATCGAGGTGCGCGAGAAGGCGGACAAACTGGATGAGGACCTCAACCATGTGGAGAAGATCGTGGCCCGGGTGGCCCGGCGCGAGTCCGATCTGGAGACAGACTACAACGACCTCGCCACGCAGTTCCGCAAGCTTGTCCCTCTCGAGCCGGACGTCGAGGTGCCGCTGCAGGTGTTCGCGGCGTCGGTGGAGGAGACGGGCCGCGGGCTCAAGGGGCTGAAAGACCACACCGACCAGAACTACCTCGGCTCCCTCCGCGACATGGAGGCGTACATCGTATCGCTCAAGTCGCTGCTGAAGACGCGCGAGCAGAAACAGCTCGACTTCGAGGCCCTGGTCGACTACCGGAACAAGGCCGTCGCGGAGCGGGACTCCCTCGCCACCAACCCGTCGTCGTACTACGCCTCGAACCCGCTCACGTCGTCGCCGGCGTCGTTTATCCGTTCCAAGATGGAGGACATGCGGGGCGTCGACCACGAGCAGTCCCGGCGGGAGCGGGTGCGGAAGCTGGAGCTTCGCATCGATGAGCTGACGCGGGAGGTGGAGTCGGCCAAGACGACCTCGGAGATGTTCGACGAGGAGGTGGTGCGGGAAGTGGCGGACTTTGAGCGAATAAAGGCGGTGGAGTTCCGGGATACGCTGGGGGCACTGGCGGAGAAGCATATCGAGTTCTACCAGGGGGTGTTGAACACGTGGGAGCGGTTTATTGCGGAGATGGAGGGCGATCTGGACGAGAATCCCGCTGGGCCGTAGGGGCATTGACATGAAATGAACGATTGTGACTTTGTTTTCTGTTTTGTGTGGCTTTGCACTCGACTTGATAAATGTTTCTATTATTGTCATTCCGGATGACAAGATTGATACCTCTGTAGCAACAGGAGTACTAGTAAGTTACAATGCGTGCGGTGTATTCTCGACCAGCATATCGTAGGCCGCTCTCAATGCAAGAAAACAAGTGTATGTATCGGCCAGTGATGTCCACCCAGGACCTCCAGTCTACCCGCGCAACCGCTCCTTGACGCCTTGATTTTCGGCACACTCAAAGTCGACGGGACTCGGATCCCCCTGCGGATCGAGAATTGCCGGGTCGAGCGCGCGGGTCGTGCGACGTCGTGCGCGTTCCTGGGTTTGTCTCTGTTAGACCTTGCTGCCTACACCAGCCGTCCGGCGGGGAAACTCACCTCGCGGTAGATCTGGTTGGGGGTCTTTTGGACGGCGCCCTCGCGGCCGGCGAGGAGCTGGAGGTAGACTTCGTGGTCGTAGCCGATGGGGGGCGATTTGGTCTGCGGGTTGTGGGCGAAGTTGGCGCTGAGATGGAGGTGTGTGTCGCCGGTAGAGGCTGTGGCTGTGGCCGTTGTAGCGGTTGCTACGGCGGTGGAGGTGGTGGAGGTGGAAGTGGAGGTGGATGTAGACGCCATAGGGAGCTGGAGCTTCTTCCTTCTTCTCTGGCGCTAGAGCCTAGCTTTGGGGGATGGATCGATCGCAGAGAGCAGAGCCGTGGAGATGTCGGCGGCCGTGGTGATGCTGGGACAATCATGACGGGAGGCCGCATGGCGAATCAGCCCGTGTAGATCTATAAATACAAAGAAGCGTTGCAGCCGCCCCCCGCTGATGAGGGTGGCGGAGTGAAACCGCGTCATGCTGAGGTGGCAGTGTTCTCTCCAGACCACTCGTAGCGGCGATCAGGAGGATGTCGGCTGCATGATCGGAATGGGGGCATTCTTAGGGCTGATGGAATGTGCTGGTGGACTATATATAGTTCAGGTTTAGTTCCTGGCAAGTAAACACCGAGATGATCGAGATGCATTCTTCGGTCAGTGCCACGTAGGAGAGAGATTAATTGCACTATATTAGAATATTAAGAGTCATAGTTAAACGGACTCGAGCATAAACTTGATGGTTAGTGAGTATCTGAGATAACTGTCGAACCAGATATGGACTATACAAGGGGTAGCGGTCGATAATACACTATAAGCACCTCCAGGTGCCTTGGCACTTTTCGCTGATAAACCAAAGCCCATATTATCCGGGAAGAATGTTTGCCCCAAATAGAACTAGGGGACAAGGCGATGTGATCTCGGTTCAGCTTGAACACCTGAATAACCCAGGCGGAGACAGAACGCCAGGGACGCAAGCTAATAGTTAGCAAAATCATCTCGTCCCTTAAATGTTAGGTCCCAGCACACCCACTGGTCGTCGAATTTCGGGAACGTAAGGTAGCCTTCTGTGCCGTCTTGCGAAATGAAGACTCTCCTAGTCTATCAGTTCCAAAGCTCACAAATAGCTGGGGCATGTCTTACCTATGCAACAACTTGGGAGGCCTCTTGCATCTCAACAGAGTGAATGCTCACTGCGCGCAGAACGCTTGCACTCTAGTGTGCAAGTGATTTTTCCATCTTGATTGTGCTGTAGCTGGCCATCAGTGATGGCTACAAGCTCCAGTCTGTTTGTTCGCCACTTTCCTCAATCCGCAGCAGATTCACCAGACTACTGTTGACCGATTGCTCATCTACAGCTTGAAGCGCAGTTTGTTGACTGCCTCATCAATCTATGATCTCTTGGATCTGAATAGAAACTCCGGTAAATGCTCCCATTTATACCGGTGGTAGTAAGTGCTGGAAATCTTGATTTCCTAGCAGGTCTGCTGCATTGAACTCAGAGGGATCCTTCGACGCCGAGCACAGGGCTCTGTATTGAGGAGCTGTGCCTTCGTGGCTTTGGATGCTGAGTGGATCTTTTCAGAGGCTTGGAGAGGCGTATGGAGCACGCCATCACCTTTGGCTGCATGCTCCCACTCCTGTGGGGTGGCAGGCAGTGAGAAAAAGGTCAAGGGGAGAAGGAGTCAGAAGAGGAAGAAGTGGGAAGGAGTAGTACACTAAATATTAACAATGCCTCTGAGATGGATCATAGGATTCATTAACAGTTATACCATTAGACTTGGTGAATCTACACGCTGTACGACTTAGGTGGCTGCAGTCACTCGCTAGTCCTCTCTATCTAGAGTAGTAACAAGCCTCTAATATTAGTATGCAACTAACAGAACGGAATTAGGAAGCAAGACCTGTTCCATTGGACTGTCGGAAGTGACAGAAAAGTGCGGCCAACTAAACCTTCACCCCTCTTCACATCTTCATCTTCTCCCATGTCAGCTAAATCGGCGACAGCGAAAATGTTCAACGCCCGGCCTAGCACTGTACGCCGCCGCCTCCAGGAGCTTTGGAAGACTGTGGAGTCCACAGAACATGAGCGAACCGACGACAACCTTCTTCTAGCCTGGAGAATTCGTCGAGAAGACCTGAATTTGGAGGAGCCCCCGGACGCCAATTCAACCTCTAACTCACCAATTCTCTTGTCACTCCTACCACAGGCCACACTAGACGAACATCCCATTGATCGCGCCCAGTATGAAGAAGGACCTCTGAAGGGCTGCCTGGTCTTCAAAGACTATTCGTCTCATTCCCGACGCGGCCCTCGCCACGTCCAGGATTTCGTCTATGATTGCGCCTGCAACGCGGCCAGAGTCGGCTTGCCCTGCTTAGGTCCCCGCGAACTTGAGATGGCAATCCTGAACTTAGCCAATAAAATCGGATGGTGGGACGCCAGGTACGTAATGCTCTGTCCAAACATGTACATTTTGCCTTCCAGATTTGCCTGATTCTGGTTTGAAGCATTCCACATCCATTCCTGCTCAACAAACCGTTCGTGCTCATCGCCCCGTCCCGTGCTCGCCCTACACGCTGTGATACAGGTCCGATCCTCGAGTGGAGAGACCGAGTGGAAAACGACGTGTCCACCTTTGCGCACCTCACCATCTTCGCAGTACAGCACAGCATCGGCAATGATGGCTAGATGCAGATGGGCGAGCTAAAGGCCATCATATCGGGCATGATGAATCGATCCGCCCAGCTGAATCTTCGCGAAGACAAACAAGAGGCAGCATTTGAGGATCGGGGGGAGTGGCTGAAGCAGTATCCGCTTGCTTTCCCCAAGGAGCGTCGATTCCCGCTTCTGCTGGTGTCCTTTGTGGCTCCCCAGCATGGCTGGATTTTCTATGCTTCCATGGATGGACAGCGGCTGGTGATCCGCCAATCCAAGCTGTATAGCTTCGAGAGAGAGGCGACGGCTCCTTTGGATCTCTTCACTCGCTGGATCATGTACACGCCATTAAGAGAGGATTGATCATAAATGAACGCTTTGGTACCGATTCGGGGATGGCGTTTCTTGTTAGGTAGGGTTACATGGATAGTTTGTTAGGCGAGTCGAGATGATAAGAATGTCTTCATGTCTTATTCTTCTCGATCTTCTAGAAGTAAAAGTGAAGTCATGCGATCCTCTGTTTGCTCTGTTTGCACCATGCCGCTCTCGCCGAAATCCACCGTTGTTGGATCATCCGACAGCACCATCATTCCCTCCTCGCCCACTCTCTCAATCCCTCATCATGCGGCCTCTCGCTCGGTCGGCTCTCCGGCCGTATGTCTGTCCGTCCTGTCGGTCGGGCAATGCCCTATCCCGACGGCGATTCACTTCCCAGTCTCCGTCCAACTCCGTCCCGGATATCTACGATGTCGTCTGTGTCGGAGGTGGCCCAGCTGGTCTAGGGCTTCTCGCTGCTCTCCGTACTTACCCTCCTTCAGTCCAATTGACTCAGTCTGCTTGGGACTCTACTAATTGCATATAGGCGCGTCTCCCGCTACGTCCAATTTGAGAGTAGCCCTCGTGGAAACGCAGGATCTACAGAAGGCCCGCTCTTGGAACCAGGATGCCCACCACTTCTCCAACCGTGTCAGCAGTCTGACCCCCTCTTCCGTCTCGTTCTTGCAGAAAATCGGCGCGTGGGAACATCTGGACACGAGTCGCGTCCAGCCATATCAGGAGATGCAGGTATGGGATGGCGAGACCGACTCGCGCATCTCGTTCGATTGGTCCATGGAAACCTCCCCGTTCGAGGACCTCCGCACCGTAGCTACCATGACCGAGAATGCGAACCTGGTCCGCGCGCTGCTAGCACGTATCGCCGCATCAGGCGACGAGAACCTGTCGATTTTCAGCAACACCACCGTCGCGTCCATTGAGAACGGAACCGACCACCCCGATGGACCGAACCTGTCCGCCTGGCCTGTTCTATCCCTCGCCCCGACGGGCTCAGCCCCCGCCTCCGAACCCTCCCGAATCGCAGCCAGACTTCTGGTCGGTGCAGATGGCATCAACAGCCCCGTGCGTCGCTTCGCAGACATCGCAACCGACGGCTGGGACTACAACAGACACGGCGTTGTCGCGACCCTTTCGCTCGCAGACCCGGAGACTCCCACCTTCCCCATCGGCACGAGGACCGCATATCAGCGTTTTCTACCCTCGCTGGGAGGCCCTATCGCCCTGCTTCCGCTGCCCGGGAATCACGCGACACTGGTGTGGTCGACCACCGTCGAAAACGCCGCGTATCTGAAATCGCTTTCTCCAAAGGCCTTCATTGCCATGGTCAACGCCGCTTTCCGTCTCTCAATGACCGATCTTCAATACATGATGCGCATGGAACGGGCCTCTACAGCCACGGAAGATCCCCATGAGGATGAACTGACCTGGCGCATGAAGCACACGGACTTCTCGCGCGTCCCGCCGATGGTCAATGGCGTCCAGGAAGGAAGCGTGGCTTCGTTCCCCCTTCGCTTTCGACACGCCTCGACGTATATCTCGCCGCGCGTGGCTCTTGTCGGTGACGCCGCCCATGTGATCCATCCGCTCGCCGGCCAGGGTCTCAACCTCGGTCTGGGGGATGTGGCGTCGCTGGCCAAGAGCATTGAGTATGCTGTAGACCATGGAATGGATGTCGGTGATATCCTCAGCCTGGAACACTACACCGCGGATCGGTGGGCCACGAATGCGAAGATTGGCGGGGCCTGCGATATCCTGCACAAGCTTTACAATGTGCCTGGACAGAACCCGGTGGCATGGGCGCGGAGCTTCGGTCTCGATGTCATCGACCGCGTACCATTTGTGAAGTCGTTCTTGATGAGAAATGCTCAGGGTTAGATGTGGGCTTGTATGAATCTCTACGTTCTGCATCTGTGTTATGTACTGTAGTTGTTATAATAGGAGTAAGATGTATATTAGTGATCAAATTATGGAAAGTCTCATCCATGGTTTGTCTTGGTAATCAAGTATAGGGACCGTCAAGGTGGACCAGCCAAGCCGAGGATACACAATAACTGACCATTATGATACCTTCATGGTGCAACTCTATGGAGGAAGTTGAGGGTGGAGAAGCTATGGAGGTTACTATATCCACTGAACTTTGGAAATCACATTGTCCAACAGAAGACTGCAATCTAAACTGGGTATTGAAATTGTCTTGCCTTTTTGTTTTGTTCTTTTGCCTGTCCGTCCCGACTTTTATCTCCAACCCTCCGATATTTTGAAAGTCGCGTGTTCTATCGTAGCTCGTTTATGCATCCGTCTTCAGACCCTCCATCTGTTGCGTGACATCCGACACATTGGCCTGAGCCCGCTTCTTCGCCACACGGGTTTTGACTTCCTCTGGGAGGCTGGCCAGATCCACCAGCACACCCTCCTTCTCCGGGTGGCCTTCTTCGAGACCCATCTCCTTGATGCGGACCTTGCCGGCGGCAAGTTCGTCTTCGCCCAGAATAGCAGCGAAGGGAACACCGCCCTGTTCGGCAGCCTTGAATTGTTGCGGAAGCTTCGGCTTCAGCTTGTACGAGAACTCGGCCTGGAGTGGTCAGCTCATCGACTTGAAATACAAGGGCTGCTATGTATCGACAAAGGGAATACGTACCTTGACACCGGCCTCCCACAACGTCTTGCACACGTTCATGCGCTCTTTCAACATGCCGTTGAAGCCCTTACCACCAAAGGCCATGACAAACACGTCCACCTCACTGCTGCGGAGCGCCTCGGCGCTCTTTTCCCGCTCAATGCGGGCCTTGGTGATGGAGAAGATGCGATCGACACCGAAGGATACACCCACACAGGGAATCTGCGCCTTGGGCAGGAACATGCCCACGAGGTTATCGTAGCGACCACCGGCGGCAACACTGCCGACACCCAGGGTGGGGTCGTTAGAGCGGTCGTCATCCTCCAGGTTGCCGCTCTTCGACTTGTCCTTCTTTCCAGACTTCTGAACCTTCTGCGCCTCAGGAGCGCCGGTCTGGGCCGGCGGCGCGGAGCCTTCCGTCACAACCTCGTAGATCACGCCAGTGTAATAGTCCAACCCACGGGCGAGGGAAAGGTCGAAGGAGATGCGGTCAAGCACGCCGAAGGCGTCGAGGTAGTCCATGAGGAGGGTCATCTCGTCGAGACCGGCCTTGGCGGAGGCGTTCGCGGTGAGGACTTCGTCGGTAAGGAGGCGGTCGAGGAGCTCGCGGGAGCCCTTGTGCATGACATAGGTCTCGATGCGGTCGGCGACGGCACCGTCGAGGCCCTTCTCGTCGACCATCTCCTTGCGCACGTCGGCCCAAGGCATCTTATCCAGCTTGTCGACGGCGCTGGAGATGGGGCGGATCTTCTCGGTGGGGACGCCGCACACCTCGAAGATGCCATCGAGGATCTTGCGGTGGTTGATCTTGATGCTGTAGCGGCCCTTCCAGCCCAGTTCCTCGAAGACTTCGGTCACGATCTTGAGCACTTCGGCGTCGGGCACCATGGGGTCGAAGGAGCCGGCGATGTCGAAATCGCACTGGTAGAACTCGCGCATGCGGCCCTTGCTGACGGCGGGCTGATCCCGACGGTAGACCTTGGCGATGTGGTAGCGCTTCATGCTGCGGACGTCCGGGTTCATGGCCAGCCAGCGGGCGAAGGGCACGGTCAGATCGTAGCGGAGGGAGCAGAGCTCGCCGCCCTGGTCCTGCAGGTCGTAGATGAGCTTGGAGTCCTCGCCATATTTACCGGCGAGAATCTCGCGCAATTCGAAGACGGGGGTATCGAGGGCGGTGCCACCATGACGCTTGAAGACGTCGGCGATGGTGGTGAAGATGCGATCCCGGAGGAGGGCGTCGGATCCGGACCAATCCTTGGTACCCTTGGGGGTTTTCAAGTTGAACGAAGGGGCTTTCTCCTTGGGCATGGTGGCGTCTATCGCGGAGGAGGAGAAAGAGGAAGGGAGGGGTGGAGGGGAAGAATGGTAGTGGCGGCGAGGTTGATGGTGGGGGATGATATGAGTCGGACGAAGAAAGGTAGTGGTGGTGGTGGGGTCATCGATCCTCTGTTGCAGATTTGCCCGGTACAACACTGTTGGGCTCGTCCTCGGGACCCGACGAGAACTCCCTTGGATGATGCGAAAGGACAGAGAGTGCATTCACATGAGAATGCAGTGCAACGGTGGTTTTTGTTCGTCGCGTGCCTGTTTGGCGGCTTTCTCTCTTGTTGTTTTGGGAGGTTGTTTTTGCTGTTCTTTTTCTGGCCCCTTTCTTCCCCTGCCTATTGGGGAACGTTTCTCCGACCCCTCCCCTAAAGGGGTAATTAGGGCTTCCTTCCAGGGCACATCACGTGTTATCCGAGAGTACCAGTATGCATCCTCAGTAGATACCGTAGTAGTAGTACCTTACGTACCTTAGGAAGGGGACGAGGAGGAGTCATCTTATCTGCATCAGCACTTTAATATCGACCTCATCAGGCCGACAGTTTCCAAACGCTGCACATTTCTGACAACAGTACTGAAGCTTCCCTAGCGGATGGATCTCTCGAGTTATCATTGCCGTTTTGGGATCGCCCAGCACCCGTCATCTCCCCAGATCAACGCCATTTCACCCAAGGTCACACCACGTTGACAGTCCGCATTAGCGTCCTGAAGGCTCGATTCAGACAGGTACATAGGCGTAGATTCGGAGAAATTCTATTTCGGTGATAAGAGAGACCGACTTTCTGTACGACCGCTGCCCTTATGTTCTCTATCGCGGATGGATATGCCTCGACCGGCGGTCATCCCATCTAGCTACCTACCTCATCGTCTCGACACCTTTGAACGCATCTCAGCACCAAACCGGAAACAAACACGATGTCAGTTTACCCACGATTACCGCGCTAGAAACCCGATCGGGAAATACTGGGGAGATGGGCCGATGTGGGGAAGAGCTATAAATTATACGATTGGTTCCAGTCCACGTGGGGGAGACCGGCCTAGCGTGGGATAAAATACTGACTAAGGCAGGTCAGGTAATACCCGCATACCTGTACTCCGTACTATACAGTCGCCAAGAGAGACGCCATGGCGCTGGACGAAGCGCCGTCTTCACTTCATCTCCCAAAAATCACTCACCCGTTCGTCCCTTCTAGGCTTTAGCATGGACCGTCCTCTCCTCCCATTCCTGTCGCCACCACCGCCCCATGCGCAAGAAACCTGGAACCAACCTCCCGAGGATTTCCGCCCGCAGACCGAGTCTGATTCATGAGGCTGGGTCAGATAGGCGTTGCTTACCTCTGTCCAAGACCTGGTGACGGCTTCTTGTCGTTCCTGATCAATCGAGTCCGTGACAGACCTCCAGGCAGACACCAGGATTGTGTCTTACCGCCATCAAGCTAATCCAGCGCCATTGGGCTGGCAACAAATCACCTTCTCGCATCTCCCTTTTCTCTAGGCCAATATCACATCGACTAGCCTGGACTGGGGTCAATTTGGCGCGTTTTATCCGGGGGTTACTTTGCCGTGTTCAAAATGGCGACCAGTTGGTTTATCCCATGACAGCTATACCCTCCATCGGATTGGTCTTTGTACCAGATTCCCCACCCCCTAGGCTACTTTCTCCAATGTTATTTGTTTATATAGACGACCACCTGCATGCGGGTGTTACTAATGACGAGTGAAAGGATTGAACTCGTCACCTTCCACGGCGTCTCCAGATCCTACTTGTGGAGGGAAGGGTAGGTGGAGGGCGGCGTTTAAGTGATCTTAAATCCATCTCGGACGACTTCCATCATGGTCTATTTCCACCCCTCATGTGTTCAGACCGGTTGTCTGATCGAATGTGGAGGACGGGACCGACTGACGTACTGATATCCATCCAACTTGATACCCTGATACGACCATCTTCCTGGCGCATACAACTCCGCCACAGCTCCACTGTACCATTCCGGTGGTTAGATTGTGATGATGATTATTATTATTATTGTAGAGAGGGGAACACGATAATCGTAGGAAATGTGATATTGTTATATTTTAAGAGCATCTGACGTGGGATATCTGTTACCGTCGATACGCGAGTCAGCAGGACCTCAAGGTGTGGTGGTAATCTGGTACACCGGTTGGTACCTCACAGTACCTGCCTAGAAGGTTCCGCGTTCCTTCGGTCTTATCACCCCCAGGAAGTTAATAATCGACTCGCCTCGACTAGGCTGTCATCTTGAGCGTTATAACATGATGATTCTCTTGGAAATAGCCCTCATCATCTTCTCTTTGAATATATTCTCTCAAATAAATCATAAACGAAGAATAAGCCCTTCCCCTCACTGTCTCCGGTCAATCTCTCTCCGCTTGTTCTCGCTCGGACCCGCTCCCGCCCCCGACAGCCAGTAAATTACCGCGTTGAGGGAAAGTACCACGATTGGATGTACCTTAACTTACCGACCGAAGTATCTCCTCCTCCTCTCCCCTCGCTCGTCTGCGCTCCCTCCGTCTCGTGTCCCTGTTCTCATCCTTCTCGTCGACTCTTCCCCCCCTTCTCTCCGATCCTCACTGACCTCTCGAATTCTCCTTTCTCTCCACTGTCTTCTATCTCCTTATTCCTCTCTCCAAATCGGCTGGTTCAATTCCCTTTTTCTGCCTTCGGATCGTCCCCACAATTCGACTCCGCCGCCCGTTCACATTCCCGCCCCATTATTCCTATTATTATTCTGCCTCGCCCTCTTCCAACTCCTCCAACGCCTCATCCTTCCCTCATATCGGACTCTCGCGGACCGACAGTCTCGCTCTCCTCCACCGTCGGATCAGACTGAAGTCTTCTTCCACTGTTCTCGCTACCTTCCTCCACGGTTCCGAGCGGCCTCCGTCCATTATCCGATTTGCCGCCATTGCACCTGAGTCGCCTCGTCTCCTCTCCCCACGGACCGTCCTTGTCGTCGCATTCTGCCCACTGGCGCGTTGCATAACCGACTCCTCTGCGGCCCTATCCAGCGGCCTCGGGGCCGGCTTCATTTCCTTGTCCGTCGCCAGATGAAGCTGGGCTGACAGGTTAAGACATCTGGTGACCATTATGGGGTCATTGTTCAGGAGCTTCCGACGAGATGCGGTAGGTCACGGCTGACTCGGCTCTCCCCTTCTTGGGTCTCATCCACCACCGATATCGCGACTGGTCCTGCGGCCATATGTGAATGTGGGGAAGGTACCTCCGCGATTCGTGAATGAGGATAGAGGAACCCTCAGAAGAAATCCTGTCCGAGGGAGGATTACATTGCCAGGGACAGAACGCTGACCATATCCCAGGGCGCCACCGCACCTTCGGTCGGGGCGACTCCCGCAAAGAAAGAACCCCCGCCACCTCCGATGACGCCCCTCGAGAAGATGCTACAGGACATGGGTGCGATCCGAGAGGATGGTAGTGACAAGTTTTTTGGAATGGAGAATGTGAGTACTGTCACTGCGACATTATGATATTGGCCGATACTGACATCCTTCCTTTCCTCAGTATGGAAATACTTGGTAAGCTTTTTCGTATCGGACGGGGAGTGGCGCAGACCGCGGTCGGAACCCAAGGTACTAATGCATCCTACCACAGTTACTGCAACTCGATATTACAATGTCTCTACTACTCGGTCCCTTTCCGCGAAGCTGTGATCAATTATCCCACCCGGACCCCCATAGAAAGCTTGACGGCTGCATTGGCAGAGACACTTCGCTATCCGAACCCAAACGCGCATTTAGAAGCCGAGGCCCAGGCCGAGAAGCAGAAGGCGGCCAACGCCCAGCGCCCTGGGGCACCGCCCAACCAACCGCAGAAGCCCGAAGACAAAGACTCCCCCGAATACAAGAAGAAGATGGCATTACAGACGTTTCCACTTTTAGAGACGAAGAATAACGCCCCCAGTTACGGCATGTCCGAATCGCTTTTTACCTCATTGAAAGACTTATTCGAGTCCGTTGTGGGCAGCCAGTCTCGCATAGGAATTGTTCGACCACAGCATTTTCTTGATGTTCTCCGCCGCGAGCACGAGATGTTTCGTACCGCCATGCACCAGGATGCCCATGAATTTCTGAATCTGTTGCTGAACGAAGTTGTTGCAAACGTGGAAGCCGAAGCTTTGAAACAGCCCTCATTGGAGAGGAGCCTTCCTCCTGCCGAAAGCTCCGAATCTGTGGAACATTCGGGCAGTTCGGGGTCTAAGACGCCCAACACCACACGATGGGTACACGAGTTGTTTGAAGGAACGTTGACATCGGAGACCCAATGCCTTACATGCGAAAAGGTATCCCAACGAGATGAGGTTTTCCTGGATCTGTCTGTGGATTTGGAGCAGCATTCGTCCGTCACGTCTTGTTTGAGGAAGTTTTCCGCCGAAGAAATGCTCTGCGAGAGGAACAAGTTTCACTGCGATAACTGTGGTGGTCTTCAGGAAGCTGAGAAGAGGATGAAGATCAAACGATTACCTCGGATTTTGGCTCTCCATCTGAAGCGTTTTAAGTACACCGAGGATCTCCAACGGCTTCAAAAGCTGTTTCATCGGGTAGTGTACCCGTATCACCTTCGGCTTTTCAACACCACAGATGATGCGGAAGATCCCGATCGGCTGTACGAGCTCTACGCTGTGGTGGTCCACATCGGCGGAGGTCCGTATCATGGTCATTACGTTGCCATTATCAAAACGCAAGATCGTGGTTGGCTGTTATTCGACGATGAAATGGTGGAGCCGGTCGATAAGAACTATGTACGCAACTTCTTTGGCGACAAACCAGGTCTCGCTTGTGCCTACGTCCTATTTTACCAAGAGACTACACTTGAAGCTGTTCTCCGGGAACAAGAACAGGAGAACATGGACCCGGCTCTAGCCACGACAGAGACCAATGATTCATTGAAACAGAATGGTTTTGCCCAGTCACCAGCCCTGGGTCTGGTGCATAGTGCGTCGCAAATACCGTCGCACGATGAACCGCATCGGCTCAACAGCCTCAAGCGCGCTCCAACTGCTCCCTCGCTACCTACTCACTATGAGCATACTGATACAAACAGCGCTCCCTCCATTCCAAAACCTGCGATGGCACCGCCTGTCCCACCAATCCCGGAAACGCATTCCATGCCCCTGAGCCCTAAGAAGAGTGATCTCCAGTCACGAAAGGAGCGAGCCAAAGAAGAAAAGGAACGAAAAGCCGCAGAGAAAGAAAGAGAGAGACAACGCCGCAAGGAGCAAGAGGCTACCCGCAAGGAACAGGAGGCTAGAGCCAGAGAAAACCAACGACGTGAAGATGCGGAGCTGAAAGCTGCCCTCGAAGCGAGTCGGGCGTCGAAGGCGGATGAGGATCGGCGCAACCAGGAGGGCCAGAAGGACCGGGATCCGGGGCGGTCTGGCCATGGCTTAAGCCGTCTCAAGCGAGGGAGCAAGAGTTTCAGTCATCGACTCAGCAAGGATAAGGACACTCGAGTCCCATCGTCCAGCAACCCTGGCGTGCCAGATCCCAATAGTCCTCCGCTCAACAACACTGTGGTGACATCCGAGCACCAAGAGCAAGAACAGCAACCGCCAAGTGATCAGCAGCCCGGAGCCTCCCGCCTTTCCAAGAAGCACAATTTGAATGATGAAGAACGGGATGCCAATAAGGATCCTAAACAAGACAAGCCCGGCCATGGCAAATGGAGGAGCTTTAGTCTCCGAAAGAAATCTTTGGGCATCCTTTCATGAGATTCCAGTGACTTCTTCCCCATGCATATACAACACACGTGTTTTGCGGTACATATTTTCGATGTATCATCAATTTTTCCCTGTTTGGGTCCCATGTTCCAGGAAACGACAGTGCATATCGGATCTGAATCATGTTTATTTCTTCGTCATTTTCAATGCTCCATGTACCTCGACTCGCATGCTCGCTTTAGCCAATTGTTTGCGTCCTTTCTTGCATTTCTGGGTTTGAGTCCCTTTTCCCTTTTGACTCGACCAATCTTGTGATACCTGTGTCTGGGTTACACAGCTGGGCGATTGAGGCGTTGGGTGTATCTTTTCTACTTTCTCTTGAGAGCAGTGACACCGCACATGGGAAGGGCTTTTTTTGCTGTTCGAACTTTGGCAAGATGAGCTGATCTTGGGAACAAAAAGCAGTGAGCATTATGAATGTAGGGAATGGTTCGTCCCGGTGCCATGCATATCCTGTCTTATTACTCTGAATTGTCATCCTTGATCCACAATAGACTGTATTAAACAAGTGCACAGCATTGAATGGAGTGATTGAACGCATAACTGATAGAAGTGGTCGAGTACGTCCAGATTGTACATTATTCTGATATGGAGTGGGCTGTTACGCTCCACCAGGGCTATGAAGTCAAACATCTATACAAAGCGATTCGTAAAGTCGTACTGCAAACATGACTGTCGGGATACCACACGGTGCGACCTTGAGTGGGAGAGAGCCCAGCACAGCATCCGTGCCAACGAGAATCCCGCAAAGCCCGTATCAACAAGCACATCCGATCATTATGGAAGCCCAGCAAATCAACCAAGGTCTTCAGCGTCCTGAAGAATGTGTTGTAAGATGACTGTACTCATGGACATATCTGGCCTCATCCATTTCGACCGGCATGAAAGACGATTGTTTCGTTCGTTTTGGGGGCTGACGCGAGGGGTTTTCACCCGAGAATAAGCTCGTACACAATCACTATTGTGTTTATTACGATCAGGGGTACTAAAGTTGGAGAAGGGAATGTCAGCATTAATCGATGATTACCGTGGACCGACGGAGACGTACTTCGCATCACTGTCCGAACACTAGCGATCAGATTGATCGACTTAGCCTTGACACTGGTACTATCGTATGCTGCGCCAAACGCCGGATCGGCTTGTGTACGGCCCCAGCCAACTTGAGAAGAAGTTAGTGGTGATCGTTCGCAGGGTGGAGTTAGGTCGAAAGGGACGTACTTCGGGCGAGGAAGCGGTCTTCGGACAAGACGGCGATGGCATTGGTGATAAGGACCAGGGTGTAAAAGAGCTTCCCCAGACCGAAGAAGAACATCTTGACGGGCGGAAAAGATCTGGTCAGGAGGCGGAAGGAAGATACGAAGGAGAGAGGAAGACGGGGAGACGGAGATGCGATGCGGGAAGTACAGATGGTAAGAAGCCTCACCGCCTGCTGTTCCGGGTCGATAAGGTAAGGTCGTGTTGTGGGGAAAGCTTCCTGTAGTACGTCTACAACTCCACGTTGTCAACCAACATTGCCACGACTGAGTACTCTGTTGGACACGATGCGGAGCGACGATGGAGGTACTAAGCGCATAATTTGGTTCTCTTGACTGTGGCTGACCGAATACTCTAGTCTATCTGCTGCTCCTCATCGCCATTCCCGCCCTCGTCCTCCTCCACTTGGATGTTGCGCCGTACACCAAGGTAGAGGAGTCTTTTCATATTCAAGCTATTCATGATATCCTGTCCTATGGTATCCCAATTCAGAATGTGTCCGAGACACTCAGGTTGCAGTATGATCATTTTACCTTTCCCGGGGCTGTACCTCGGACATTTGTCGGTGCGGTCATGTTGTCCACGCTCTCGCGACCACTTCTCTGGTTGAATGAGAGTGTGGACAGACAAGCTTTAGGTACGATATCCTCGTAGGCTCTGCGTGTCATAAGATGCATACGTCTGACTCTTGCTTAGCGCGATCTATCCTGGGTCTCTTCAATGCGCTATCCCTACTCTCATTCGCTTCCGGCTTGCGACGGGCTTTCGGGAAGCCTACCGCAATCTGGTACCTTGTTTACCAGGCTAGCCAATTCCATATCATCTATTACGCCTCACGGACGCTGTCCAACATGTTCGCCTTTGGCATCACAACCTTAGCCTTGCGATACCTCCTTCCCGAGCCTCTCGCCCCGGGCGTATACAGGAAGAGGTGTCGGAATGCGCTGTGCTTGTTGACAATCGCGGGTATCATTTACCGCTCGGAGCTGGCTCTATTTCTCGCCACGAACACCCTTTTCCTACTTGCCACTCGCCGGATTAGCATTGCCCGCGAGATCATCCCCGCGGGCGTCATCGGCCTTCTGGTCGGATTGAGCATCACCGTTGGGGTGGATTCGTTCTTCTGGCAACAGTTTCCATTGTGGCCAGAACTGGCCGCTTTCAAATTCAACGTCATCTCCGGTCAGGCATCGGCCTGGGGAACCCACCCCTGGCATTTCTACTTTGCCAACGCTATCCCGCGCCTCCTCCTCAACCCCGTGACCTATCTGATTGCGGTTCCGTTCGGCCTCGTACAGCCGTCGACCCGACCTGCGGTTGCATACTTACTGATCCCTTCACTGGCCTTTGTTGCCATCTTCAGTATCCAGCCCCACAAGGAATGGCGGTTTATAGTCTACGCCATCCCCCCGTTGACTGCGGCTGCGGCTCTCGGATCCTCCTATATCTGGACGCACCGCGCGAAATCCATCATATACCGTCTTCTCTCCCTGGCGATGATGGGGTCAACGTTCATCTCCTTCGTCTGCTCAACTTTCATCCTCCTCCCCGCCTCCTCGGCCAACTACCCGGGTGCTCACGCCCTCAACACTCTGCATACTCGTGCCCACAACACGAAACCTCACATCTCCGTGTACCTGGGCAATCTCGCCTGTCAAACTGGCGTGACACGTTTTTTGGAGATGCCTGGCTTCTCTGATGAAACCGCAACTACTTCCATGCGAGAAGACCACTCGACGACATGGAAGTACGATAAGACAGAAGACGAGAAGCTCAAGGCGTCGCCTTCTTTCTGGCACCAGTTTGATTACATACTCGTTGAGCCTAGCGAGGGTGCAAAGGTCGTCTCCTTGTCTGATTCTCCCGGGGCCTGGGAGGAGGTGGAGACTGTTGATGGTTTCGCTGGGATAAGGATCATCCGTCCGGGCGATGAGGCCCCTGGTGCTGTCGAGGAACGGGTTCTGGGGAAGTTTGTCGGTGACCGTGGAGTGCGACTATTCGAGATGGGCCGTGAGTTTGCGAGACGAGTCGTTACTCGCGGGTGGTGGGTGGAATTGAGGATGGAGCCGAAGATCAAGATCCTGCGACGGGTTTGATGAGGGTAGTCTGTAATATACTTCTGTACGAACGACTTGGGAGCTTCATAACAGGGTGGCTCCACTATCTCTCTATCTGCGCGATAATTGCCGTGTTATACTATCGCGGTTATGTATCATGCACGGAGTGTTTGTACCATGTTCGTAGATTAAGCAGTTGTATACAACACGAAATCATAATCACAGTGTACATTAATTAACAGCCGTCAGACATATACTATTCATACGAAACCGCTAAACCGGTCCATCGAAATGAACTTTGAAAGCTATGTCCACATTAGCACATCCCTTACAAAGTACGAATGAGACTCACTAGTCGGCAAAGGCATAAGTCTTGTCTCATCCTCATCCAGATAACTGTAACACCCGTTTGGACCCGGGACCATTTTCAGCTCGCCCTGGGGTCCCGGCGCGCGCCGCAGATTAGGCAGACGTCCAACGACGCGCATCATGGCCGTCAGCGCAATCTTGCTTGCCTCGCGGCCGAGACACATGTGCGGACCCTCTCCGTAGTGGAGGTAAGCGCTCATGGGCCGGTCGAGACGCACTTCATCCGGATCCGGGAAGACGTCTGGATCGCGGCTAGCTTCGACCTATACCTTGTTAATACTCAAGCCCCGGGACGAAGACGGAAGATAGACATACGATATTAAGCAGGATCTTACTACCGGGCGTGAGGTGGACTCTCCGACCGCGTTCCTCCAGGACGGCGTTGGTGAGACTCTCACGGGCGAGGTTAAACGTCCCGTTCAGTCGCATCCCCTCCATGCAGTAGCGGAGGAGCTTCTCATCCGCTTCGGGCGAGTCGTACTGCGCCAGGCGCTGGATAAGCGGGAGGTGCTGGGCGCCGGCCGGCGAGAGGTAGTAGTCCATGATCTGGGTGAAGGCTTGGGCCTGGTTGGCGACCATGACGACGGCGGTGGGCAGGATCTGCGACCAGGTCGCCTCCGCGGCGTCGAGGCCGCTGTCGAGCAGGCGGCGCACCATGTGCACGCCGTAGTCCTTGAGCGCGGCGTTGCCGGGGGACCGGAAGCTGTCGACCAGCGAGGAGATGAAGCCGGAGCCGCCGGTACTCTTGACGGTGGCTTCGACGACTGTTCCCAGCTTCTGGGCTGCGGCACGGGCGTCGCGTCGAAGCTGGAAGGATCGGGGGGCGTCGTCGTCGAAGAAGATGTAGGTGAAGATTGTTGAGAGCATCTCGTACAGCTCGTGCTCGGTGAAGATGCCGCGCGGGTTCTTCTCGGTCTTGAGCGGCAGGGAGAAGATGTCCGCGGCGAAGTGGACGTGGGCGATGTTTCCGACGCTGGAGGAATGTGTGAGTGGGAGTTTAGTGTGTAAGGGGGGAGTGCTTACTCTCGGGTGAGGTCGACTTGATGCACCTTGCCCAGTTTGTAGGACCTCTCCTTCAGCAGCTGCCCGGTGATGCTGAGGTAGAAGGACTTGATCTGCTCTTGCCAGTGCTCCCGGTACAGTGCGCTGGCCATGGTAACGCGCTGGTTGGAGTGGATGCGGCTGTCGCCTGACTGCATGAAGTCGAGGCCCGGCTTGCCAAAGATACTTCCCATTGCGTCTCCCCAGGTGACACGGAAACATGTGGGATCGTTCAGGATGCCCCACACATTGGGGTATGCGCAGACGTTGATGCCGGGCGGCATATAGGCCGGGCGGTCCCAGGAATAGTCGTTCTCGCGGCCCAGCGTTCTCATGATGACTTTGTTCTCGGGAGGAATCGTCATGGGGTAATGTGCGTAGATTGAGTCGGGCTTGTACCAGTTGGGTAGGGCGCGCATGGCGAGCTTGTAGAAGACGCAGCCCTGGTTAATTCCTAGATCGAACTGGGACTCGGCGAAGCCCCAGTTTGTGAGGTTCTTGGAGTTGTAGTCCACCTGAGACAAAGTCAGCAGTATTCATAGTCTAGAAGAGGGAGAAGCATACGGTGTAGAACCGATCTCCACGGACCAAGGCCACAGCGTCCGATAGTACAGCACGCGAGATTGTATACGTCGGGGCGATTCCCACTCCCGGGACCATTGGCTCCTTCGCCTCTTCGGCCACGATCCCGGGGTACAGTTCGACATTGTCCGGGTGATCGTAGAGATGGCGGAGTGCATCCGCGACGTCAGGGTCCGAGTTGATCTCCTCGAAAGTCTGGTAGGGCTTCAATTTGAAGAACTTGCGGAATTCGTTCAACGAACCCACGTTCCACTTGCGTGCCTGCTCTATGCCCATCATCTCGATCGACCGGAGGACCTTGGGCACGTTTCGGGCGCCGAACGAGCCGGCGACCTCTTCGGTGGCGCTGGTCAAGATCTGCACGAGATCCTCATCTCTATACATGCCATCCGCCTGGCGCTGGAGGCCCGCGAATGTGCGCTGCGCGGGGTCGTGCCCGAGGTTTCCGGCAAACTTCTTCATTGATAGAAGGAGGTCGGACACGCTGGCCTCCTCGCCGTCTTTTCCGACGATCTCCTTGTAGACCTTTTCGGCCCATTTCTCGTCCTTGTTACTGATGGTCGAGTGCCAGCGATAGGCCAGATTAAATTCCACGGAGCATTGGTTGCCCAGTCCAGACGGGATGGGTTTCTGGCCCTCAGATTGGGCTCGAGGGTCCAGACACCAGGTGCTGTTTGTGCGGTTCAGATTGACAATAGTGCGTAGGTAGTCGTACAGCGTGATGTTGATATAGAGGCTGCAGGTGATAAGTCGTCCCGTCTGGAATAGGTCGTTATCGTATTTCAGCCATGCCTTCCTGGCCTGTTCGGGGTCCATTTTGGAGGTCTGGGGCTTGGTGAATCGACCACCCTCGTTGATGATGGCTAGCTGTTCTACGACGTGGTTGTGGTACCGGTTGAGCATGACTAGGATCACGCAGGACGCGGGGGGTAGAGCTTGAAGCCGTGGCTCGGAGAAACTATCAGGCTTCAACTTTCCGTCCTTGAATGTCCGGATCTGATCCTGATCTTCTTGTGTATCGCCGTACAGGATCGAGAGGTCCAGGTAGGAGGACGTCTTGTTCATGTTCAAGTCTGGGTGGCCGGTTTGGAAGATATCTGGTCGCTTTAGCGGAGATAATGATGGACATGGTTGGAGGGCACTCACCATGGATGACCAAGGACGCCCATACGAAGAACATGCTGGACACTCTGTTGGGATGGGGATGGAATTGATCTCGAGCGAACACACTGTCAAACACCAGACCGGGATCCGGGAGGCTGTTGGGCCGGACGGTGCGTGGTGCAATGGATCGGGCATATTCTGTGTTGGCCGCGCCTAACAACGGCAACGTTGGATTGTTATAGGACCCATCTGCACTGCGATAGGCATACTTGTCGCCGACATATCTGCGGGACATCAGCATGGGCCGGTCACGGGGAGATGGGACTTACGAGAGAGGCGGATGTGGCAACGAGGTCCAGAGCTCGTTGAGAAACAGGTTGGTCAACGTCTCACGGGTTTTGGAGCCATCAGGGAATTTGCTGACGAGCTGTCACAGACGGGTGTCAGTCTGATCCTGCGAATAGGAGATGCGGGAGGAATACCTGCATGATGTGCTCCATGAGCATGGTTTTATCGTCAATATACTGTCCCGTGGCTTCAGTCTTTATCATTGAAGCCAACGTGTTGACATCCTGAATGCCCAGTCGTCGAAGGTCCTGCCACAAAGTGCTTTTGCTCGTCTCTTCCTCGACGTAAGTGCCATCGCCGGTCTCCTTCGGAAGAGGGCGCTGAGATTCTTGCTCCAATTCCTCGATGTTGTGGACTGTGTTTTTTGTTTCGTTTTCCCCATTACTCATGGGGGGACTCTCGTTGACAGGTGGTGCAGACACGACATTCACCAACGGCGAACTGACCCGGTTGATCGACGCCTTTCCAGCAGGCTCAGTTTCTGGCGTCCGCCCGCGAACCACAAGCTGAGGGTTACTACCTTCAGCCTCTGTGGTCTGGTTGAATTTCATTCTGATGAGACGTCAGACTAGGTCTGAGGATCTTCAATCATTTGTATGTATGTGTTGTCGAGAGAGTATGTCGTTGGAAGACGTCCGAGCCAAGGGAGCGGTTGACAGCTTATTATAAGTCCATCCCTCTAGCAAATATTGGCCAAGCATCTTCCATGTCCATGGCGTTGGAAGCACACCATGCAACCCCGAAGGCCGAGTACCAAGCCAGCTGACGACGAGGGAATCCCAGGTTCGATGGATGATGCATACCATGACATATCTTGGTCACGAGCCAATGTGACAGCTGAACACGGCGATTCCGACTATCATAGTGCGACTCAAGCTTTCGCTTTGGATGGAACGGAGCCGAACAATAGGATTCTATCCGCTTGCGTGCAAAACAACATGGTGGAGCTGAGTTAACCTCGAGCCGTGACATCAGATTCCATTCTCTCGGCATCGCCGGCAGAAGACAACGCCCGTTTAACTCATGAACTCGGGAGGAAAACAAACCCTGTTCACGCCCACGTCGAGGTTTAGGGTAGCACAAACAATACATCATTGTCGCAGTCTCGATTTAGAGTTGCGACAGATGCCCAGATCCGTGGTTGATGGCTGTCTACGTGCTTCGCTATGCCGATGCATGGACAGCACCCTTGGCCATATAAGCATCATGGCGGTTCACATGCGTGACCAGGAAAGCAGACAAGCTCGAGGCCACAGGCAATTGTCATTACCGAGACGCTAGATCTGCCAGTAGACTTCTCATCTTCAAGATGGAGTATCCCGGCGACCTTACGGGTCCGAAAGAATTTGTCCTGTGCTTCGATGGGACCGGCAACAAATTCCACGGCGACGAATCCGATAGCAACGTGCTAAAAATCTTTCGCGTAAGTAGCGATGTCCTGCCATAGATCGCTCTTCATTACTGGCAGCAAAACTCACCCAAGGTTCAAGATGCTGGATCGCAGCGGCGTCAACCAGTACCACTACTATCAACCGGGAATCGGCACCTATGTGACCTCGCGGTCGCTCTCAGATGCAGGCACTATTCAGAGGGTCAAATCTGCGTACCTGAAGGCCAAGGACTCCGCCATAGGGTCTAGCTTTGCCGATCATGTCATGGGAGGGTACAAGTTCTTGATGCGGTATTACTCCCCGGGCGACAAGATCTATTTCTTCGGCTTCAGCCGCGGGGCCTATGTGGCGCGGTTCCTCGCGGAGATGCTCGATTACGTTGGGCTCCTCGAGATGGGCAATGAGGAGCTGGTCCGATTCGCATGGAAGACTTTTGCCAAGTGGCAGCAGCGGCGTACCAACTCCAAGGACTATCAGACTGAGAAGCAGCAGCTGTATGGCTACATGACAGCGTTCAGAGAGACCTTCAGCCGCCCAGTGACGCAGATCGAGTTCCTGGGGCTGTTTGACACTGTGAACAGCGTGCCACGGTTCGAAAACGCATGGATGCAGCGCAGTAAATTTCCGTACACTGCAAGGACGTCTGCCAAAGTGATCCGTCATGCCGTTGGCATCGATGAGCGACGCGCTAAATTCCGTCAAGATCTGATTTCGGAAGTCAAACCGACAGGCGGTGGACATCACAAGTCCCGGCTGCGTCGACACCTCGAGAGACATCATCTGCATATGCATCACCATCATGAGACAAGGCCCGGTGCGGGGGATCAGAATGCATCTCTAGAGTATTCTGTCTACCGACCATCCCGCCCCAAGCGCCGTCGAGACATGCGCGATGATCGCCGCCACACTCACCAAGAGCGAGCGACTTCTCGTAACACCTCGCGACACAGTGGAGATGAAACAGAGAAGTCTGCGCAATCCGTCAGTGCCGATAACAGCGCTTCAGATTCAGGTGAGGAGGAAGGCGATCTTCCACAGGATATCGAAGAAGTGTGGTTCCCTGGATGCCATGCTGATATAGGAGGGGGCTGGAAACTCGACGACGGCGAATCTTGGGCGTTGAGCCATGCACCGCTGGTCTGGATGGTGCAGGAAGCACAAGCGGCAGGACTACAATTCAATCCGGTCAAGATGCGTCAGTTTAACTGCATGCCAGATGAACCGATCGCCCGAGTGGATGACCCAGCGCAGCAAAGTCACAGAGGGAGCAGCAGTAGCACTGACTCCCGCTTCCACCAAGCCCTCCGGAGATCAAGCACCGATGGAAAGATACACGATTGTCTCCAGCTGGGGCAGGGGCTACCCGCAACGTCCGTCCTCTCCTGGAAACTCATGGAATGGCTGCCATTCCGGCGGATGGACTTACAGGGCGATGGGTCGTGGAAACCTATTCGATGGCCTCTTCCCCGGGGCGAAGTGCGCGACATTCCCCCTGATGCTCAGATCCACGTCTCAGCCATCCGGCGAATGCAGGCCAATGAGGACTACCGACCAGGGAACCTAATCATCGGGGGCGGTGGACGAGGTGTTCGAAAAGCTCCAAAGGACCGTGGGATGGGAGAATGGGATATCCTCAAACACGCTGGTTGTCCAGTGCGCGAGACGTATCTCCGGCGAGATGTAGCCAACACAGGGGTGAGTGTTCACTAGGGCTGCATTATACGATTGTATGCAATGAACTATACGCCAGAGCCAACAGCTCTGCTAGTCAATCCCAGTCCTGTATATACGGCTTCGTAGTGTTTGGGTCAATGCCAATTTGATGCTGCTGCAGCTGTTGATGGTTTCTGATGTCTTTTGCGATAGCTGAAAGTACTACTTGAGGAGCTTTGGATGCAGTAACTCATTAGTGCACAGTATGTGAATTTGAATATCGTCTGGCAATGAACAAATAGTGTGGCCAAATCAAACCCAATCATTTACTTCATCTATACTAGCTAGACGGCTGTACAGTTATTCATTAATCTTTCCGCTGTAGATCACGAAAAGGAAGATGAGACCTGGGTATTCCACCAACTGCATTCTTACGCACTGCTTCCCAGACGGTCGAGGCGCTTTTCCAAGTCCCGAACCCACGGTTCGACGAGCTCGATGTTGTTCTTTAGCGCGGTCTCGCCTTGCTTCATCTTCTCTTCCACCACGGTCAGACCCTCTCGCCATTGCTCAATCTCGCGCGCCATATCCGCGTGCCGTTTTTCAAGCTCATCGAGCGATTCGGATGCCTGCGCAGCCCCCGCATGGATAGCCCGCAGGGAGCGTAGTCTTTCCAGCACACTGGGAAGGATCGGGTGGAGAGATTGGATGGTGGGTAAAGTGGCGTACAGCGCCTGGATCTTCGTAGCTTGTTCGTCGCGCTGCGTCGCCGCAGGATCAACCTCTGTGGCAGCAGATGAAACGGACATGTCGGACGTGGATTCAAGGGCTGCTGACGCAATCCGGGCGTTCTGAGCAGCTTTAGCCGCGTCGACGGCACGCTTGCGCGCAGATGCGAGAGCCTCCGTGTCTGCGGTGAGCTTCCGGACGCGGGCAGATAAGGTCTCAAGGTGGGGAGTCGACACCGTTGTGGAAGGCGGGGCGGATCCCATCGTTGGCACAGCCGATACAGGGGACGGGCCCACGAGGATGTTCATGAGGGTCGAAAGACGGGATGTGAGATGGTCGAGAGCTGGGAGCACGGGCTGCAGCGCTGGATCGGAGACACCGTCCGTGATGAAGGGGTTTGAGGAGCTGGATATTCCCATAGCAGCTTCAACCAGAGCCAGCCGGCTGTCAAACGCTGCTGCATGAGTTAACACGCCAGTGGATGACGCAGAAGCAGCCGCCTCCGCCTCCGGTTCCTTCACTGGTCCGTCGGGCTTTTGGACTGCTGTAGGTGCCTCGGAGCCAATCTTCTGGGAGAGCACCGCCGCGGCGGAGTGTGGTCCTGACACACTTCGGGAAGAGGCGTACAGGTTGTCCAACGCGCGACTCAACTCTAGAACGCCATCATCCACATTCTCCTTTCCATCGACACGGGCCTCGGCAGTTTCATTCTCCGGCTGTCGGGAGGCCATTTCATCTTTCAACTCTGCGACCTCTCTCCTGAGACGGGCCAGTTTCCGCTCCAGGCTTTCATCTTCACTGTCGCTGAAGTCGCCCGCCTCGTCCGAGCCATTATCGCGGCGCCGTCGGCGACTCTTGCTGCGGTATGCTTTCCGTTTCGTCGCGATACTATCTGAGAAATTCACGTCGCGTGCGTCAACGGTGGCGCCGAGGAAATGAGCGCGAGCCTCGTCTGCGTTCACGCCTTGTCGGTCAATGTCGGAGTTGGAGCCAGCGTCATCGTCGGCATTGGAAGCGGTACGGATGGTGGCTGTCTGATGGAGAAAGGATCCGTTAGGCTATATTAGAGGAGCTTTCATGGTGTGCATGGGAGCGAACCGGAAGGGTGGAAGCTTCGTCGGTCAGGTCAGGAGTTTCGTAGATATCCGGGGCGAGATCCTAAATCAACAACCATGGTCCATCGGTCAGGCTGTCTGTGGAGAGAGGACGGCTGGAGAGCGGGACATACCAAATCTGGAAGACCGGCATATTTCTTATTGAAGGCCATTTCCAGGACGTGTAACGGGGAGGTGGGATTGAATGGGGGAAGTACTGGGAGAGCGTATTTACTTGTTGAGGCGGTCGATTGTTGATAGCGGCACGTGAAAGGGGTCTGTGTATGCCTCAGGCACAAAAAGGTAGAACTACTCCTCACTGTACCAAATTTGCCTCGTAGGTCTGGTATATTAGCAACAATCTAAGATGATTTCTGTCCAGAAGATACCGCGCGTCGATTAGTGGGCGGTACTTCAGTAGGGTGAAGCTCAGAGGAACGTATAAGCTACTACTACTGTTGCAACGAAACACTTAATTCAAGGACGAGATTGAACTCCATCCCAACGAGGGAACACAGGCGCGGTACCCATCTTCATACGCTGTGTCAAAGAGCTCGTGGAATTTGGCCAGTATTTTTTGAGAGGCTTTCCTTCCTCATGCCGTTGCTTCCCTGGTTACTGATTCGATGGACGGACTTTATTTGATAGTATCAAGGTAAAGGGCTCTCGGGAAATATCTCTCTCCACGGAGGGTCATCCGGTGTACATGTGCAGGATGAAATGTTGCCAGAGCTATTTACTCTGCCCGTCAGAGTGAGTGGAGCAAACATGACTGTAAGGGTACGCAGCCTATATCTTTGCGAGGAGATAAAGATCCACCTCGAATAGAGGCTGCAGTCAGGAAATATGTCGCTTGATAAGGAGGCAGGTCATGAATCCTAAGATAAAGAAGCCAAGAGCACTCGAGATCAGGGACCTCTCTGCGCCATCCTAGATTACCACAATACAGCCATTAGCCCTTGTAAGAGACCAACCTCTGGTTTGAGCTTACCATGACATTCAGATCAACTCCTGTCAGGCTCACGGTACTGCTCTTCTTCGTAGTTAACCTGTATATCCTCTCCAAGCTCAAAGTAGCAGTACTCCTGAAGTTGTTGGATCTTCAGCTGCACAAACTTCTCTCGGTCTGAGTGAATTTTGACATTCGTGGTGCGCTTGTGTACTCTCTCTACTATAGATTTTCCCGGTGCCCAACAATATTCATCGAGCATGCCCCAGTAGATAAAGTCCACCGGTGAAACCGTACGGTATGCCAGTATGAACCATGCACTGCGGTCCTGGATCGACTGCCGCATTCGTGTTGAGACTTTGTCTTCAAGATGTCCATTTTCTTAACTCCCTCCCTGGTCTCCAAGGCCTGCAGGAATATGTCGGCTTTAGGGAGGTAGGCGTCCGAGAAGACACCGGGTCCAGAGTCACTAGAGATAATCGGTGGACGCTGCAAGATCCGCCCCCAGGGAACGCTAGCTGCAAATTGAGCTGGGGCAGAATAGCAGAACTTCCAGTCAATGGGACCTTTGATTTGGAGAGAATCTTCCACCAGCGCGTTTTCAGGCCAAAGATCATCACAAAACAACTTGAAGGGAAGTGGTAGTGTGTATATGTGATAGTCCATCCATGGATAGAAAGAAAGAACACGTGCAGGTGGAGAACTGGACCACAGCCTCGGTGCCGTTCCCAAAAGGGCAAGTGCGGAGGGGTTCCCCTGGCGGGTCAATTATTTAGACGCTCATCATCACCACTATCGCCCTTCTCCAGGCTTCCCCAGACTCATCCTCCTTACTACCTTACTACTCCTATACTGCTCTCTTCTCCCCTTGTTCATCTCACATCCACCATTACCCCTCATCATGGCCGCCCCCGCAGATGCCTCCATCAAGAACCTGAACGGTAGCTGGACCATAGTGCGTCCCCCAATTCCACCCGTCATGCGGGGTTATACAGCATGTCCTTCGTCGCAACTAACCAAGCCTGCATAGGACTACAACCTGTCCGATCCCAGCGATCCACTTCTGAGCCTGGTACCTCCCCCGGCCCATCCGCCCCCAGCCCGAACAACAACAACCAATCTAACCCCGCTCGCGACACACAGCAAGGAATGGGCTGGCTCCTCCGCAAAGCCATCAGTCTCGCCTACATAACCGCCGAAGTGAAGCAGTATGCCGACTCCGAGGACCCCAAGATCATGCATATCGACATCAAGCAGTACGTCACCGGCGGCATCGAGGGCACCACCGAGAACCGCACCACCGACTGGAAGACGCGCGAGCACCAGGACCACATCTTCGGCCGCGTCGAGGGTCAGTCCAAGTTCTTCCGTGGATCCAAGAGCGCCGACGGCAAGGTCCGCCCCAACCATGACTGGGCAACCGAGACCGACAACGAGCAGATCAAGAAGTTCTTGAACGGCGAGGTCTTGAAGGATGGCAGCGAGTGCGACGGCTGGATCGTCGAGAATCTCGGTGAGGAGTATGGCGAAGGCGAAGGTCTCTGGTTGCAGAGTTATGTGCGGAGTCTGGACTCCACCTGGACTGCTGAGCAGGTGCGTTGTTGACGAACTTCTCCCTTGTGTTTGGATTGGTCACTGACTTGGACAGATCTGGGGCTTTGAGATCGTTAATGGAGAACGCTACTACAGTCGTCGCATCGTCGTTGCCAACAACGGCACCTACGAGATGGCCCGCATGATCTACTCGTACATTCCCCCGCAGCCGCAGCCGGAGGAGGACGAGATTATCATGTGAGTTCAGTATGATTCACATAGCCGGCCATGCTCGCAATACGACTAGGTAGACACGTCAGGAAGGATGGCACGGGGTCTGTCGATATACCTATAGAACACTCTCGGCTCTGAAACGTTGCCAGGACAGTCATACCTTTATATATTCTTAGTCTAGTTTATCCGCTCGTTGTCAGCGTAATCCAATTGAAGGACGATATCTTTCTCCTTTTCATTCAAGTTCAGTCTTGACCTGGGACATTGCAATCTGATCCATTAACAACCTAGGATATCAACCTTATATAGCCACATACACATAATCAGCTTCAGACGAAACATCACAGAATCACTCTCGACGATACGCTAAGCAAACCAAAACACCACATGTATCTTTTTTGTTGCGTTTTATGTTAAACCTCCACCCTACGAGTGAGTAGGCATCACCACGTGAGCCTTGGTGCTAACCGCATCCTCACCGCGCCAGTGGCTGGTCACCGTCTTCTGCTGCGTGTAGAACTGCAGGCCAGGCTTTCCGTAGAAGGTGTTGGCACCACCACCAGCGATACTCTTCTTGTTACCGGTGAAGGAGAACATGGGGAGAGGGACGGGAATGGGCACGTTGATGCCGACCTGGCCGGCTTCAATGTCCTTCTGGAAGCGAGACGCGGTCGGGCCGGAACGGGTGAAGATGGCCGCACCGTTGCCGTATTCGTTCTTGTTGATCAAGTCGATGGCATCCTCCAGGGTGTCGACGCTGAGGCAGACCAGGACGGGGCCGAAGATCTCCTCCTTGTAGCACTTCATATCGGGAGTGACGTTGGTGATGATGGTGGGGCCGACCTAGAGACATTGGATTAGCAAACAGACTTGCTACGTGGAGAAGGGCCGCGTACAAAGTTGCCGTTGGGGTACTTCTCGGGCTTGTAACCCCGGCCGTCCAGAAGGATGGTGGCACCTTCCGCTTCGGCGCTGGCAATCAGGTCTTCGATCCGCTTCTTGCTCTCGGGGGAGATGACGGGGCCGAGATCGGCGCCCTCCTCGAAACCGCCGTTGACGTTCAGGGCCTTGGCGCGTTCGGCGATCTCAGGAAGCCATTCCTTTGTCTCTCCAACAGTGACCACCGTGCTCAGCGCCATGCAGCGCTGGCCCGCAGCACCGAAGGCGGCGCCGACAATGGCGTTCAGAGTGTGGTTCTTGTTGCAGTCTGGCAGCACGGCGGCGTGGTTCTTGGCACCCAGGTTGGCCTGCACACGCTTACCGTTGGCCGAGCCACGAGTGTAGATGTATTCACCCGCACGGTTGCTGCCGACGAAGCTGATGGCCTTGATGGCGGGCTCGTCCAGGATAAAGTCAACGGTCTTGGCGGAGCCATGGATGATGTTGATCACACCGGGGGGGAAGCCAGCCTCCTTGGCCAGCTCGGCCAGAATCATGGCGGCACCGGGGTCCCGCTCCGAAGGCTTCATGACAAGACAGTTACCGGTTACGGTGGCAATGGGGATGCACCACAGTGGGATCATTGCGGGGAAGTCTGGGGGTGGCGGTTAGCGTCGGAGAACTCCAGACAGTCCTCGGACCCGGGCAGACTCGGGTCAGGGGAAGCTTACTGAAGGGGCAGATCGCGGCGACAACACCGAGGGGCTCCCGGTAGCTACGGGTCTCCATATCTTTGGCGACCTCGAGAACCTCACCGGTCATCTGAGTGGTGATGCCACAGGCGGTTTCGGCAACCTGGAGGCCGCGGAGAACATCACCCTTGGCATCGGCGAAGGTCTTACCCTGCTCGAGGGTGATGGAGGCAGCCAGGCGGTCCCAGTTGGCACGGATCAGGTTGACAAACTTAAACATGATCTGCTGTCTGGCGATCACACTGGTAGCCCGCCATTCTGGGAAGGCCTTCTGGGCGGACTCGACAGCGGCACGGAGCTCCTCGTCCGTGCTCTGAGGGACGCGAGTGACGAGGTTGTTGGTGGCCGGGTCATGCAGGTCAATCCAGGTGGTCGCCTTGGAGGGAACAAATTCATTGTCGATGAAGTTAGTGGTATCGATGGGATTCGCAATGGGTTGGTGATCCGTCGGGTATTCGGTCGCGGTAGTAGCCGCGGATGTAGTTGCGGGGGCGAGCTGCTGGGCGGTGGCATGAAGACGACGGGTTGCCACCTGCGACGAGGTCGCAGAAGCTGCCAGAGCTCTGTGAGAAGCCATTACAGACCGGGAAGAAGACAAGGAGGCGGTGGTGAGAGAGCGAGAAGCGGCAGCACTGGCGGGGAGAGTGGCCACCGAAGGGGTGCGGGGAGAAGCGGCGCGGAGAGCGGGGAGAGAACGCGCCAGGGACCGACGAGCAGCGGCCATGGTGATGGGAGGGAGATGTGAAGAGAAGACAGGGAGAGTAGACCCGTAATAATTGAATGGGGAGAGAAATTGGGGGAGGAAGGGGAGAAGAGAGAAGAGTGGCGATGGGAAGCGTTATAAAGCGAGGTACCGTGAGGAGTCCATCGTTTAGGTGTTGTTCCATTATCGCTCCCTCCCCCGAACAGGCAGGTCCATCACCGAGATACGCTCGGTGCTCTGCGCCAATCGGAACGGGATTCCCCAACTACCTGCAATAACCGCGCGCAGGACCGATTGAGGTAATCGACTTCCCTTGCAGCAGGTGATTCCGATATCGCATTACTATCATCATTCTTCTTAAGTATGAGAGGCATTGTGGAAGATCGACTATGTTTATAAGACTCAGACGGATGATCCACTGCAAATTTTGGATTGCATCGCTCATACTTTACAAACTCCCTCAATCGGATATCACTTCCTTCCCAGCCCCCTTCACAGTCTTCCCCCTACAGCTCGATTACCGCAGAAACAACGAGATCCATGAGATCGCGCCAAAATAAGAGGTATGAACGGGGAATAAAAGAAATTCGGTGTTTTTGGAATTTATCCTAGGGTATTTTTTTTCTTCTTTCTTGCTGAGTGCCACTCGCGTTGTTCCCCTTCAGGAACAGTCGTTCGTGTTGTTCGTTTCTTTCATTTACTCTGCCGAGGAGCGCGTGGTCCGCTTGGTGGCACCGCCCTTACCGGTATCGGCAGAAGAGCTGGTGGCCTTCTCACTCTTCTCCTTGCCCGATCCAGCCGCTTCCTTGCCCTTCTTGGAGGCAGGAGCGGGAGCCGGGCTGCTGGCACCGATGGCTCCCACAATGATGAGAACCATAGTCAGGAGCAGAGCACCGAGAGCGCCAGCCACCTCGGGAACCTGCTTCACAGCGTTGATGGGGTCCTGCTTGGCCAGGCCGACAAAGTAGTCAACCTTCTCGCGGACGTACGTGACTGGGTCCTCCTTGAAGCTAACGCTGGGGGTGGCTCCGGTCTCCTCCTTCTTGGGCTTCAGAGCCTCCTCCTCGGCCAGCTCAACGGGGTGCTTAACATCAAAAGTCTCCTTGCGGAGCTTCTCAGCGTCCTCAACGGAGTGACCGATGTAGATGTTGTCGAAGAGGATGTCGTTCTGCATCGTCCAGATCTCGAAACCAATAGCACCCATGGGCTCAAAGTTGGCAGGAGTCTTGTCCTCGAAGTAGTTGGGGTTGGCGATCTTGCGCGGCTTCCAGGGACCCTTGTAGGCAGGGTTGTCAATGAGAGGAGCAGACCACTTGCCCTTGTAGGCGGGGTTCTTCTTCATGGGCGGGGACCAGGGGCCACATCCGGAGACGTCAGCACACTTGGGGTTGGGAACGGTGGGAGGGATCCAGTCGCCATCCTCCTCGTCATCCCAGTCCTCGGGCTTCTCGGCCTCAGGGTCGGGGATGCTGGTGGGCTCCTCCTCCAGCCAGTCCTCAGGCATAGTAGCCTCCTCGTCAACAATCTCATAGGGAGCCTCCTCATCCCAGTCCTCGGGCTTGGTGGCCTCGGGATCGGGGATCTTGGCCTCGTCAACCCAGTCGGAAGGCTTGGAGTCCTTAGGGTCATCAATCTCCTTCTCGGGGTTGACCGGGGGGTTGAAGTCCTCCAACAGAGTACCGTTCTTGACCGCCTCACCGTCGATGAGGATCTGGAACGACTGATCGGGACGGACAATCAGGGTGTACAAGGAGGTGACCTTGTTGGTACGAGCGGCAGGAGGAGCCTTGAGGTGCTTCTCCTCGTACTCGCCAGTCTTCGGGTTCTTGTGGCGGAAGATAAAGTGAACCTGATGGCTGTCAGCAAAGCTGCTGGATTATTTGCTGTTCGGCGTGGGAATGTACCTTGTTGGTGGCACCGCACTTGTCGGGACCGAACATAATGACGTAGGGGGAGGCGTTGGAGAACTCCTCGGCGTGGAGCTTCTTGTTATCCTGAAGCAGCTTCATGTAGGCACCGCCACAGACGAGAGAGTCTGTAGGAAGGACATTGTTAGGATCAATCGATCAATCGGATCATTCCTGGGGGAGTCTCTTACTCTGCGGCTTCACCTCATACTGGACAACGAGGGTCTTGCCCTTGTTGTCGATCTTCTTGGGGAATTTGGCCGAGATGGCGTGGTGGGCAGCAGGGTTCTTGACCACAAGACCCTTGTCACCTTCCATCCCCTTCAGGACGGTGGGCTCCTCCACGGCCCATTCACCGACGTAGGCCCAGTCTTCCTCAGACGTGGAATCCTCCTTCTTCGCATGAGAGGGGGTCCACCTGGTTTGCCAGTCATCGGTGAACTGTTCCAGGAAGGGCGCCTTCAGAGTGGTGGGCTGAATGGGGAATAGCGCGTCAGTTCTGGAGATGCGGAGAAGACCTATGCTGGCGGGTACATACAGTGAAAGTGGGCTTTTCCGCCAGGGAAGTAGTAGCATCGGGCTGGGTGTCGGCCTCCTCAGCATGAGCATAGCCCATGAGAGTGGCGGAGGAGACCAGCGCGGAGGTGAAGGCTGCGTTGATACGCATGATGGCGGCTGGGAGTCCTTTACAATGTAGGACAGGCGGGAATGAAAGAAAAGAAAACAAACAGACGAGAAGGGAGGAAGGAAAGCAGTCAATTGACCGTCCTTGAAGGTCGAGGAAGGGGATACGGCGAGATGACAGGCCAACCACACAGGCAGGGAGACGGAGAGGGAAGAGGAGTGGAAGGGAAGGGGTGGGAGAGACGGATGGTTTTATGCGATGCGTGAAGCTGGGAAGTTCAAGGTGGCCTCTTCTACCCGTTCGGGTTTAGTGGGCGGTTTCTCCAAGCTTCCATCGATGCCACCATACTACTACGGAATACACTACTAGTACTTAGTATGAATGTACCTCTGATGGATTATTCATTGATGTGTTATTGTAGGACAGTCATTCTCTATAAGAATTTAATATTTATTTGATTGTAACTCCATTTCCCCTGATTCTTGAATCCCATGTAGTCCTCCGCAGATGTCAATTAACCTTATCCTGGAATGTACTTCATATGTACCTGTATTCCATATCCGTGAACCTCTGCTCCACTATCAGTCGTATTATTGTTTGATTGTTGTTGATTAAATAAGAACCGTGTCGTTCTCCCGTCCCAAGCGGGTTCGACGCAATCTCCGTGACGGTTCCCCGCACGTGCATCCATCCAATTTCCGCCAGTCTTCTTTTTTCCCTCTGGAACAATTCCACCCACTCCCGCTCCCACCACAACTCACCATTCCCCCAAACCTCCATCATGTCGCAAGAGATTACGCAGAAAGACAACAATGACCATCTGGTCCAGTCTTCCGACCCGGATCACCCCGCCAACATGATCCCCGACCTGTGTCGCAAATTCTACAACTGGGGCTGGGTGACCGGAACGGGTGGAGGGGTAAGTAGAAAATGCGCCTCATTCGGTGTTCTGCCAGTCGCAACATGAACAATTCTCACCAATCCCATGGCTAGACCTCAATTCGTCGCGGCGATCACATCTTCATCGCTCCCTCGGGTGTGCAGAAGGAACTGATGCAACCGCATAACATCTTCGTCCTCGAGTTCCCCACTCCCAAGTACCCCCCGTCCGATCGCAAGTACATTCGCAAACCTCTGGATCTGAAACCCTCCGCCTGCACTCCGCTCTTTCTGGCGGCCTTCGAACGTGGCGCGGGCTGCTGTATCCACACTCATTCGCAGTGGGCTGTCCTGGTGACGCTGCTGGTTGAGCGCGAGAAGGGACCCGGCGGATACTTCGAGATTAGCAACATCGAGCAGATCAAGGGTATTCCCCGTGGCAAGGGCAAGGGGATGATGGGCTTCCACGATACTCTTCGCATCCCCATCATCGAAAACACTGCCTTTGAGGAGGATCTCACCGGTAGCTTGGAAAAGGCGATGGAGGAGAACCCGGATACTTATGCGGTGCTGGTGAAGAGACACGGAATGTAAGTTGTTGTCCTTCTGGAGATCCTTGAGAGTTGATGATCTGACTCGTGGATAGCTACGTCTGGGGCGATGATGTTGCCAAAGCCAAAACCCAGTGTGAGAGTTTGGATTATCTCTTCCAGCTGGCTGTGGAGATGCACAAGCTGGGCCTTCCGTGGGTGAAATAAGCCTTTCGCAGGATGGGGAGTCTACGGGGGATATGATGTTTGGAGATATGCGTCACGATGAACATAATACACTATAAATGATTTTAGAATGTCTATACAAACAGAAAATTGGGTATATGGATATAGTAGAATAGCTTGGCGGGGGAACCCTAATCCGGGCGCAATGGGGCGGATCATCGATCGGTCGGTCCATCCAGGCCAACTTAGTAACTTCAACTTACTCCTCATCCTCTTCCCTCTTCCTCCGCCGACCCTCCTCCTCTTCTCTTGAATTTCGCTCTGCGCACTATTCTTTCTCGTCTCTCTCATTCGCTCCCATTGTTCCATCTCATCTTCCGCTCTCATGGATTTGGACGCAGGCGACTCCCCGTGGGGCGGTAAGTAGGCAGTCATTTTGCTGCTATCGCGTCACCATCATCGTGCGATCGCTAACCCGCAATCCCCAACAGACGTACCCTCGCAATCATCCGGGAATCATAATGGCTCGGGGTCTGGAGAGCACGAGGCCGGTACGTGACAGATCTTCCCGTCCAGTCTCCCCGTCTCGTACGTTGTTTTGGTAGCTCCTAACCCGCATCGTCCGCGCAGCTCCCGAGCAAACGTCACAGCAGCCGAGCTCCAACACCGTCCGCTCTCCCGTACGACGAGGTCCCCGGGGCACCCGCAAGATCAGTGCACAAGCGACAAAACTGGAAGCCGTTGATGATACCCTCGATCCGTTGGGTCCGCTCGGCGACAAAGCTGGCGACACCAGTCCCACCACCCCCGATCAGGCTCCCACGCCACCTCAAAAGGAGGCCTTCGCCGGGCGAAATGTGCGGCCCACGTCGTCTACGTCGCAGGCTTCCAGCGCTGCTGGAATGGCCGATCCGATGAGCTTGGAGGAAGATGGTGCGGGGCTTAGGAACCCCCCGCCGGTGCAACCCCCCAGTGAGGCAGACAGTTCAAAACGACAGTCCGAGCCCAGCATCAGTGTCGAGAAGGCTGCCAATCCGACATTTGATATCACCGTCGGTGATCCACATAAGGTGGGGGATTTGACCAGCAGTCATATTGTATACCAAGTAAGGACCAAGGTAGGTTTCTCTTTTGCCGCTCCTATGTCCATGCATTCGCTCCAGTCTGACTCGCTCGACAGACCACGTCCAAGGCCTATCGGCAACCCGAATTCACGGTCAGCCGTCGGTACCGCGACTTTCTTTGGCTGTATAATTCCATGCACAACAACAACCCGGGCGTCGTCGTGCCTCCGCCTCCCGAGAAACAGGCCGTTGGTCGGTTCGATACCAACTTCGTTGAATCTAGACGAGCCGCGCTGGAACGTATGCTGAACAAAATTGCGGCGCACCCGATTCTTCAGCATGACGGGGATCTCAAGATCTTCCTCGAGAGCGAATCGTTCAACCTGGACGTCAAGAACAAGGAGAACCGCGAACCAGACCTAGGCCAAAACAAGGGAATGTTTAGCTCCTTCGGTCTTAGCGTTGGTGGAGGTGGGAAGTTTGTTGAACATGACGACGTAAGTTGACTTTTAAAGGCCTTTGGTCCTGTTACACTAACACTTCCTGCAGTGGTTCCACGAGCGGAAGATATACCTGGATGCTTTGGAGAATCAACTTAAGGCTTTGATGAAGTCTATTGACACGGTGGTTGCGCAACGAAAGGGACTTGCCGAGGCCGCTGGTGACTTCTCGACTTCGCTGCATGCGCTGGCCGCTGTCGAACTATCCCCGGCTCTCTCCACTCCGCTGGAAGGATTGTCGGACCTTCAGCTCCGAATCCGGGAGCTCTACGAACGCCAGGCGCAGCAGGACGTCTTGACGTTGGGGATCACGATTGACGAATACCTCCGTCTAATTGGAAGTGTCAAGACCGCCTTCTCCCAGCGCCAAAAGGCTTTCCATAGCTGGCATGCGGCCGAGTCGGAGATGCAGAAGCGCAAACACACGCAGGAGAAGCTCCTGCGGCAGGGCAAGACGCAACAAGACCGCCTCAACCAGGCCAATGCCGATGTGGCTGACGCCGAGAGGAAGGTCCACCAGGCCAGGCTGTTATTCGAAGATATGGGCCGACTGATGCGGAACGAGCTGCAGCGTTTCGAGAAGGAGAAGGTGGAAGATTTCAAGTCTGGTGTTGAGACATTCCTTGAGAGCGCTGTCGAGGCTCAGAAGGAGGTACGTTGTCCGATTACATTCTATTTTCACCCCATACGCACTCGGTAGACTCTTTACTAATTTGCATCCAGCTGATCGAGCTTTGGGAGACATTTCTCTTACAACTGGATGCCGGCGATGAGGGCAATCCGTTTTATGCGGCGCCAGGGGCCGCTGGAAATGCTCCCGCCGAGTCGGCACAGCCAGAACACCCCGAAACTGCACCCGTCGCGGCCGCAGAAGATGCCTAGTCTATTCCCTCGTGTGCTGAGTTTGCGGCTTTTTCTTTGCCTTGTTCTGTATAAAAGAAAGCCCAGTGCACTTGTATGTCGCCTTTCCCGTTTTCACATATTTGCTCCAGCGATTTGATCGTTCATTACTGTATGATGTGGCGCAGGAGTGCCTTCTCACGCATGATGCAATCCGAATACCAGTGTTATACTAGTATAGCCCGTAATCAAAATCCAGCGGTTCTTTCCCCTCCACATAGACCATCCATAGACTACGCACCGCCTACGCCGAAAGCTCAACATAGAACAAAGAGGTATCGAATTCCCAAGCCGAATTCCAAGTATGAATACATCATGCGTACTCCACATATTGTACATGTACAGAACAAGAAACGCAACACCCCGATTTCAAACATCACAACCCAAGCGCAGCACTAATTCTTCTTCTTCCCCGACGCACCCCCACTCTGCTCCTCCTGTCCGAACGAGCTGATCAGATCGAGCAGATTATCCTCTTCCTCCTGGGCTTCCGCGGCGGCAGCGGCAGCAGCGGCGGCATCGTCCTTGCTCTGCTTGGACTCCTGTTTCGGCGTCTTGGCGTCCGTCTCGCCCTCGACGGGCGTGTTGGCATCCCAGCTGCGACCGAACTTGGCGCGGAAGGCAGCGAGCCGGCCGGCCTCGTCCTCCTCGACGTTCATCAGCTTGCTGGACGACGGGTTCCAGAGGAGACTGTTGCGCGTGTCGCGGGTGGAGCGGTAGACGGGGGCGGGCGAGGTGGTGCGGTGCGTGAAGGCGCTGCCGTCGGACAGCGTGATGAGCTGCGTGAAGGTGTAGGGCCGCTTGGGCCGGCGCAGCAGCGTGGCGTGTCGGCATTGCGAGCAGATGAAAGTCGTCGAGGTCTGGACACGGGCGGTGGTGGCCGCCGTGCGGCGGAGGGGCGTGGCGAGAGACATGAAGCCGACAGCAGAGGGAGCTGGTCGAGACGCGGAGGATCAGGAAACGTTGGAAAGGGCAATTGCACAGAGACTGGAGAATGGATTGGTCGTATGGCAGGTGTTGGTGCTTTTTCTGCGCAGAGAGAAATTTGGCGGCTCGGAGATGCACTTAATGTAAGCGCTGCCCTGCCCGGCTTTTTATAACGTCCCCCGATCCTCCAGCGCATCATCCGCACGTCTATTACTGTCCATGTCCTCGCAGAATGCCCGCTGTAGAACTGCTGATGTGGACGGCGTCTTCGAGGATGACTGGTGGCCCGTCTTGGATGGTTTATCTCTTTACGTCTACCTCTGTCTTTTCTCCCCTTCCGTGAGTCTCTTCCACCGGCGGGATGAGGCTTCTCTGCACCCGGCCTGCGGGTGCGGCCAGTCGAGTCGCAGGTCAACTACTCGGTAAACACCCTCCAGCACTACATATCAGGCCCCTGCTAACCGTCTCCCCCAGGCAGAAACACCCGCACCATCCTCCCCACCCTGCAAAGCCTCCAATGGCCCTCCCGCAGGACCCTGACGAAAGCCGCCGGCCCCGCGCCCGCAACACCACCACCGACATCCCCAACCGACTCTCCCACGCAAACCCTCTCCGATCAAGTGCGCCTGCTGATGCGCCGCGTACCGTACCCTGTGGCCATCATCACGGCGACCGACCCGCACGACACGCAGCCGGACGACGCCCACGCCTTCCGCGGCATGACCGTCTCGTCCCTCAACACCGTCACGCTGAGCCCCGAACCCGTCGTCTCGTTCAACGTCAAGCGGCCGTCGGAGACGCTCGCCGCCCTGCAGGCCTCCGGCCGCTTCCTGGTGCATCTCCTCGCCCCGCGTCCCGCCACCGCCGCCCTGGCCCGCGACTTCGCCCGCGGAAACCATAATCTCACCATCGTCGCCGGTGGCGGGGAGTTCGAGTTCGTGCCGCATGTGCCGGCCTTAAGGTCGGGAGAAGGCCCGCTTAAACCGCGCCCTCTGCCGCTTCTTCGCCGAAGGAACATGACGGCAGAAGGGGGAAAGGCCGTGGGGGGTGAGACCCCCGAGACGGTGGATTTCCCCTTCGTGTTTGAGTGTCGTCTCCATCCCCACAGTATCAGAGTCCACGATCATACCGTTGTCGTCGGCACGGTGGTCCGCGCGCTGTCCGGCGACCATCTGCACGACTGCGATGCGACGACAGCCGCCGCTGATCTCTGTTTGACGTACGCTAATACCCGCTTCTGGGCTATGGGTCACGAAATATAGACCGTTGGGACTGGGTCTGTTTGGCTGGCATAAAATGCATCTCTGTATCATCTTACCGTTGAGCGGCGTCTGGCGGCTACTGTCACATTAGTGTACCATAAAACATAGATGACTTGTTCCTGCTTGTATATAGATACCTTACTCCAATGCACGAAACGATATACATCATTGCCGAGCAATACATCTAGATGGATCACGGCTATAGCTACGTTACTCATCTACACATCCAAAAGTATACGTCGAGTCTAGTAAACGACACAATTCTACACAAGGACACAAGATGTATTTATTGATCACAGGCGAGAGAAACCAGGATGAAGCCTCAGGACAGCTGCGAGAGACCAAGGGACCCGAGATATCCATCAGAACTTGAGCGCCAAGATGAGTTTTTTGTACCAACAGAAGCAGAAAACTGGAACAACGCATGCAATCCGCACCACACGACGAGACGTCACGATGGCGACAGCACTTAGATGCCTTTACCCGCGGCCGAGCTGGGGCTGCCACTTCCGCTACCGCTTCCACCACTCCCACTGCCGCTTGCACGACTACCTGCCCGTGGGAACGGGCTGGAGATGGGTCGCAGCCCCAAGTTGGGCCCGTTGCTTTCCGACCCGGAGCTTCTCCGCTTCTCGCTGGCCGCCTCGGAGAGATCGAACTGGAACGGGGCACGACGGCTCGAATCGATCAGATCAAAGCCATAGAGACTACTGCGGCCGGATCGGTTGGAGAAAGAACGGTCCCGATAGACGAAATCTGGGTCGAACGGCGAGCTGGCGTTGGCAAGCGGCGACGTCGGGAAGTGCTGCAGGTACGACGGGGTTTGCGTTGGACTGGCAGGGTGAGAAGAAGTAGCGCCGACAAGAGACGATGCATGCTGGAGAGGACTCGACTTCAGCGGCGGAAAGTTGAGTCCGAGAAGGGATCGACTGCTAGGAGCACTCGTCGTCAGGCCAGCGAGAGCTAAGCTTGGGGTGTCGCCAAGTGGATTCGTGCCAGGGAGGTTGCCCTCCGGAGTCAAGGGAGCAGAATCCATGAGCATCTGCTGCTGTTGCTGCTGAATGGCTTGTTCGATCGCAGCGGATTGTTGCCAGAGTTGGTTGGTGCGCAACTGATACTCCTGTATGGACTGGGTGATGCTTGCCAATTGTTCGTTGAAGTTTGCTTCCAGTTTTGCTTGATCTTGCTCGCGAGCGAACTGTTCCGCGGCCCGACGTTCCCGCTCGTTGAGACCCTGGGCGTTGGCTGAGATGATCCGTTCGTACTGTTCATTGACCCGAGTACGACGGCCCTGGAGACGTTCCCGTCTCTGGACCGTGGAGTTCAGTTCCGACTCCAACGAAGACACCTCACGCGCTACGGCAGACCGAGCAGCAATGAGTTCCTCCTTGACGGAGTTGAGCAGCTCCAACTCACGCTCGTACTTGGCTTTCTGCATGGTCCACTCTTCCAATTCCTCCTCAGGAATATTTTCCAGGTTGTCCAGCTGTTCCCCAAGAGCGGCGGTAGCCTCTTCGGTTTGCTTGATATTCCGTTCCAGTTGTAGAGAGCGCTGCTTTTGTCGGTTTTCGTCCGTTCCGCTATGGAGGCGATGATTGTAGTTTTCCAGCTCTTTGCGAATCTTAGATACCACGAGCTTGTGATCGTTCTTCGCCTTTTTCATTCGGGAGCGCTTCTCATTCAGCTTGGCTTCGGCATTGATGATGGAATTCTTCAGCGTGGTAGTGGGCGACGACGGTCGATACGTGGGTTGCGGCGGAGCGGAGATGGAGGAGACTGGGGGACATCATCAGCACTTGGGATGAAGGATGGAAACGGCAGCATCTTACCTTGCTCTGCGTCACTCGTGGCAGGTGTCTTCACACTCATGGCGCAGATCTCTTCGTCAGTATCACTCCGCATGAAGGAGCAGGTGTATGCGCAGTTCGGTGCAAGACCCGAGATCTCACCCCGCCAGTGCACTGCACTTGTGCCCTTTCGCGCGTCCGGAACCTTAGAAATTGTCGCAGTCGCCCACTGAGCACCATTCACACAGACGTAAAACGGCTCCATATCGTCACTCAAGCGGCCGGTCTCACAGACACCCGACCCGGAGGCATCGTCCGGGGACGAAAAGTCGCCGGCAGCGAATCGGATTGTCGAGCTGTCCACATCCGTAATCCAAACAAGTCCGTCATCCAGAGAAACACCCTGAAGATCATCTTCGGTCATCGTCAGACCTCGAGCAGTTTTCGACAGAGCCCTTGAATGCTCATATTCCCTCATCACCGTCACCTTCGTGCTTGCGAGTGCAGCCCAGAAGGGTTGACGACTCCGGACCTGATTAGCCTGTCGCCTGCGTTTCTTCGCCGAGATCAACCTATCTCTACCATCCTTGTGTGTTGCCGGTGTTATAAATTGGCCGTCAGGCCCGATATATGAAGACATGCTGGCCCCCGACTCAAACGCCGAGTCGAATTGCGTCTGCGAACCGGCGGATGCTTCAGTATCTATACGCTTGCCGGTCCGCGGCGGAGCGGGGGCCCGGTTTTTGGCCATTGACCGTCTTGCCATCGCGGTACCTGCCTGGGCCAGAATGTGAACCGCAAGCAAACTCCGGATCCAGCTCGGAGAGGATTGGGGTTCGGTTCGTCGGAACTCGGCGGGTATGAGGTGAGAATATTGGGACAGCAGGTCGGGGCTGATGATTTTGGCGGAAAGAAGGTGGCCCATCACAAAATCCTGTATCCCTTTACTTCGAATCAGATGCAAAACCAGGACAATCCCAACACAAAGAGCATTGACGCCTCCATTCTTGCCCGAACCTCCTCCACCGAGCGTGATGGCGACCTGGACATGGGCGAGATCCAGAGCGAAATTTTGAGCCCAGGTCCACATGAACAGACCCCAAAATAGCAGACAGAATCCATCCATGGCAATCATGGTCCCGAGCGATGGGGTTCCGGCAGGACCCTGGAAGATATCGAAGTTGGAAGTCAAGGAGCCGGCGGAGGCGCCACTGGGGGGCATGAACGTCAAGGAGGCGAACAAGAACTGGACCAAGGTAAGGACCATCGGCGGGAGCTGCAAGAGAAAGATCAGGATGGCGATCGTGTCGTACATGGGACAAGACTTGAGGATGGTCGAGGCGAGATGGAGCGGGTTGACGGAGGCACTGGAGCCGGACCTCTTGGAAGCGGTCGCGGGTTTCTCGGTGCGGCGCGCGGCGTCGCCGGGCAGACACCCATTCTGCGGGACGGCGCCGTTGGCCTGACCATATGACATGTCCGATGTACCCTTGGCGTATCCATTCAGATGGCCCCGTATGTCCTTGGAATTCTCCGTCGCGCCGTTCAGCCTCGCAGCGGCGGCGGCAGTGGTGGGGATGGCGGTGTCACTGTTGGAACGCGAGGAGGGCCAGTCGACTTGCGAGGAGGGGCCAGAAGTCGGAGTCGACGAGTTGGCGTGATTCCCATTCAGATGTCCATTGGATTTTTGCTTGCTCACTTTCTTTCCGGAACCGACAACACCATTGTCATGCCGATTGCTGTGACTCTTCCTAGCCGTAGCCGATGAACGTGGCATGGACGAGGGAGCCTAACACCCAGGTCCGAGTCAGCTTGGCGGACGATAGCCAAGGACTTGGACCAGGCGAAGAGATAGAGACGGAGACAGTGTAGAGAAGGTGGAGAGGGGAGAGAGGGGAGGGGAGAGAGATGGAGAGAGGGGAGATGTAACACAGGGTAATTTACGGGGGGTGGGAGTGGGAGGGAGGGAATGAAAGGAGTGACGAAGAGAAGTCGAGGAAGGGAGAGTCTGGATGGAGGAGAAGGAGAGAAAGGGAGGATGGACTCAAAGGGAGGAGGAAGAGGGTGGCGGGGAGGAGAGAGAGAGAGAGGGAGTTGATCAGGCAGTAGTCAGAGAGAAGAAGGGAAAAAGGTGAGGTAGACTTTTGGATAGACGAAAAAGACAGAGAGGATGCTGCCTGAGGCAGGCAATAGTACGATACTGGTACTCTGTGGTACGCCCGGCGGTAATGAATCTGCGGTAAAGTATCGTCAGATTCCCTTCATACGTGACCGACCCAGTGGACGCGGTCTTCCGGTTGGCTCTGGGGGATTATTTTTGGATGTTCTCAGATTCCAAGGTTGGATCTTAAATTGGGTCTGTTAGGTAGGTAAGGTAGTTATACCTAGGTAGCAGTTTATGGTTGGTATGGTAATTTCTTCTAAAGGCTCGTCGCTATCCGGGGCTCCATATCTTCAGCCCAATGGCGTGTAGATGCAAGTATGCACTTTCAGATAGGTATGAGAGCCTGTGTAAGTAAGCTTCGTCAGCTTAGAATCCTTTAATTCCTCCAATCACTTCCAGACTATACGGAGTAGTCGACATTATTCAATTGGAAATGCGAAGTACGCCCGCCAATGCATCGATTGCATTGACATCCATACACATACAAGTACCCCTCCATCTCACCGACTTCATTTCACACTGAAGATATCCTCCGAGACGATGATGCTGACGCATAATGTCTTCCTTCTCAATTCAGATCTCAAATCAAACTCTCGTTCAAAAGGCGGCCATCCAACACCCACTCGTCAGCAGTATGCTACGTGTCCCCGTCCAACTACCATCAAGTCGGTTCATGATAGGCCCGTCGAACAAAGAACCTTCTGATCATCTTCATCTCTACCCCTCCTTTCGTCCACGTTCACCCGCTAGATACCCGGAGGGGGGGAAGTGCTCTATCTGGGATCTAAGCTGGGCAAGAACCCGGACTAGGCTGACGATCCGACGATCGCCTCCTTGGTCGGCCGTCGTTGCGGGGTTTTCTGACCGTTAGGGCGGATGAACAGAGGGCGAGTGGAAAGATGGGGTGAGTCGCACGACCGGGAGATACTCACGGCTGCACGGAGTAATCTGGCGACGACCAGTGAGCGTGGGAGATGCCAGCAATCACGATCTCCCTATGCACATTCATCACCTGGAGGCCGTTTGTGACGCGAGACTCGAGATATAGAACACGCTCCGTCCATTCAACTTGCACCGTTCTATCAGTCCATCAGATAGCTACTGTATCTATCTTATGATCTGAGCTTCACATGCTCGGCTAAGTTGCGGTCTCGGCAGGACCCCAGAGGCTGAATAATGGTTCCTTTCCTGCGGTCCTCGGTGGTGGTCTCCCGTCAAGGTTTGAACCCCCGATATTGTCACGGAGCTAATCCTTTTGGAGATGTTGGTTAGGGTACGCCTGAAGGATCTCCCGGACCGGGTGTCACTGCCTTGTGGTGAGCAGAGGTGTAATCAATCGCTGGTCCAAGCCACACGAGCCAGGCAACCCAGACAATCAAGTTCCGCCGCAGCCACCTAATTTAGATGGAACGGTCCATGGTGCGGAAGATAAGCCGAAACATGTAAAACTTAGGTATACGGAGTGAAGATTATTCAATTATGTGTAGAGTACTTAGTACCTACCTAAGGTACCTAGGTAGGTAGTATCTAATATTGTATGGAAGTTTAGTACAAAAGAGGCGATAGTCCTGTACAGGTTGTAAGTTTTGTATGATACCTGACAATACGATACGATCGGATGGGTGGATGGCAACTCCACCATCACATCATCGCTGACCTTGCCTTCCGAGACGGCCGTTGAGATGCTCGCCGTCTAAGAAGAATGGCCATTGTTCGGGTTCTTGATTCTGTCATCGTACGGAGGATGGAGTAATAGGCACAGAAGGCCAGCGTCATGATTTACTCGGTACTATATGCATGCAGACTGTCAGGTGAAAGGGCAAACGACCACCTAACTGCTTTTTAGTGCAGTCGGAATGGGACGAGGGATCCATCTTAGTTGGTTTTAGTCCGGACGATCAACCCTGGATGCCCTAAAAAGGATACTCGTGTTCACGGTTCAACCAGGACGGATTGCCCATTGTGCCCCGCAATCCTTGTCAGATGATGGAGCTCTCTCGCACCATCGTCGCCCTAATCTGCACAATTCTTTCCTCTTGGACCCTGGCACCTGCGTCTCCAGCGGACACCCATGCGGTGACGAGCATCCACCATACCTGAGGAGACCAGCCGGTCGGATGCAGGAGCCGTTTGGCAACCCTTCTTCTTGGCAGAGGGTCGGTCGGTTTGACTTTCGGGAGTCGATGTAAACGGTCGATCATTGTTGTGTATTCCCTCTATATTAAAATACCACTTGTTGTCTCCAACTTGCTCAGCCCAACGGTGGTTGGACACCGGCAGGGCGATCGTCGCCAATCCGGGCGACTCCAACTCGGCTTGAGCCCGAGCCAAGCCCAGAAAGGGCGCCGAGCCGACCTGGCCTTACCTAAGTACTACCTAAGGAAAACTACCTGGGTAACCCGGTAAGATCCTGCAGAACAGACAGTTTGGAATTTCTTGCGTACTCCCTAGTACGTAAAAGGATCAAATAACCACGATCTAGACCTTTTTCCTGCTTTTCTCTTTTAACGCCTCTCTTTTCCTCACGGTAAGGCCCTCTTCCATCCGTGGTTGACGGTCGGGTAACTCCTCCAGGCACATACTTGACAAGCCCAAGAATTTGCTAGTCCACATGGCATGGATAGTCTCCCAGTCTCCCTACCTTGCCTCCTCTGAGGTAGTCTGCCGATCTGCGGAACATTCCCTTTGGATCAGGTTTGCGCATGCTATCACCATTG